TTGCCTCGTAGCACGCCACAGTCTACCGTGGATAAGAGAGCGCAAAGGCTAAGTCTGACGTTTTACATGGGCACGTTGGAAAGTCAATTCGCTAGAGGCAGTTGCCTTGTCATCCGGTGATGATACATGAGGCGGTGCTTGACTGCGTTGGTAACGTTCCAGGTTGTAAGATGCCATCCGCTAACTTCAACGGTCTGTGATAGTTTTGAAGCGCCGCGAGATCATCAGCGTCAACATGGACATTTGATTTGCCCTTTGCTGATAATTTGGATGCTGCACCCCGCTCTCCGACCGTCCTCCAGCATCAGCCATCCATTGGCAAAAGAGAAAGCCCGTCTCAACAAGTGAACTCAACTGCTACTGCTATTACTACTAGACTGCGAGTACTCCGTGCAAATCACAACCACACGCCCCCCCGTTTTGCCCCAAGCCTCAGCCCACCAGTTCAGTCTTGACCCCGGTCCCCAAAGTCCAGATGCCCTCGTCTAGTCTACCGGGCTAGTCTGGTCCGCTGTGTCCGGGCCAAGCAGGGAAGACTGTGCGTCAGTCCACCCAAGTGCTAACGCCATGCTATGCCATGGGCATCGCTTTCAATGAAAACCATCCTCCTCCCCACCTCCTTTGCCGGCCCTTCCTGTTTTTCTGCTTCTCAATCGCTTTTTGTCTCTTTCAAAAGCCTTCCTCCAATCCCTCGCTCTCGAGGCCCGCGGCCCTGTGTTGAGACACAGTATCGAGTTGGTTGGTTGGTCGATTGATTTGATACCGGCCTTGACGCAAAGTGGTGGATTTCGGTCGATTCTTACTCGCTTCAACCGCAACCGGGACCCACGACGATAAACGAGCCTCTCGTCATTCCTGCGTCGACAGGGCTTCATGTCGTCGCCCTAACCAGCTCTTTGCAGTATACCCTTGGCTGCTCTGTTGGGATCTGCTGGCGTTCATCCATCTGCTCGATTGGCAGTCTTCTCTTTTTTTCCGTTGCATCCCTTGAAGTTGGTTCCTGTCTCCCTTGCTTCTTCAGTCTCTACTCTGTTGCTGGAATATTGCCAGAGTATACTGTTGTCGACGCATTGTACCAAAGGAACCACAAGAACCGTTATATTCCCAAGCGTGCTGGTGAGTATGTTCTTGTCCTTGTCCTCATCAACTTCTTCAGCAGGTCCTCGTTCGTCCCCCAGACCCTAGTTCTCGAGCTTGCAATGTGATTTTTGCCTTGCCATCACTCTTTATTCAATATGGATCGTAATCGTTGGCTAACACGAATGTCCCAACAGCATCCCTATAATCCTCTTGCTTTTCATCGATACCCCTCCCTTTTGATCGCACTTTATCTTGCACTGTATCTTTTTCCTTACATGCATTAGATCAATGCGCTTGAGACTGCCACTCAATCTACATCAAACATAGCTGAGAAGCCTACATTTTCCCATCACAAGTTGTGCCAGGCGTGCCCGAATTGGGAATGCCTTATACTCCGCCTTCACATCGATCACCTGCCTCCTCAGTGTCAAACTCACCTGATGTGAGCCGTCGCTCGTCCTTCCAGTCCGGTCCCAGGCCGTCTCTCCCTCGTTCCGCATCTTACCTGAACAAGCATCGACGCACACAGTCAGTTACTACGATCAGTCCCGTTCCGGCAACATCTCCCGCCGCCAATGGTTCCAAGGAGACAAAACCTACGATGCTAAATTTGGGTGGCAGCCTGCGGCAATCGCCGCCGCCTGCCGTCGACGGGCGGGAATTGATTCCCAAAGGCGCCATGATTTCACCTCCAGAGTCCACCACGTCTGGAAGTGATGAAGACGAGCCCCCAGAAATCAAGAGTCGACGACGTGTTATCCTCAAAGACCTGAGAGAGGCAGTTAGTCAAATGTCCAAAGCTGCGACCCCTCCCCCTTCACAAACACAACACATGCTAGATGGCATTTCCCCCAGTTTACGCGTGAGCTTCAGCACTAGTGCGTTGAGCGAGTTGCCCATGGGTGGGCGAAAAACCGGACACGTGCGCTCTGCCACCGAACCCCATGCCTCAATATTGGGGAAGCAAAGCACCTCCTCAGCGGCCTTCGAAGAGGACGCAGACGACGATCTGAGGTTCAAACCCCAGATGGTGCGGAAGAAGTCTGGTGAATTGGTACGACCGGCCCTTCGGGGTCATCGACGCCCGTCTAGTATGCCGGGCACGCCCGTGTTCTCGAAGGCTGTTCACTTTGACTCTCATTTAGAGCACGTACGCCATTTCTTGCAAGTCGATCGACCCCTTGCCGTAAGCGCTGGATCATCGCCGGTTGAAAATTACGACAGCGACGCGGAATATCCATTTCTCAAGAGCAGCCATGGAGGCAAGACTTCCCCCTTTGAGTGGGAGCTCGCTACTCCTAATTTTCCCCACGACTCTCTTGTACGCAGGACTATGCCTGTGAGGTTAGAAAAGGTTTGGTTATCCAACGATCAAAAGTCCCTCTTGGGCTCCATCAACGTGGCAAATCTGGCGTTTCACAAAGCAGTTGTCTGTCGCTTTACCACGGACTACTGGAAGACGGTGTCGGAAGTCGGCGCTGAATACAGTCATGAAATCCGCCCTCGCGAGGGCTCGGAAGCCCGTGATCGGTTCACTTTTACCATTAAGCTGTCAGATATGGCCGACCTAGAGTCCAAGACTCTCTTCTTTTGCATCCGTTACACGGTCAATGGCCAGGAGTATTGGGACAACAACAACTCGACCAACTTCCAAGTTGATTTCAAGAAACAACATTTGCCGCAGAATGGTAAGCATAACTTCCAGGGAGCAGCCTCCAAGCCTCTGAATGGCCTGCCTCGCAGCAACCGGAGACAAAGCGGCGCAAGTACATTTCGCCCGGTGTCTATGCCCGCATCCCTGGATGCCTTCGGTAATTCCAATGGCGTCTTCAAATTTGATCAGCCTATTCATGAATACCTCGGCGAGTCTGACTCTGCCGGTGGGCTCCGCTTCAAGTCAAAGTCTTCCTCGAGTCTAGCGAGTGATAATCTTTCCAATGATGCGGTGTCACCCAGCGGGGCTGCCTTTTCTAACCGCTACGACTTTGGTGCGTCTCTCAACGCTGCTGTCAAGGCGGCCAAGGACACTACCTCGAACCAATCCAAGACCAGGGACAAGGAGAAGGATACTCTGTACATGAAGAGAAACGTTCGAGGGTCTGAATCCCCTACGCCTCTGTCATTCAGTGGAAGCTCGCCAAGTGGGTTGGACTCATCTACGTCGAGTCTACCAAGCGTCTCATACGAGGAACTCGTCAACAGGTATTGCTTTGTATGTGTTCCCGATCTCCAGTTCAACCTCAACGAAAATCCTCCTGCAACACCCTAGCCGCCAACTCGTCTGCGGGATTCGGCCCCCCTGGCTTGGCCTCCCCCCCTTTGGAATTCCCTTGTCGCGCTTGTGTATCGACCATGCCCAACTAAAGACGTGTTTTACTAACTGTCATGGCAATGGCTATAGTTTGGTTCTACCCCGAAGCAGACGAGCCCACCTGTGAGAGATGGGACGCTTAAGCGTGGGGCAATGGAGGAAGCGCAAGGGCCGAATTACGGAACGGCCAACTACGGTTCAGTTGAGAGCCCGGCTCCACGGCAACATGCCGGTGCAGCTGCGCATCACAGCCTCAACTTGGGGCATATGCATCCCTTCCGTCCATCGTTGAGCGCCCCCCCTCCAGCTTCCGACACCGCCGCAGCAACCCCGAAGACGATGCAGGAACCAAAGATTTCCTCGGCTATGGCTCCAGATATGGGACGATCAACGCCGCCAGCTTTAGCATCCTGTTCTGGAACTCCTGCCAGCGATGTCATCTCTGAGCGTTTCCCCTGGACAACAGAGACGCACACCGCCACAGCAATACAAGGATAAATTGGCGCCAGAGGCTGTCTCGGCTCATTGCATACGCGCAGTGCAGCCCAGCAGATATGTTTAGCACAAATGTGCATTTTTGTGAGATTCAAAAGTTTTGAAATTGATTGATTTTGGCGTTTCGGGGGCATCATGTGGGAATGACACTCGTTGGGTACAGAGCATTGTCAGGGGGCTTTTGTTTTATTCATGGGTTTTTTTTTCTTTTTGTTTTTTTCATTGTTACGGCCAAACTGCTTTCACGACCTGGGTCAGGCAACAAAATTCATAATGGGCTTTTTCTCTGGAGTTTGTTCTTTGGGTTTAACGAGGCCGGGCATGGGTGCACGCACGCTGGGTCAAGCGTTGGGATTCCAAGGCATTAGGGATTGAGCGACTTGTTTTTTAACGGAACCAATTTCAGCAGGTCCGGGTAATCGGAGTGGTTTTATAGGAAATTTACTTTGCGACTTTGCACATTGTATCTTCTGGTGCCTAGTGTTCTTGTCTGAACTGTACGTGTACACTGTAAGCGCCGATTCCATGTTGGCTGCTGGCACAAGCGGTCCATTTCTAAATCCAGCGCTACGGGCCGTGTACTCTGGTAAAATAAAAAGCAAAACATACTTTAAGTGCCTCGGTATGCAAGGAAGTGCGAACAGGTCTGTTCCCCGCATCGCCGCTTCGTCACGGGGGGGCGTGACCATTGATTGATAGATACTTAAGTAGGTAGGTGGCAGGGCGAAAAGAGCGGTGACGGCGCCACGATATGTCGTCGCCCTATCTAGCTTGTGCGTCATATCCATTCAACTCCGTTGCAGGATGCACGTACGATGCAGGTGAGTTGCGGGTACGCTCGATTGCCGAAGGAGCTGTGGAGCGTCCGCGGGCAGTGCCTTTTAAAGGACATCTGGATACGAAGAAAATCGTACATCTGGCACTGGAATAGTTCAAGTGATTCTCATACTGGGCACTTAATCCCTCTGATTGAAGCAGAGGAGGTATAGTGGATGGAGTTGGACAAATTGGCAGTGGGCGCTTTTGCCCCTTCACAGTCGTGACATGTACTTGCGCACTTGCTTGGCCAGGCCAAAAGTCGGGTTGAATTCACACATTACTTCCACGTCGCAAGCTACAAGTATCCTCTGCGTATCCATATGCCCCCCACGCCGAAGCACTGGTCCCTCATGGCCTCGGACTGGCTGCGTACGGCCACGCGGTGCAGCGGGATTCTGTCGACGCCCTGGACCACCTTGCCCGTCACGCCGTCCAGGCGATCCGACAAGCTCCTCTCGCTCTTGAGCGCCTTGATGCGCGCCACCGTCCTTTCCGGGGACCAGTTGTCTCGGTCTAGACTCGTCAGCGTGGTGCCAATGTCGAGCGCGTGCTGGGCAACGACGTCTGTAGAGTAGGCGGTCGGCGGTGCGGCGGGGTGCAGCCACCCCATGAGCAGGACGGCCAGTTTGCCCCCGAAAAAGGCAACGTCGTCAAAGTCGTGGAGGACATGGACGCGCACGCCGTTCTTAGGGGCGACGGCGGGCGCGGCGCCGCGGGGAGGCGCAATGGTCACGACGGCCGGGTGCCAGTCCGGCGAGAGGCCGTCGGGTACGTTCCTCCCTCCGGGGAGAAGCCTCGCCCAGGCGGCGAACACGCCGGAGAGCGGTGTCCTGACGGCGTCCGGGACGCCGGACAAGTTGGCGGTCGGAAAGCCCAGTTCTGCGCTCGAGGAGCCGGTTCCTCGTTCCACCGCGCCCTCGAACTTGACGGGGAACGGCTTCTCGGGGCCGTCGTCGGGGCCGATGACGGCGACGGCCAGCTCGGTCGTGTACCCGGCCGTCACACCGGCGGCCCGTTGCCGCCTCCAGCTATCCTTGACGACGTGTTGGATCCCTGGGCCCCCGAGCCCGTGGTAGCTCTTGGCCGCCACCGTCGCGGCCTTCTTGACCGACTGTTTGGCCATGTACTTGCCGGCGCTCTTCTCGGCAACGACGCCGGCGACGCCAATGTACTTCTTGGCGACGAGCGTCCCGACGGTGGAGGCGACCTTGAGGCCAATTTCCAGCGGCAGGGTGCTCAGGCTCGCGCCCCGGACGACCGCCGCGTCCTGGGACATGCTCGCCACGCGAAAGACGGGGCATCTGCAGAGCACCTTGGTGGCATCCTTCCCCCCGCAGACCACCAGGTAGTAGTACCCGTCCGTTGCTGCGGCCGGGATCCGGACAATGTGCGTCTCTCTGGGCACGTGTCTCTTGTGCTTGTCCCGCGCTTTTCTCGTGAACCGTTCAAGGTCGCGCTGGATGACGCACTCCTTCTGGTCGGGGATGTGCTTCACCTGGGCTTCCTGCGCGGGCGTGACCTCGATCCAGTCGCTTCTCAAGCTCGTCATTGCCTGGAGCGCCATGCCCATATTTCCCAGGAGCCCCTTTTGCCGCAGCCACAGCGTCCTGTTCGATGGGAGGGGCGCGTCCGACAGGATGGTTACCGAGACGGACGTGTCCGGCCCGTTGTATATGACGGGCAGCCAGGAGTGCCGGATGACGCTGTAGTGGCTGCTTGACTCGACGGGGTTGTTGATGAGGCCGGTCATGGTGAAATGCATCCTTTGACCGAGCGTGGATTTCTTCTTTGGCGGCGCGTCCGGCTCCGCGGCGTCGATGAGTAACGCATCGAGCGAGAGGGCAGACGAGCTCTGGGCCCGGCGAACCTCGTAGGGGGGAGGCGGCGACGGAGGCAGGTCTGGATTGTAGAATCTCGGGGGGAGAGGCGGCAGGGGCGGTTCATCTATCGTGGGCGTGCGCAGATCTGCCAGAGACCTACTGGGACGAAGAGGCGAGGGCGAAGTCGCCGTTGCGGCGAGGTGAAGGCCGGCGGCGGCGGCGCGAGACGTCTGTTGCCGCCGTGGTGGACCTGCGTTCCATCCGGGGACGTCTTCCATGGCTTTGGCGTAGAGACTGGACGGTTACCGCGTGTGCATGGCCAAGATGATGAGGGTGATCAAGGTGTTCCGCCGTCAGGGGGCGGATGCAGACGACGTGGCATTATGAGGGGGCCATGTTTGACGTTTGTTTCGATTGGTCTGGCATGCAAAAGGAGAAAACGGCTTGGCTCATTTCGCTACGTGATGGCGTCGAGACAAGGCTCTTTCGGGGCAATTTAACGCGCGGTCTTGATTGTAAATGACCACACGGATGTTTTTTTCCCACGACTTTCCCACGACGCGGCGATGAATTCGCCTGTGATGGTTTTTTTCGTTGCGGTTCTTGTGGTGGTCACTGGTGGAAGGAGAGGACTTGAAGGGGGCGGTCTAGTACGGCGTAATGGGATGATGACCATGTCACCATGGCATAATTGGACGAGTGCGTTTTCTGGGCGTCACACATGATTACCACTTGACGCAATCAAAGTCATTTCTATTGGTTTCGCTCACAATATCCTCTGTTGGAGGGGAATTTTTTTTTTTTTTTGTTCGCCACGTCTGCAGGACAGTTTCGACAAGCAATAAAACATCAAATAATATACGGGTTAGTAAACTCGTGCCAATCGCATGGCAACACAAAAGCATCAGCAGACGGCCACGCAACTCATTTCCATCCGCCGTCGCCTTCAGAAACATCCACCGCATGCAGTCACCGCCAACAGCCCTCGTCGTTGATTCAACAATGAAGATTGCCCGCAGGCTAACAACCGCCATCGCACTCCACGTCCGTCGTCCCCTGGGCATTCACTCGCACACGTCTCACAGAAATGGCAGGGCTGCGGGCCCGTACAAGGCAGCGTCACCACGCCTCAACTGCCCAATCCATGCAGGACACCGCTTTGATACCCAACAGACGTAGCCCATAGCATCTCAGAGTGTGACGACGACAACTAGTCGTGCAAGTCGAACCATCAGCACAGCACGTCCATACTATCGTGACGGCCATAATATGCAGTAGCAACTACCACCCCTCTCTTTACTCAGAATAACTGTAGTGGCGTGTCTAGATAGACTGCCGAGATGTGCCTGGATATAGCAACAACTCCGTGTATCCCGTGTAGCAGTCCGAATCTACAGCTTACGTCCCGGCCTCAACCCCTGGCAAGAAACATCCCAGCCCAGAACAAGATCAAAAGAAACACCAGATTCTGCGTCCATGTCGTCCCTCTCGCTGCCTGCGCTCAAGCCAACACAGGCGCCCGTGATCTCCTTCCCGACGCTGAACTCGACACGGTATGCAAGCTTCTCGCCGGGAAAGCCAAATGCCCGTTTCAATGTTTCACCTGGCCGGCAACAAAACAAAGTCCTGCAAAGGCGGGGCCGTAAACACCTTCCGCGACAACGTATATCATATCAAGCAGAGTTCGACCAAGTGCCTTGACGATTGTGGCGTCGATGTCGATATTCATCAATGCACATAATCGTGCCCAGTTTGCATCCGTGTGTGGCCATGGCCGACTGACGGCTTCAGTCATGGATACGTTTTTCAAGGAGATTGCCTGCGCGCCATAAATACGAGGCATTGGTCGGACAGCATCCTGTTTGCAGAGGCCATGCTTAGTGGAATGGATCACAGACGCTGCCGCGCTCAGGTGACGGGTGCCTCAATACTTGCGCTGCAGTCATGAGAAGCACACATCATGCCAGAAAGCATTCTGTTGTCAATGGGAATGAGCTTGGCCGCGGTCTTGATCTACGACGGAAAAGAAGTAAAAGATGTCGGTGAATCGAGATGATTCATGCCGACGGGGTCTTTTATCACGACGATTTGTAGCTATAATTATCCAATTCTCGCAGTTTTAATTTTGACTTCTTATTTCGCTGACACAGCTTCAACATCGCTCACTTCCTTGATGGCCGTGGTCAAGTTTACATAACCATTTTCCGTGACATGGATATTGTCCTCGATTCTGCCAGGGTCAGTGTCAGGATATGGACTAATGCAATACCCATGGTTGACAACTTACCGAACACCACCGACGTCCCAGTACTTGTTGAGCACAGCAGCGTCGATGTACTTGCTGTGGACGTGATCATCAAGATATGGCTTGATGATGAAATCGCAAAAGTAAATCTATCCCTGTCAGTATTGACTGTCAAGCCGATACCAGGCAAAAAAACTTACACCGGGCTCAACAGTGACAACTGCACCGGCCGGCACGTGGCCGCGCAATCTCAGGTAGCGGAACAGCTTGTCTGGGTCATTGGGGTTGGGGTTGCCGCCGGTGTCGTGCGTGTCCATACCCAGGTGGTGCCCCAGGCCGTGAGGGAAAAAGGCAGCGCTCGTTCGGGCGTTGAGAATCTCCTTGGCGTCGCCCTTAAGAATGCCGAGAGCTAACAATCCATCAATGGCAACCTTGTGGGCGTGGAGGTGAAGGTCATCCCAGAGCATGCCGCCCTTGATAAGCTCGGTGCATTCTTTCTGCATTCTAAGGACAATGTCGTAGATGTCCCTCGACTCCTTTGTGAACGTGCCAGTCAGGGGGAAGGTTCGCGTCTAATGTCTGTTAAAAAAAACACGTGGAACAACAGGAGCATGTTTGGCACCTAGGACTCACGATATCTGAGGCATAGTTGTTCCACTCGCATCCGGCATCAATCAACAGGTTTTGCTTACCCTTTAGGGGAGCATTGTTGTCAACATAGTGCAGAGTAGCCGCCGCCTTTCCGGCCGCCAAAATGGGATGGTAGGCCATTTCGGGAGCAGCATGAGATACACATCGCTCCAAAAAGGTAGCATACAGCTCCTGTTCAGTGGCAGCAGCCTTGGAGCGCTCAATGACGGCCTTGTGAGCAAGACTGGAGATGTGGTTGGCCTTGCGGATCATGGCAACCTCAAACTCATCCTTGACGACTCGTGAAACCTCAATGGCCTTCTTGACAGTCTCAAAGTCCTTGCTTCCAAACTCGAGGAAGGTAACGCTGTCAGAGACCTGATTGGCAATGGCAAAGACGGTCGAGTTGGGGTTCTGTTTGGCGAGGTGAGCGAGGGTGGAGTTGACCTCGGTGGTGAACTTGACCTCGTCGACATCGTAGCGGCTCAGGGCTTCGTCGATGCTGAGAGGAAGACCGGACCAAATGACATCATCGGGGTCAATGGGAGGGATGAAGAGAATTGATTTAGAAGACTGGATGTCGTAGGCGAAGGAGCAGTCGGCAAGGTTGCAGCCGGTGAGGTAGTAGAAGTAACGGCGTTGTCTGGAGAGGTTAGTTGGATTGGAACATGCAGTGTAATCAGTGCGGCAGGGATGTAAAAGAAAAATGAAAGAATAATGAGAAGGCGACAAACCTAAAGTGCTCGGGAGAATCATTGTCCTCCAGCAGCTTGGTCATGCGGCCCTCGAGATAAATGACGCCATTCGCATCAGGCTTGGTCTTGCGGATGAGGTCGACTACGCGTTTGGCATGCGTCTTGCCGGGGTATTTGGCCTTGAGAACAGCCTCAAAGTCCTCGACGGCCATGGTGTTTTGTGGTACGATGGACGAGATACAACGAGTTTGATTGCGTGACTTTGATGGAGGGGTTGTCGAATGCAAGAGGCTGTTCCGTCGGAGGGGCAGAAACGAGTGATGATTTATACAGCCAAGTCCCCAGGGTAACTTTGATGGTATTGAAGAAGAGGAGGGCGCGGGGAGGGATGAAGAATACAGACAACGGGAATGGCGTACGGCTGGGGGGCATGCAGCTTGACGCAAAGCAGCAGGCCAGAATGGAGGGGTTGGAGGGGTAGCGACGGGATCTATGGAGATGGAAATGGAGTTGGAGTTGGAGTTGGCGTCCAACTTGGTGGGGCCTGCCATTCGACATCCGCACGCCAAACGGCCAGACGACGTGCAATATGATTGTGATTCTGGCCGGTGGCTCAGCAGACGCCGCCTCACACGCCCTTGTCGACGACCAAGCTTTCCATTTTCTGCATGTCGAAGCTGTCGGAGAGACGATGAATCGATCGCGCAAGGCCAAGCAGGCCAAGTTGAGGCTTCTCGAGCTGGACCAGCAGCCGCCCTGGTCAATGCTCGCGACATTGATAAGGCATCGACACCCATCGCAAAGTACGCCTTTGCCATCTTCTCAGTCGATCGTACGCCGACCCAACGGCATCAAGACACTGGTACAGTACAACGCGAACCAAGAATTTGTGTGTCAACGATATGTTTGTTGGCCGAGGTCAGATTAGAGATCCACCGTTCACGACGGAACACTGAACACAACCAGGGGCACAGATGGGGCATCGACCTCGGGGCAACGTGACAAATTGCGCACTCGACCTCAGACAGTCATTTCCTATGAATGGACCATGCCATGGGGAAACAACCACCACGCATACCGAGTGCTGCATACGTGTTCTCGTCGAAAACGCAGGGTACACTACCCGGCCATGGGCTTTACAGGACAGGGCCCTTTTGCTAGTCGAACTTGACCTGTTGGACCCTCATGTCGGAGACTGGCAGCCAGTGGCTTCTTGCTTACCCACCTTCAGCGGCTGCCACCGGCTTGACAAAAAGTGCCAAGATGACTTGCCCAGAGATTGATTGGCTTGGTGTAATGGACAAGATAGATATTTGAGATGATCTCCGACCTTCCTAGCCAGGTTGGTATATTATAGGCAAGAAGATTTGCAGTGGCTCGTCCACTTGGTCGCTGACGGGTATTATCGAGACAGCTTCCAGTCGTGATGCGGGAGTTGGCTACCCTATAAATCAACATCAAGAGCCAAGGGAGCAGAAGGACAGGAAGAGTAACGCCGAAAGAAAGCACAGTATATGCCTCACAAAAGCAACTTTGTTTCCTGGTTGAATATACCCATAGACAAGCCTTGAAGGTTGAGCATTTAAAGAACTGTTCTACTTCAAGTCCCCAGCAAGCATCATTTCGACAACCATGCTGGCCCACCACCAAACCATGCACTCTCGGGCTGCATACTGAGATGCCAATCTGAGCAAGGCCGAAGAATCGAGCCTAGTCTGAATTCAATGATGCGACAGATCATGCATGGCGATCAACATGGCGCGTCGAACGGGCTTCAAACCTTCCAGAAGCACTGGGTTCCATCAAATCGCATTCCCACAAAACATCTACAATCTTGTCGCCTGTGACTGGCACGCCGCTTCGTGTCTCATCGCGATGACTGATATTCACAGGCCATCTCGGCAGGGCAAGTATTCTACGCCATGCGCGCCGAAGTTGCACTCTTTTTGGGTAAAGATATTCCGTAATTCCCCTTGGTACGTCAACGCTTCGCAAGCTGCTACTGAATATAGCCATATTGTTCAGCTGCGCTCTTCGAGACTGACATGAATGGGGCTTCTTCACCGCACTGAGAAAGGCGAGAGATCGACCTGGGCGAGACATGGGATGTATGTGTGTTGGTTCCCAAGGATTTGTCGGCCCTGTCGATGTGGGCCAAGAGTCCAAGACACTGATCGAGATGGGACAGTAAGGGTGAACACAGAACCTCGCCCAGGGAGCTGGTATCCGACTTTGCGACTGATACGGAAGATGCAGCTTTACCCCATTGCGTTTGGTCTTCTTGTACTTCTTTCGCATCTGAATGGGGCATCCCTGTGAGGTTCAGCTGCCCCGGACCAACATCTTCCGGATCTACACAACTAGTATTCCATGTTGTTCTGTTTCTGTCGTCGCGGCATGGGCCATTACTGTACTGATTGGATTCTGCAATCTGCATGAGCACTCAATCCTTGACGACGTCTTGACCACAGCGTCCTCCCGCCTGATTCCAAAACCCGACGGCAGGGTCCAGCGGGAAATGATGCATTTCGCTTGATGTGTGCTTCGGCTCGAATGTACTATTGCCCCCTGGGTGGCGAAATTTAGTGTACGCCACAGTACCGATATTCTGGCGCAAGAAGACATGGGTAGACGAGGCAAAGCAGGTACTAATACTCCGAATTCGTGACTCTAATATTTGTAAGTCAATCCTTGTCATTGCCGAGGCTGGTGATGACATGCCAGTGTAAGTCTTTTTAACGTGGGCTTGAACCGAGTCGGCCGTATATGGTCGCAATTGGATAATAACAAGAGTCAACAGCAGTAGTCCTACGAGGATGACCGCTGAAAGCCCTCTTTTTTTTACACCCTCTCACGTTCAAGAGAGCTCAGCAGGCAAAGTGGTTGGTCTGCCTCGAACTGTCGTGGGCGGGCCAATAATGACCAACAGTCAACATGAACGCGAACCGAGCCGACTAATTTGATAGCCTCCGCAGTCAAACAAAGCAAATAATGAGGCCAGAAATTCGCAACGAGCACCACAAACGTGCTCAAAATATCGCCCGTTGGATGTTTTATCTGTGCACAGGCCAGTTTTCTCAGGCGACGAAAAGAACAAGGGGCTGGTGGCCGTTGTCTTCATGCTTCTCTCGAGTCAGCAAAACGACTGCATACCTGGAGTGTCGTGACTACTTGGGTACAGCGATTCCCATTGTTGGCCATACGCGAGCATATTGGCCTGCAGTGACGCCCCTCTGTGAGACAAAGAGTCCCCGTTCATGACACCAACTCGACACCAATTCTTCGTCGTGGGTCTAGCTAGTCTAGCTAGGGAACACCATAAGAGCAGAGAGCTGGCATGTCTCGATGCAGCTCAGATGCAAAATGTCAATTGCCATATACAGGGGTGTGGGATTACTGGTCATCTCGTCACAGCTTGAACCCAGTTTTTCCCTTGGTGCTGTAGCTTTTGTGTTTAAAACAAGCCCTTCCAACGGGGCATGGTGACACAGGCGTCGATCCGCTGGGTTGGAAACGACCCTTGTGAACCTGAGCCCTGGAGTTGACTCTCTCTTTCTCTCCTTTCTTCTTTTTGCTTTTCTTCTTCTGGAGAACCTTTGTCGGTACGCGATATGATTGGGCGATGTGGCCTGATGAATATATCCTCACTCTCTCACGAACATACACACCCCCATTCCACATGTGCCCCCTGCTTAGCGAAGCAGAACTCTGCGATCCTTACTTTGAGCATGGTACTGGGTGAATCGAAGCAAACAAGGCGGCATATCATGTAAACGTACACAGGAATGCGCCTGCCGGGCAGCCATGGGGTGATTAATCACAATATACACAGCGAATGGGAAAATTAAAAAAGAAGAGAGGGAACCCATCGCCTTCTTAATAACGAAAAATCGAACAACGCCGCTTGTCTTTCCCAAAATGTCTCGAGTCACCTTTTTTTACTTCCTTTGAGGTTTCGGGAGAGCTCGCATTTGACGCGAAATTGTGGGCAATCCAAGTCTGCCAACGTGCTCTTCCTGGAAAGGTTTGTCCAAAATCGTTAGACATATTGGGTTGGCCGAACGCACAAGTCTCTCGCCTGTGCGTACGCGGATGGGTTTTGGATTCCTTTTGTGTAACGAAAGGATACGATACGGCTCTTGGAGCAAAATAGCCACTTTGCCCCATCGTGATATATTTCATTGACCGAAAACGTTTCCCGGGGAGCTTCTGGCTTGTGATTCCCCTTTGTGCGTTGCGAAACAACGAATGAAGTCAAAGCCGTCTACCAGTCCGTCATATTGTTCTGTTTTCTCGTCGGCGTTTCGTTGTGGGTTCACGGGGCCAGTCAGTACTATCGCCTGGTCAGTGGTAACACCATCATCGAGGCAAGTAGCTTATTTTGCACGTTTTGGCTGTCCTAAGACTGTATCCCCCTCCTTTCTGTGTGCTTGCAACATTGGGCAGGGAGGCAAAGACACTTTGCTGCTTATCCGGATTGTTTGTCCACAGCCTGCTTGACCATTCTTCAGGTCGTGTCTCACGATATCTTTAGCGACTGGTTCGGCGTTGTTTCTGCATTGCACGGGAGTCCTTGCGGTGCGTGTTTCCTCAAACGTCCTAGATTGCGAATCACATGCCTCTTGGAAAACAAGAGACAAACTCTGCGGAATCTCTTGGATAAGAGTGACCGGATGACGGCATATATAAACTGCAAGCGAGAGCAGAGAGCGGACTTGAAGGCATACCTTTTGTATCACCATTCACACTATTGCACTGTACAGCACTTCACTTGGACCCGAGAAAAGAAGCTCCTTTCAGCGTCTTGACGACATAATGCCGGAACACACGGTCGAATGCACCTTCATCATCGAGCCACCGGTCAAGGTACAATGCGGTGGCTCTCTATACCCGCCGTTTTTGCTGCAATTATCCAAGACGGGAGACGATTCTCAGAGCACGTACGTGGCAAACATTACTTTGTTGAATGAGAATGATGAGAATGTCAGCGATGCTCTTCTAGGGCCGAAGAGCGCGCAAGGGGGGTTCCGGCCCGACTCCGAAGGCAGCTACCTCTTTGCCTTTCCGGAGTCGCAGATCTCGACGGAGGGCACATTTCACCTGCGTGCCGACATTTACAAAATGGAGCAAGGCCTCCGTCTGGTCACACAGGTGTCGAGCAGGGATATAGACGCGACAGGAAACACGGTGCCTCGTGCTATAGCAAGTAAGTCAACCCAACAGAGGGCGTGCCTCGAAAGAGCTACGCATGTCACGACTCGCATGTATCTAACAGTCTTCTTGTAGCACCCGAAGAGGAAGAGAAGATGGAAATCGCCAGAGAAGCCGGCGCGCTTAAATGACAGGCGGCGACTGGCAGACGCGCAGGACAATGGCGCCGTGGTTACAACAAGAATGACGACAACTCGATGTATTATGGACACAGGATGTGAGGAAACGACTTGGGGTATGGTTTGACTTGATTACACGCAGCAAGCACATGGCTCTTTGTTCAAATGGCAGCAGGAATTGCTCCTCGCACACATGGCATAATCAGTGCCAACCACAATAAAGCTTGATTTACACATGTAACAGCCCTATCGGTTGCCAACGGTAGCTCGTGATTGGGCAGCGTCTAATAGTGAGATGGTGTAAACCACGGCACGCTGCAAACATGGCCCAGTACACGATATTCAGGCAAGAAGCTACAAACCGGGCACGGCGCCCTCTTCTCCCACCATCCCTTTAAAGCAGCCAAGGCTCCAACAACCCCGTAATGGAATTGCAGATACTTCTTTTCTGGTAGACTTTCAGCGGTAATGGATGTATCCGTCAGCAGGCATGACTATTAATAATTTAATAGGCCCGAATCCCTGAAAGCTGCACATCGTTGGAGGCTCGTCTGCCAAAAGGGGATATTCCTCCTCGTCGAACATGTTTCCGCTGTCAGAGTATCCCGAAAACCCACGCGCCTCGGGCCGGGATACCCACGCCCGTCCACTCCGAAATATTTCGGAGGCGCCCTGCGTGACGGGCACACCAGCCCTACCCCGGGCCGTCAACTTCGATCATGTTTCAAGTGCCAAAGGCGCCAGGGACCAGCTTCGGCTGTCACCGCCCCTGATCCGCTGAGCCGGACTGGTCGATTGCCCCGGGGGCTCGATGGGACGATGTCTGAACCCGCGGTTTCTGCCTCTTTGCTTTTTTTGCGGGCGGGACTGTCTTTGATGCCGTGTGATGGCTGGTGGGCGGTGATGCGTAAGCCTGTTCGTGCGGCTTGTACAAGTGCGCGGGGCAATGTGCACCACGGGGGTTTGGCAAAACGCACTGCTCGATTTGTCGGTTATTAAAAGGGGAAAAAATAGTAAAATAAAATCTCTGGAATAAGGTAAAACTACTAATATTGTGCTATTTGGCAGCTTTTTTGGTTACTATTTTTAGTTGCGTTATTAGCTCCCTCGGGTGCTAGTTTAGCAGCATCTTTGGTGCTTTTTCCCCAGTGGCTACTACCAGAGAAGTATGCAGTAAGTTGCTGTGGCATTTGGAGCTTCACGGATGCAAAGCTGACTTGATACCAAGAGGGCGAGAAAGATGCCAGGCCGGTATCAACAGCATATCCTCACAGCAGAAGAGGCTAGCTTCAAGGAAAAGAATGCTGATCCTGAGGAAAGCAGGACACCCGATGAAGCTATCAGGGATCTAGAGAAGGCTGGAATAGCGGAGCCGGAAAAAAAGCACCAAAGAAGCTGCTAGACTAGCATCTAAGGGGGCGAATAAGGCAACATAAAGGTATCCAAAAAGGCCAACAAAAACGCTGCCAAGTAATACTGTATTGGTAGTTTTGCCTTATTCCGGAGGTTAAAACGCCATCGACGATTAGAAGCAGTCGTGTTGTTGTGCGGTTACTGCTATGGCCGATGTCAGCAAGTAGCTGCAGTGCTTCCGGGAGCTTTGCAAACATTAAAGGCAGGGACTCACGAATGGTTGCTTGCAGTAGGACTTGATAGCAGAAGAGCAGATGTCTTGGAGATGAACGGGGTGGACTCTTGGAATACGGAGGGCAGACCTCGCTGATATATATTGTGTGTGGCTACATTATCCTACATGTTAACTATTTTAAGTTTTTAAACTGAGTTACTGGCATAAAGTTTAGTATTAATGGTTTAGTTAGTTTTCGGGCTGAGTCACCGGCATGACGTGTACTTTGCTCCACGCTGTAAGTGGCTGAGGCTGTCGCGATGGCCTTTGCCGGCGCGCGGTCATGAATTACCACCTGGGCTAGTGTAGTGTCTGGTACTTGGTGCTATTCTCACTGCTTGTCACGGTCCTAGCCTGGTACGGCTTGCACACAATGCTACTAGTAGTTTGCATGACTATTTAGGCCTTTTCAAATAATTCTTTTTTAATAATTTAATATTAATCTAGTAGATTGTTGCTTCCCTCTCAACACACATAACAGTACGAGCATAATACAAGTATCGTAATAAATTAATATAAATAGTATATTTTAGTCTTCTATTATTCTTTGACTTAATATAGCCGAATGCTATATTCCCAGATATCATACTTGCATCATCATTCATCAAGGTAACACAAAATCCAACCAGTGATCGATAAAATAAAACCACCAGACAGCAGCAACATCGAAGCGCGGCCCGCTATTAGCCACCACGACCCCCACCCAGAGCCGCAAACCGCACCCCGTCGAAATTTCCAACCCGCCTCGTCGCGAGACCACCACCATCCGTCCGTCCGCCCGTCCTTTTGCCAGCATCACGCCCACAATGGTCTACTACTTCACCTCGAGCGCCGTCGAGCCCCCGGGCTTCATCTACGTCGGCAAGGACAAGTTCGAAAGCTAGTCGCGCCCCCGCCCCCGCCTCCGCGCAAAGTCTCAACTGACGCCCTTTCCCAGATGAGGACCTCATCCGGTACGGCTGGGACGAGGACGTCTGGGTAGGGCTCTCCCTCTCCTCCCGCTGCCGTATCACCACAACTGACCCCGTGCAGTTCCACGTCGACAAGCTCTCCAGCGCGCACGTCTACCTCCGGATGCGCGAGGGTCAGAGCTGGGACGCCCTCCCCGACGCGCTCCTCGCGGACCTGGCGCAGCTCACAAAGGCCAATTCCATAGAGGGTACCTTATTTCCCATTGAGAGCGAGAGAGAGAGAGAGAGAGCAGCCGTGGCTGACTGCCAGAAGGCAACAAAAAGGACAACGTGGCCGTCATCTACACGCCGTGGTCCAACCTCCGCAAGGACGGGTCCATGGACGTCGGGCAGGTGTCCTTCAAGGACGCGCGCAAGGTGAGGCGCGTGCTCGTCGCGGCGCGCGAGAACCCCATTGTCAACCGGCTCAACCGGACGAGGGTCGAGCAGAGGCCGGACCTGAAGCAGCTGCGGGACGAGCGCTTGGCCGAGCTGCGGCGGACGGAGCAGGCCGCTGCGCAGACGAGGGTGCGTGCCCGTGCCCCCCCCCAAGATGCAGAGCCGACCTAGCTGACACTTGACTGTGGGGAATTAGAGAAAGGAGGACGCGAGGCAGGCGCAGGAGTGGAAGGAGAGGAAGTGGGCTAAGGACCATGCGTACGATGACATGTTTACCGAGGAGAATATGGCGGGGTCGAGTAATCGCGATCGCGGGGCGGACTGGGAAGACGACTTTATGTGACGGCACTTATTATGCTCTTGGCTGAGGTTGGGGGGAAAAAAGTACAACTCAAAGAGTGTCCATTCGCTACGCTGCCTGACTTGAAGTTGAGGCTAATAGGGTATACAACAAACAAAAAACTACAATTTCCCATGTTGCACGCCTGCATTGGCCGCCGCGAGTGAAGGAGTGTCCTGGTACAGAGTATTGACATTCAATTCCGCATCTGCAGACAACCAAGGAAGAGGAATGGCCTGACCATCACCCGCTCACCCCTATCCTCCGCGTTCTCGCAATATTGAGATCCTCTAACCGACTTGCGAGTCCTCGAAGCTCAGTAGACGTCTCTAGTCGCAGTGGACTGGACGATTCTTGACGACTAGAGCCCTTGGCTGAGGTGGGTGAGCCTTCCGCGTCGCCCTGTCTTGCACTTGATGAAATTGGAGCCAATTCCGGAGCGTCGTCGTCGTCTTCGGACTCGACTAAGTCTCTTAGGTCATCTTCGTCGTCATCGTCGTCATCATCCTCGCCCTCTTTCGATTGTTTCGCGCCGTGGTACTGGCTGGGGTCTCCGAGCGTCACCACAGGCTCACCTCCTGGAAGACGCACTTCGCATGCCTCGAGCGTCTGCGCGACGTCAAGCAAGAGGACGTCCATGGGGCAAATGTAGGCAACTCGCTTCCGTGAGCTCCAGGCCAGTACGTGGCCACACAGCTGGCCGTGGCGACGGTCCACCACCCAAGCTCCGCTGTCGCCAGGAATGCCCATGGGCGGACTGGACTTTTTGGAATTGGCTTCGCCAGCCGTTGGCGTGCTTGCAACTTGATACGTGTGGCTTGGCGAGCATCGGCCGTATATCTTCACACTGGTCAGGGCGGGCAGAATCTGACCGCTTTGCAGGCCGCTCGTTCGAGCCACGCACTGCACCTCCATCCCCGGCAGCGAAGATGAGGGCGCGACTGTTGTAGGCCGTAGTTTGGCCACGTCGTCGCTCGAATCTGACCGAGGTTTGCCGTCCTCACAACGAGGCATGGCATTTTCCCCGGGGAGGCGGCCGTCGGCAAACTCAAACAGCGCCCAATCCACTTCATGGATCAGGCCTTGTGCCTGCTTGCGGCGGATGCCACTAGAGGCATAAACCTCGCCCAAGCTGTAGGTGTCAAGGTGGTCTTCGTCTTCGGTTTCTGCACAAGGATAGAAGCCCTTCTCGACGTCATCCAAAGCTGGCTGCGTTACCACATAGCCGTCGCCGCATCCCGGCTCAATTCCTGGAATATCGCCTGGCTCAAACTCGTCTTCTCCCCCTTCTTCTTCTTCATCGTCGCCGTAGTCGCTGGTAATGTCGGTTTCAGAGTATGGCTCAGATTCCGAGTCTGACAACTCGTACGCAAAATCTTCTTCATCCCCGCTGCCCTGAATAAACCCAGCATACCAGTCATGGCCTGGAGCCGCACTGCTACGCAGGGTGTCTACTTGAGCCTGGTCCGGGTCCGGGTCATCGAGCATGTGATGGACCGTCATGCCATACGGCTTATCATCGACCATGACAAGGCCGCCGAAACTAACTGGCGGCAAATGTCGGTCGCCGATCCATGCGCCAATGCTGGCTCCATTCCCCGGGTATTCCTGATATTGCGGATTTACTGCCTCCACCTCGTCCTCGCTGTCGCCGTCGGCGGCATTTGCTCGGGCCATGGACCGGAAAACTGATTTCGAGAAGCGCCGGGACCGGAGAACGTGGCCCCGGCACACCTTGAGTGAGAATCCAGTCGTGCCGTCAAAGAGTTCGCCAATTCGTTTCTTCAAAATAGCGCGGACTTTTCCAACCGAGGTACAAACAACCAAGACGGTCGGCTGCGCAGCCTGGGGGCTCGTCCCGACTGATTCTAAAGAGATTTCAACAGATTCGGGGTGCTTTCGATAAAAGTGGCGAAGAGCCTGGTTGATTTGGGGCATCAAGATGGTGTTCCACTTGTCGACAACATCGGGCGGGAGTGGTACATGAGGATATAGCCTCATTTTCTGCTTGCCCGGGGAATCTGCCAATATGTTAGTCGAGGACAAGGCTAAATCAGTCATCAAGGTTTCTGTACCGTCGACATCCTCCCCCGCCAGGTCTACGTGTCCCACTAGCCTTCGTTTAGAGTCAGGCGGCGGCACCGAGGCTTTCTTGTCTGCAGGATACCCCGATGGAGATTTGGTATCCTTGGTAGGTTCAAGCCGCTGCTGCTGCTGCGTCACGGCTGTGTCGCGCACTTCCTGGTCTAGACGCTGCTCGAGATCACTCACGCCATCCAAAATGCAACAAGTCTCCAGGAACCGCGTAGTTTGCGTTTGTATCGCTGATAAGAGAACCTCCCCGCCTGATTGTCCATTCAACTCATCATCAACCGCGTGCCAGCAGGATTGGACCGCCTTCACGTAAAGTGTACCGCACTTCACTGTTAATCGATCCAAAGCGGACGCAGGAACAATGGTGGACGTCGAGTTGGGGAGCAGTGCCTCAAGCTGCGTCCACAAGCCAATGGACAGCAGCACCATGGCGAGCGAGTACAGTTCGAGAACACGCTCATCCGTAGTCCTGCTAACGGGAGACCCTCGTGAGCTGTGAGGATCCAAAGGATGTCTCCAAGGCGACGGCTTGGAAGCAACCTCGTCTTCTGGGAAGATGTCGAATGAAGATACAAGAGGTCGGCGGATGTCAATAACGCCATCTTCTGCATTGACGCCTTCCGTACTAGCATTGCCAAAAGAGATGTTTTTAGCAGCCAAGTTACCATGGGTGACACCCCTAGTGTGCATGTCGAAGATGGTATTGGTGAGGTTGTAGGCCAATTTGAACTTTGCTTCCAAGGGTGGTTCATCCTGGCGAGAGAGAAGGTCATGCAACGTCGGCAGATTATACAGCGGGTTCTTGGTGCGTGGCTCAAAGGAGACGGCATTGAAGGAAGGCGGGAGCCTGTACACGAGGCCGATTCGTGAGTTCTCCAAGTCTTCAAAGTATCCCAAGAGACGCGGTAGTCCCGTCCAGGTCCCTGGAGCACGCTGGGGGTCTTGCTGTAGGCCAGACGACAACTTTTCGAATCGCGACATTGGGGGCATGATTCCAGTCACGGAGTAAATGGAGTCAAACGTGGCATACTCTAGGAGTAGAGGGGCCCATGGTGCCTTGGTCGTAGTGCCCTGGGTCAATTCGGAATATGCAATCTTGCTCATGAAGACGACTTGCCTCGGAGGGACTGCGGATACATCCTCCTGTTTGGGTCCCAGAAACGTGAGCGTCATGGGGTCGATGTGCTGTGGTGTCTGCATACGACTCGACTCAAATGGTCTAAACTCGTCGGCAGCCAGCGACTTGTATGTAGTCTTGGACATGCGTCTAGGAAAGTATCCCGACGACCTCGTCCGCGACAAGTCATATAGGGTGTCAATTGAGGCAGTGAGATCGCGAATAAGGTCCTCAAACCGAGTCTTATCCCATTGAACTAGGGGGAGTTTCTTGTCCGGCGATGCCCTGCTGGAAGCAACAACATGCCTCGAACTCTGCCAAAGGGGTTCCGCCTCAGCCAGGATGTCTTTGATGGTGGACATGATGCTTCCCACGACCTCGCTCAGGCCGGCCTTGGAGAGGGATTCGTCAATTTCTGTGGATTGGCTCGGGTCTGACCATTCAAGGCCCCAGCTGACGAGGCGATCCTTTTGGATGCACAGTTTCCGATGTAGTGTCTTCATCTCCGGGTCCTCTTCATTTTGAACGGGCTCCTTGACAAAGTCGCTTGATTTTTTGGTGTCGTTGTAGAGGCGGCTGAGTCGGCGTTGAAACGGCAGTTGAAAGCCGCCCATGGGGATGAAGGATTCCATGATGTCGTGAATTTACTCGACCAGTGTGAAATGCGAGCGGATGTTAGATGGTACGTCTCACTTGAAGCGAGTATATTGATGGCGCACACTGGGCCCGCGCCCGTTCTCAATGCGAACTCAATGCTCAGCGCGAATACTTGCTCAAGAGTCTGGTTTCCTGCAGCGGTTACTGCGAAGCTGGAATCCTTGGTGATAGTCGTGGTCGTGGTGGTTGTTCCAAGTTCCAACGTCCAACGTCCAACGTCCAACGGTGGCCCCGGGATCAAAGTATACCAATGAATTATGCGGGTGGCGATGATGAAGACGGACAAGACACAGGAATTTGCCAACCGCGTCGACGTCGCCGCAGCCGACCTCGACCTTTAGCTTTCAGCGAAGCCTAAAATCCCTTTGTCTAGTGCCATTTATCTGGCTGCCTGTAATGGGGACGAAGGCGATGAGCCTGGATGGAACAAGTGCACAGTCCAACTCGGCCGCATTGTGGGGAAGGAGCGACCATCTCGAACCTCTTCCCGCGAGGGAAATGCTGTTGCCTGAAGATGCAAGTTGGACTCCTGATCGTCTGATTGGCTGCCTGCTATTTGGTGATTGGTTGGCTACGCTGGAATGCGGCGAAGTGCAGATCCAATGACAATTGGGTCTGACACGAGTACGGAGTACTCCGCTGATAAGTCGGTGCCTAGGCACGTACCTGGGTATTATGTGTGACGTGCGTCTTACCTCACGTGATATGCCACCTCTGATCTTTTAATTCTATGAGATAAAAGGCATTTTATCACCAAAATTACAATCGCCGCAGAATCTTACAATATTGCCTCTTGTGGGACCTAACAAGCCGCGAGGCGGACAATGATTCACTGCGGCCAATGTCTTATATGGCTAGTAGCTACTAGCAACAGTAATATTTATTGATATTTAATGTGCAAAGCCGGTGACGTGCTAACGTCCCAATCGTCCTTCTTCTTCTCGTCGCCAAAGATCCTCAGGGCACGCACAACAAACTTGTACTTGCCAGGAGGAGCGTAATTGCCAGAGTCAAGACGTCCGTCCCAGGGGAAGGTATTGAGACCACGAGTTCCCCAGAGGGCAGGGAAGTTGTACGGCTGGCCAATAGTCTTGATGCCCTGGAATTCAGTCGTCAAGTTCTTAGGAGGGCACGTCGTCAGAGGCACAATGTCAGCGCGGATCTTTCGAGAGCCAAGGTACAATTCGACAGTGAGCTGGGGAAGAGTGTCGTTGGAGCCGGCGTTGCCCGGCGCGGGGATCACAAAAGTCGAGTTGGGCGGAACCGGGTTGGACTTTTTGTCGGTCGACTTGGAGATCCAGGTGTTATTAGCACCTAGGACCGCAGAATTGTGCAGGGAGCCGGTAAGTCCCTGGTAGGGGAGAGACAGAGACGTGCCATCGGTGCCGTTAATGACAATGTAACCAGACCAAAGAGCAAGGCGTTTGGCATCCAGCCCCTGAGGGGGGGTAGGGGAAACACTGATAGACTTGGACTGGCCACCGTTGAGGGTAACGCTGGTTTCGCTGAGCTTGATAGTGGCAACGGCTTGGACCGCCACATTCGGGAACTGCTGAACACTGGGCGAACCGTCACCCAACGCATACATCGTCATGGCGGGAGTATGGGTGATCTTGTAAGTAATCCCCTTACTGTCGGTATTCTGAAGCTTAAAGCTGAGCGTCTCGACAAAGTGGTCCGTGTCGTTGAATGACAAGCTGGAAGGCGAAAGAAGAGTGGTGGCATAGGCTGCATCATATGCCTGGACTAGACCACCGCCTTGCTGCGGAACGGGAGCCAAGAAATCGTAAAATTTGGTGCCGTCATTAAACAGCTGTGGGTTAGCGTTGGCAGAAAGCAAATTCTGAATCAGCTCAGGGTCGTAAGTACCGCGGACCTCGTGGATCAGAGCGATGATACCAGCAGTCTGAGGGCAGGACATAGATGTTCCGGAGAGAACAGCATAACTACCCAAGGCTCGGGGATAAGTGGAAAGAATATTACCGCCAACAGCACCAAACTGAGGCTTAGTATCCATTTCCCAAGTCGGGCCCCAACTGGTAAATGTGCTCAGAGCGCCGCCAGTAACGGTGTTGTTGGAAGTGCTGACCTCTGAGTCCGTCTTCTGAGGACTCACCATCTTCAGTGTAAGCTTTTTGCCATCCTTGAGAGCATTGATGAATGTTGCACCAGTCGTGCCGTCAATCATCGATGCTGCCTTGATGGAACCAGCAGGGACTCCCGTAAGGTCCATCGGAATGGCACCGACAGCATTGTTGTTGTAAACAATCACGTACTTGGCACCCTTGGCCACGGCGTTGTTGACCTTTTGCGCAAAAGAGCAAGAGCCCCGGCGGATCAGAACAACATACTTGCTGAGATCAGGCGTGTTGGCCGGGAAAGCGTCGCAGCCATCGTCGGGGATTGTAGGGTCGAGGCTGTTGGACCATGCCGGCAGCGTGACGCCGTCCCAGCTAGCAGGATCAGAAGGGACGTAGCCAAACTTGGTATCGGCATCGCCGTCTACCTGATATTGGGAGCTGTAGATGAGAGTAGGGGTCTGGACATTGTCATACGAAGCAATGGCTGAGACGCGACGGCCGTTGGCGGCAGTGCTAGCATAGAAGATGCCTTCTGCACCTTCATTGCCCGCAGAAACAGTACAAGGCACGCCCTTATCAACGATTCGGGAGACAGCCTCAGCCCATGGATCCTCAGACCAACCGCTAGGCCCGCCAATAGATGCCGTGATGATGTTGGCACCATCCTGATAAGCCTGGTTGAAAGCTGCAATCAGGACATCGTTACCAGCCTGACCCTTGCAGCCAAACACACGGTAGGCCCCCAAGGTCGCGCCAGGAGCGGCACCAGTGAACCCGTACGTGTTGGGCTGGGCGGCGACGATGCCGGCAACGTGCGAACCGTGGCCACCACAGTCCATGGGGTCGGGATCAGGGTGAGGCGTGTTGAAGCCGTCATAGGCATCGCCGACCAAGTCTGTTCCGAAGGCGACCAGGCAGCCTTCGCCGAAGCAGCCACCCAAAGCTGGGTGTTTGTAATCAATCTGCGCCAGTAGAGGTCAATTCCTAGCCTCGTCGCGGATGTGCTCCCAGAACGGCATGGGAAGCCTTGAATGCGTTCACTTACACCAGTATCAACAACGGCAATCTTAACGCCCTTGCCGGTAATTCCCTTTGCACGGAGCTTGTCCACCTGTGTCATGACATGAGGGGAAAACGTGTCAGCGCCATCATCAGCCCTCGAGGAAAGGAGACCACCCGGCGCCTTGGTGCCGTCCTGGGCAATCCATTCGACTTTGGGCTTGGGCATGTTGAAGAGCTGGACCGGGTACACAGCCTTGACAGCCGGTGTATCGGCCAGCTTGGCTGCCTTTTCGTGAGCCTTGTCGACGTCGTGCAATTGAACCGAGACGCCCTTGAACAACTCATAGTCGAGCTTCATTCGGGTCGTACCATCCTTGCCAACCGTCTGCTCGAAAGCAGCAGGGTCCTAGACGAGTATTAGCCGAGGCCGCATGAAACTACACATGACGCCATTGGGTCGTATAGAGTTGTTCCGGCGGAACAAACAACTCACATGGCCGGCCTCCAGTTCGAAAATGTACGCGCCGGGAACGATCGTCTTGACAACTTTATCGTCCTGAGCATCTGCGGCCAAGGCGGACGCAGCGGCCGCCACGAGCGACACGACAAGTGAGAGTCCCACCATGGCAGCAACGAAACAGAGAAACAGACAAGCTGTGAACTACAAAGACGGAAATCGGGGAGTTGACCAGCTTCACTGGATTCAAGAAGGAGGAGGGGCCATGGCAGCCTACTATATAGCCACCGAGGAGGCCTTTATCCTACGGCTCATGGCTTCTTCCACGAATTGGCAGTCCCCCGACTGGCCTTCTCCAACAATCTGCAAGTACAGAACTAGGGTCGGGATGGAGAGGCGGCCCCTGGTCACGCATGCATGGTCCGGCAAGGGACTTTGGGGTCTTAGGTCATGTAAGTGAGCAATGTTCGACACCAAAAGCGAGATAGGCGTGCTCAAGCTCACTACTCTGGGTTGCAGCACATGAAGGACCCGGTTCCCGGGGAGCAGGGGTTGACTTTAGTGTTGGCGTGGTGTTGTTTGCTGCTCCAGACTCCAATGCGTTGCACTGCTTTCCTCGAGACTTGCCGTGGCCCGTGGACAGAGCATCGCGTTGGTTGGAACTTGGAACACGGAAGCTTGCCCGGAGAGGAAGAGAAGGACCCAGCGCATGGCGATATGAGCACATGTGCACAGACGCCAGACCCATTGTTTACCGGAGACGGGTGCCTGAGACGAGTTCCAAGCCTCAAAGAGCCCATTTCACCACCGCCGGCGGATGAGACCAAGACCGAGAAAAAACAAGGACGGTCAAGTAACATATCTAGATGGGAGTGGAGTGGGGTTCCTGAGTTGGCTGGCTACATGTATCACCTACTATATCTGGCAAGCGGCACCTCCCTCCCATATGTATGACCCAATGGGGCTCAAAGAAGCTGGCTCCTTTGGCTGCACTTGTAACAGTATACATAGTGCATATTTATCGCGTGCCTTTAGTAATTATATTTACTTTTTTCTATACATATAAAGTGTTGTAGATTAGCTAATATGCGACCGTAGGGGTACCCCCGTCGTACCTCGTGCGGAGTCATGTCTCTATGTAGGACCTAGGTAGTGAGAAGTTCTTTGCTCATCTCAGCGACTTGCAAGCGCTGTGTACTCAGATAGGCTTGGAAAACACTCAGTAGCACATTAAACAGCGCAGATCAGAACCCGAGGGGACATGTTGGCCACGTTTCCAGAAAGCACAAGAGGCTCACCAAGTGGTCGGGGAAATGGGACTAGACAAGACAAGCCCGAAGGTGCGTCGCTGGGCATGTGGATTCGTGCATCTAGGCACGGCTTGTAGCCTTGCGTGACCGCCCAGAATATTGGCCAAGCGTAATAGAGCAAGTATGCCCCGACAAACGCGGAATCCAGAGAACAACTTCAATCGCCATCGACAGATGCACTTAGCCACCAGTCGCGGCCCGCTCAACGGCTTGTCGGCTGGTGAGACAGTGGATCGCCTTACCTCACCATGGGCTGGCTGTCTGACCCGGCACATGGTTTTCCTCGCTCATTGTCCAACGGGAGAAATATTCAAGAACAGCGAGGTGACTTGGCGTGGCAGAGCTCATAGCCTGGCCACGACGAGCTGCAACGAGGACTGTTGAGATGGGCAGTCGATTTCCGCAAGGCTGGGTTGGAAGGGGGGCCAACGAGACGGCGCCCAGCGGTCTCAGCACGAGACTTGGCTCTCCCTCCCGGTCGAATGAACAGGCTCCCGTTCTGTGTGGCCTTCATGCGACGGTCAAACTTGCATTGTAGAATGTCAAGACACTGCATGTCGACCACCGAAACACCGAAAAAGAAAGCTCGGATGGCCCAAACAGTCGTCTTGGACGACGCACCAATCTCCGAGATCGGCGCTGGCAAAATTGAGCAGCCATGCCACCGAGGTTAGCTCCCTGAAGGCTTCGCTGCCCGCTGTATGTTCATTGATCCTTATTTCTTGATCCAACATATCGCTGGTGCCCGTTTCTATCAAATGGGCTGTGGGGTAATGTTTAAAACAATTGGTTTTGGAGTCGGCTCGTGGAGTTGCTTTGCTTGTCCCGGCCTGGAGATTGTGCTGTGGGGATCACTACAATCCTTGCACAAGGTTGACATCGAGACCCTGGGGTCGTCCAGCGGCTGCATCTTCCCCACTCTGAAGCGGTTGAAGGCATAAGGTACTAGCCCCTGCCGTGGGGTAGTCATCTTATTCTTTTGGAGCTGCCCTGTTTGGTGACTGCAAGCAACCTCATATCAACATGGGAACAAGCTGCTGCAGGTTATATTCCGGGGGGCGGCAGCTTCAGATTGAAACCTTTCAGCGGGTAACTCTTTACATAGCGTAATAGGAGAGACATAGACCCTATCGTAGACCCCGGCATTGGCCCGTTTGGAAAGTCATGTGTCCATTGTCATTTTGGCTGGCGTTGTCTCTGGTTGAGGGTCTTGTGCCTCGTCTTAAAGCCGCTCACTCCACTTTGCAGCTGCTGTCAGTGCCGTTTTGCCAAGAAAAAGAATATACTAAGCGTACATACTCGAAGAGCACCATGGCTGACTAGATCCGGCAGGTGTAACTGCGAACTTTTGTTCGATAGCAATGTTGACCATGTTCGGCGGAGTGGCCCGAACATCATGGCCTGTCCCGGCCGCCATGTTTATGATATGCAGTACGGTTCCCATTCAGGCCACGGGCAGGCAGTCTATCGGTCAGCTGTACCCAAGTCCCGCAACAGAACTCAGCAAGGTGCATGGTGGTAGCACTACATACTGCACTTGAGCAAACGGTGAGGTCACGCTGCATGTTGGACAGTGTCGCGGGTTGCGGCCCGACCAGCAGGACGAAGCGAGGCAGTTTCGCGAGGAAGAACAAGGTTGGAGTAAGGCGGAAGGGCGCAGGGTGTAGATAGACGGGTTACATTGTGGAACAATAACAGCGATGCCCATCTCTCGCGTGCCTCTGTCGCCGTTGCAGAGGATGACGGCAGTCGAGGTCTGATCTGTCGCGCGCGATGGGTGGCGATACGTTGTTCGCAAGGATCAAATGCACGCGGGGCTTCCTTCCTTCCCTCCTTCACTCGACAATTCCAAGTTGCCTGCACACGGCAATTTCAGGCCTCGTTGGCTCCTTCCCAACGAGAACACCCCAAGTACACGACCGACAAGGCTGCGCAAATCTCTCGGGAGGGTGAAAATGATGCAGGACTCTTGCATGCGGAATCTCGCTCAATTTTCATCCAAGACAGAGGAGAAACGAACCTCGTATCCCAACCAGACAGGACCACCTCCTACCCGCAGCTGCATCGGACTCGACCAACCTCCCGGCTCTGTTCTGTGCTCCTCGCAAATCGCAAACCGGAGTGAGAACCCCATGTCTTGTCCTTGGGCCTGCATCACGTAAATTGACGTGCCCATGATGCATTCAAGCTTGCCTCCACCAATAAACCTCGATTTGGCAATCCTCGCTGGGATCGTTTGTCCCAGATATTCCACCACTGGGTCAATACTATTCACCTTCCCATATCGGCCGACGGCTGGCAGCTGCTCCGTACTCCGCACAATATCGCGGTAGCGCAGTGACTCAACGTCGTGGCGATACCGCATGGGACGAACGGCTCCGACCAGGATCTCGGCGTCAAGGCACGATGGGTTCCTGCTTCATGCATTGTGTGACGCCGACGGCTGTCTACTCCTTGGCTTGAGTGCTACCCAGAGTCGAGGCAAGAAATCTCGGAGTTGTCGATCCTCGGAGGGCGCTGACTAATTCCTGCTCCTAGATTCACGTATCCACACGTGGCTGCTTGCGTCGCCCAGTGCTGCAGCGACTCTCGCCAACTTCCAGATATCAGTGATTGATCGATCACGGGTACGCTCCCGCTCCCAGAACGGTCAGTCGACCTTGTAAAACCTCTGGCGCCCAGAACTGGAGAGAGCTTGATCCTTCGTCCATCGGGTTATGCCTTGGGAGCAGCAAACCTCCGCCAAAGCTAAGACATGCTGTCAATGACACCCCAAGAGCCCTTACACCATACAAGGTTTGCACGCCACGTCACCTACCCTGTGACGGGATGAATTCCACGGCGTAACTTGCCAAGAGAGTTTGCACTAGACCTATCCTACGCGACCAGGTGTTTTAAAGGCCAATTTTATCTTTACAGATGTACCCGGAACTGCAACGCGTTGCAAGATTAAAGCTGTTCCCAAACATCACCAGCAATTCGAAAACCCGCCCGACATGGACTTTAGACTGTCGAAAGCGAGCCCAGCTCGCCGTTCCCAGTCCTCATGAAAACATTCGAAGGTCGATCACGATGCGCAAATTGCTCATCAACCACGTAGACAATTTCTGGGCCTTCCTGTCGAAACCCCATCTTCTCATACACTCGTCTCCCCATGACTGAAGCCTCCGTGATACACTCCAAACCTCCCCTGGTCTTTGCCTCGTCCAGCCCCCATTGAACCAGCTGCTTTGCGATGCCCCTGCCTTGGTAGGCCGGGTCGACGACACACAAGTCAAGGACCATGGCAGAGGGAGGCAAGGAGTCGGCCTTTTTCTTCACCAGGTCTATACGCTGGCGATGAAGAGAATGGATCGCCTGGCAGAGGTACCTTTGCTCCGCCTCGTTCCCCGGATATATCTTGTCAAGATCGAGGGCTTTGCTCAGGTCTTCGGCGGGCAGATCGCCGTGGCCGGCAACGCTGGAGAGTTGGAGCCAAATGGCTGTGCCGACAATCTTGCGTGCCCCTCCTGGAGCCGCTCCGTCACGGGGTACCGTTGCCTTGAGGAATATTGTATTCGGACGGCCCTGGTGATCCTTGGTGGCTGCTCGCCAACGATGTACCATACGAGAGGTCGCCTGTGCCTTTCCTTGCGGAGTGTCCCAGCTTGGGTTCATGGCTGTCCACAAGCCATCATGCGTCTGTTTACCGAACGTTTCGCAGACGGGGTTGATTGCCTCAACCATGTCTTCGGCCGTGTTGATTTGCTCTATGAGAATGCCAGATTGCTCTGCGGCCATGGCTGCGTCGTCGAAAGTCATTGCTTGCACGGGCTGTGCCCACGTCTAGTTGTTTAGCTTGTGGGCTGGGCTGCTCGAGCTGAGTATTTTGTCTGTTCAGAATCAGTCATCTTGCAACCTGTGATGCGTGGCCACACTCAGTTTTGGGCCAAGAAGCCCACACAATATCGAATGGGCCAACGATACGACAGTCCCATGTGGAACTTGGGGCCCCATGATACCCATGTGCTAACCCAAAGAGACATGGGAGCTGGGGGCGGCTAATCTGGCTTTCGTCAAGTTGAGCTTCTACAAGACGCCTCGATGCCGAAGGACTGGAGTCACTACTGCTAGTGAAGAGCCATATGCCAACTGATTTCGATCCAGATTCAGCTGAACCAACTTTGAGCTCTCCGAGTTTCCGTTGCAGCAAATATCTCACGGTTATCAACACTGCCCTCAATCTCTCACGCTTGATGAGTGCTCGCTTGGACAGATTGAGCGACAAGTTTTGTTACAGCTACTTCATCGCCTTCCGGCTCTTTCGCCAGCCTTTAGCCACATCCGCCTGAGATGGCATCGTTCAATGCCGTCTTTTGCCTGGTGAACTAATGCCGCCAAGGGGACCGCGGACAGCCAAGTAGGTTGCATGGCTCAAAGTATAAATGCGTAGTGGAACTTCTAACACGGATGGAAGCTGTTTTTATACAGCCATGCGTTAAAATATGATTCGGTCCCTAGCCGTGGCATTGAGTACAAGACTATTGTCCCCGATGACGCCAAGCTCTGGGAAACCGTCTCCTTGCCTGTTACTCTTCCGTCAGCACTGACACAAGTATTTGGTCATTGTATGCAAGGCGAGCAAGAGTCCGGTTCATTCGAAGTATAAAGCAGGCTTGTTCTGCCTGCAAGACTCTACTGACCTCGCCAAACAATATTCGAAGCTGCTCCTCATCACTATTCTGCGATATCGTACGACTGTGTGTGGCTACATGGGTCAACAAGCCAGTCATCACTGCAGACTACACCTGTTGCGGTCGTCATGCACAAGGCAGTGGTTCTCACACTTGGTGTACTGGCGATCACTTGCCATGCTTTGCAGGCCATCATTCTTGCCGACACGAATCGAGACGGAAAGGTTGACATGAACGGGAACTCAGATGATGCACTAAAGTCCACTTGGACGGAGGAACGAGGAGCCATTTTCATGGCCAATATTGCCGATACGAACCGCCGATGCTCCGCTAGGAACAATTCCCACCATCTTGATAAGTGCCACGACGCATCTGATAACATCCTACGCAACTCCAAGTACCTGGCGCCTCTACGCACCGTCGCTGACGGTGCCTTGAGCGACGCAGCCAGGGGCAAGATCTTTGTCCCTGGCAAATATGCCGAGAAAAATGTCCGCATCTTCCACAAGAGCGGCGGTAATTGGAACTATGTCAACAAGAGCTATGTCTTCAGTCCTCCTGATCTGCGGGCCGGTCTAGAGCTGGGGATTGACGCACGAGACGTTGGTCGACCCAAGGGATGGGATGGGATGGCCATGGTCAACTTTGTATTGACTGACCAGGAGCAGTCTGCCAATGATACAGTCGCACTTCGTGTTGCACCCATCCTGATACCTCATGATAAACGAAGGCTTGAAAAGATGTCGGTTGCAACTCACAAACGTTACCCAAACTGGGAGTTGTTTGCCGAGCATCTACAGAAGTATCTGGTTGATCGTAGATTCGAGGAGCCTGTGACCAGGATCGACAGTCTGCACGGCTGGGCCCACGACCACTTCAAAGCCGGATATACAAGTATGCCGGGACCCGACGGGCCTATTTCCCTGCGCGTCTATCTCAAGGGCTGTCTAGCGGGGCCGGAGGGCGAACGAGTGTTTGAGGATATGAGAGGTGACTCGGCCGGCGCCGTTCGACATCATGAGACATCCGAGTTAGATTCGGACCAGCTGGGGAATATTGAAATCATACCCCCCCATTCCCACAACGGCGCAAACTACCCTGCGGGAAGAGCAGTCATGGGATTCGCCCGCTTCATGTCCGGCCACAAAACGCCCAAGATGCTGAAATTTTTGCAGGCCCAGAAGTTCCAGCACCCCTTCACCCTCGATCATAGTTGGCTCTTTCGTGGCCAGATTGCCGACTACATGCAGTTCGTACCTGCCAACACCTCCCGAGGATGGGCCATGATCGTGGCCGATCCCGTTGCCACACTCAAGTTGTTCAAGAAGGCCAAAAAGGACGGCCATGGCGAGAATATAGCGATATCTCATCATAGCTTCCTCAGACCAGAGCCTGAGAAGGATTGCGATAAAATGACCATTAGTCAGCTTCTTCGGCTGCCTCTCGTCAGAAAAACGACCGAGTGGTCCGGAAAGAGCATTGCACACAACGTCAACGTTATCAAGAACGAAACTGGAATCACTGAAGATGATATCGTACGCGTCCCGACCCTTTTCTACTCGCGTGATGGTCTCACAACGCTGAGGCAGATGTACTGTATGGGGAATAGATATTATGTACCTCCAAAGTCGATGGCCCTGAAGACGAAACGCTGGTTCCATTACATGTGGAACATGGCAAAGAACTTCTTCGAGTTGGCGCGAACCACACCCTGGCCTTCCAAACCTCTTTATCCCACAGCCACTAACGGCATCTACTTTGAAAACTTCCAATACCTGAGCCCGCAACCCTTCGGGCCCCTCATCGACGGGTCGGACATATTCGTCGAGGCTATCCGCCAGGCCTTCGGCAAGGTCGGAGTGAATGTTACATTCTTCGAGAACTGGGTTATTCACCACGTGCGCGATGGCGGAATCGAGCGCGCCGTCAATGTGGAACGTGATATTTTTCAGAAGTGGTGGACAATGGATGCCGCTGATGAAACGCCTCAACGTGAAGTCGCTCCAGAGAATCATACAGAGGATCAGCGCGCCTGAAAGCAAAAGCACGCGTTTGCCATATAATCATCCTTTGCTAGGCGAGACGCTCACCTTCCGTCGGACTATTTTACCTCTTTTGTTTTTGAGTCTTTATGGATATACTTGCCAGGAGGAGCGTCGACGCCGAACCCGAGGTATACATTTCAGGGGACTCGGCTGTCCCATCTCCCGGCGTCTGTCACGAGTATGTTCTGCCAGAGAGGGGGCTCTTTTTATGGCATAGTTAGTCTCTGGGGCTCGATTGGTTATTATGAGCAGTCTTGGTAAACAAGTAGCCATGGTAGCCAAGCATAGCGGCCATTGCTGGGTGTGCAACACGGGAATAGTAGCCATCGTTCAGCCGGTGGCCTGTGGGAGCTTTCCACACGAATTCTTGGCGAATAATGGAACAAGGATGTGTACACCGCTTACGATTGAAGCCAGAGCCACGCGGAAGACGCTCTTGGCCGGCTTTGACAAGACCGGCGGCACCATGCCGCTGCAAGTGAGGCCGAATCAAAGACACGTTGACTTTTCAAAGAAATGCTGCCCTTTGTCTCACTATGTACATAAACAGCGCGGCCGTTGCTGGGTGTGTAACACGGGAATAGTAGCCAACGTTTAGCCGGTGGCCTGTGGGAGCTTTATATATAAATTCTTGGCGAGTGATGGGATAGGAATATGTACACTACTTATAATTAAACCCGGAGCCACGTGGAAGACGCTCTTGGCCGGCCTTAATAAGACTGGCGGTATCATAACACTATAAGTAAGGCCGAATTAAAGATACGAATTTTTTTAAAAAGAGACGCTGCCCTTTTTCTCACCATGTACACAAGCAGCGTCGAGATGAAAGCAGATGTTTTAGTTGAATCAAGCATATTAAAAGTAAACTATCCATGCTGGCAGAAAGACGTCAACTTAACGCCCCAGCTGTGTCGGCTTCAAAGTTCAGACCAACGCCCGGGTCAGCAACAACGCACTCGCTTCGATTCCTGCAGTCGCCGACTCTTCAGAGTGTCTCTGCACACCGTCTTTTTCTCTCTCTACTTGTACGACACCATACTGCGCCCTTGAACACCTCTCTCCGGATCAAATGTATTTACGCAGCTGCACGCACAGCTAGTATCCCAATGGAAGACCTTTTGAGATATACCCCTTCTCGCGCCGCAGTGCTGACGGTATCCCCCTTCCTGAGTCAGAAATTCTTCAAGCGGAACCCAGGCCTCACGGAGCAGATTTGCGTCCAGCAGGCCGCGCAGGTGCTCGGCTGCCCGGCCAGCAGCATCCTTCCCGCGGCTGTCCAGGGCGCAAGCAGTTTCACCGTGACCAGATCCGACGCCCGCCCCGGCGACTTGGGCGTCGTCCAGTTCCGCGATCTCTCGTCCCCGCTGAGCAGAGACACCATGGCCCTGGCGCGCAGGACCTACGGGCATGTGATTCCCGCCTGCGACGTAGTCACATGCGGGCTCGGCGACAAGGCGCACGTCTATCTCATGACGCTCGCCGGCGGCATCGCCGTCAGCGCCGCCCAGAGGAACTTGTACCAGGACGAGGGCGCCGAGCGGCTCACGGTGACGGTGGCCGACTTTGCCTCGTCTGTGCTTCCCTCTCCCCTCCACTCTTCCCCGTCACAAGTCCGCCTTGTAGCTAACCACGTCTGGGGGCAGTTATGTCGCGTCCTCGCTGTCGACTGCGCGGCAAAACACTGACGACGCCCTCCTGTCGCAGGCATACGACCAGCTGGCCGTGTGGGAGGCCCTGCCGGCGCGGTTCCAGCCCAAGCTCGCCGAGGTGCGCGCGCGGCTGCCCGCCATCTTGGGGCGCCAGTTCCCGCAGGTGCTGAACCACGCGGACCTGGTGGAGATGAACATACAAGTCGACGACGCGTCGGGCGGTATTGCCGGCGTCGTCGACTGGGAAAACGCCAGCTACGGCGCGTTCGGCGTCGCCATCGCCTCGCTCGAGGTCTTGCTCGGCATCTGCACCGGCGGGGGGGTCTGGATCTGGCACCCGCGGCAGGAGCGCCTCCGCGCCGTCTTCTACGAGACCCTCTGCGCGGAGCTAGGCCGTTATCTTGAGGGGCGTCACTTGGACGCGGATGACGTCGAGGCCGCGAGGGTGTTGGGGCTCTTTGTCATGTACGGGGCCTGGGCTGCTGCGGGGGCCGATGGACATGACAGCGATGGGGACGGCCGCGGAGCCGCGCTGGCTGCTGTGTGTTTGGAGGCGGGCTTGGGGGAGGGGGCGGCCGCGCAGCCTTTTCTCCGGCGGTATTGGGGTGACCGCCGGCTTACCTAGGCCGTCGATGGCGGATGATGATCTCGAGCAGCCCGGACAGCGGCGCGGTCCATCTCCTCGGTGCTTCGTGGCGGGTCTCGATGTGGGGGAGGCCGTCGACTGTAGCTGCAGCCGCGAGAGCAGAGGACTACGTGCAAGGACATGGAGCCTAACCGGACACTTGGTGGCCGCGCTTCATGTCGTTTATAGTGAGGGGTGCGCTGAAGCCGGGGACGACAGCGGGCGTCGTGTCGCTAAGAGCTGCATGTGCCATTGATGGTGTAAGTCAACGGTAAGAGACAATGGATACAAGGATAAATAGGGGATTGTACACGACATGGAGAAGTCAAAAGGCCTTGCGAATATGGCCCGGCGCAAAAGCCATGTTCTCTCTGGATTTGGCAATTGTCCGCGACACTTTCTTTTCCGAGACGAATGAGACGCGAGTCGGTGGGTTTCGTGAAAACCTCGGAAATCATATAAACGAATTGCTCTTGGATGGATAATGCAATAATGGAGCTGCGTTCGCCTAATAGAAAGGTACTAGCCGTATGTCCTCTAACGAATTTGGACTTGACCGGTTCATAAACCAAGCGACTGGATCGAAATCACCCAACCAGCCATCCGAACACGATGCCCCCTTTCCGTCCAATCCGCATTCTACCACATCGCAGCCAGTTCATAATACGGTCGAATGCCTGGCCTCGTTCGTTTCACAGCGCCATCGCCAAGTTCACCACGATCGATCCAAAAGGTGTACCTGTTTCCTACAATACCGGAATCATGATCGGCGAACCTGAAGAGAGCTATGTATACGTCGAGCCAGAGATTGGGAAGGCCATTCAACTCGCGATCGTCCGACAACTTGGGCCCAACGCGACAAGTCACTTCCAAACTCTCCCCCTCCAATTTCACCACGATTCTCACCACTTTGCACATGGTATGTGCTGCCACGCCTACGCCATGGCTTGACCTAAATTGACGCACGGCAGAATCTGTACCTCTTCCTCGCATCGACATATTCCGCAACTTGGGCCGGTCAAGCTGCGACACTACATGTAGCCCCGCCATGCTCTGGCTGTCGGGTAACTGGCACGCCATCACGCTAGACGGAACACCAGATGGTGAGTACCAAGTAACGTGATAGTAAACGCGGTGTGGAACGATGTAAAATGTTCTTGTTAATCTGAAGACAGAAAGTTTCGAGCGGATGTCGAGGGAAAGCGCTTGCGAGCTCAGAGGCGCACTTGAGAGGTTAAAGGACAGCTAGTATTTGTCGATCGTACAGAGGATCTGGGTCATGAAATACAGACGACTGAGACGGCTACACGTTCCCAGCCCGCCAGCTATATTACGAGCTCTCTGCCTCTACATTCTGGCAAAACCAATTTTTTTAACCCTTGTTGGCTCTGCTCCATGTACTGTCGGATTTCCGAAGTAATAGGAGGAACTGGTGCTGTGATGTTATTCTTATAGAAGGAGGCTAAACTCTCAGCACTCCATTGATTTGTTGCAACGGCAACATGAGCGCTCTGTAACTGTTGGCCCATCTTTTACCTAGGGCGGTCTCGACATGTCGAGACTGTTGGATCCGCAGCGTCGAGACGTTCAGTTTGTGCCGGATTAATCGACGGTGGTCCATCGCTGACCCGTTACCACTTCTGCGCGTGACCTTGTTGTCATTGACATGTCAAGTTTACCATCAGTTGAATGTTGGCTCGGGTGTTCCCAAATGACTCTGCTCTGGCTTGCTTGGTGCACAGATAAGCCAGCGTGCACTCGAGACAAACTCACACCAGCGTGTAGGTTCAATGTTGGATATTGTCGCCGACATGCCGGTCTTGGGCTCATCATGTCGAGGCTGTAGAGCAATCAACTAAATCCCAGCTTGTATCGAGAGGTGGCGCACATGCTACTCTGTCAATGATGGTAATCTTGTTGCATTCGCATGTCCATGTCCACCAGACGTCACTTGGCATCTGCAAGTGAGCGTGGGGACACGCGGTCTGAAGCCAAGCAGCCATGTCCACGTAACTCCAGACGCCGCCGTGTTTCCCCTGGAGTTTGTCGTTCAGCTTAATGTTCCAGAATCCACCGTTGACCCTTCCGTCTTCAGCCTTACGGCGCCCGAAGCCAATCGAGCCGCCTCCAGGTGTCCCCGCAGCACTTCCTGGCGAGGCGCTGCGTAAGAGCTGACGAGCCGTCATCCTACACCAGGAGTATATTTTCTCCCTCTTTTTAATTAAACAAGAAACAAAAAACGAAAGAAATAAGCATTAAACAGCCGCTATTTCACGCCTCGTGATTTACACTTCATTTTAAAGGCGGCGTGTCCTTCCTAGTTGTCGCGAATCGTGGCCAATGAGCGCAACGACGGCCAACCGCCATCAACAGTGACAACCCCTCGCCATGGATAGCTTCTCGCCCGCTTCCCTCTACCCCCTCTGCTCTGCCATAACCCAACACGCCGTCTCCAGCACGGCCGAAGCCCAAAGCCTCCTCCAGTCAGCCCCGCAAAGCAATCAAATCACCAGCCAAATCGCCGCGCTGTCGGCGTCATTCAACGCGGCCAGTGTCTCCGTCACGCACCTGGAGCACGCGCTTCACAATGCGGCCGCGATTTCTGCGCGGATGCAGAGCGTCCTCACCGAAAACGTGACCTCGTGCAACTCGCTAGCTGCCAGACTACACAAGCAAATGATGCGGCTACACCGAGAGAACCTGAAGGATGTAGACGCTCGCTTCGTCGCGGCGCACCTCGCCGCCTTGACGACGTACCAAGGCTTATTCCAGCATCTCTCACAAACACTATCCATGTGAGCAGTGCCGCAGCTGCTTCTCGGGCAAAGCGTCTCAAGCTAATATCCCATAGTCATCAGAGAGACGCCCAAGACGCCAACCTAACTAGTTTCAGTGCCCAGGAACTGATTCAACAAGCAGACAGTGCCTCGCAGGCGGCATCCCAAACCACAAGTATCCTGCTGGACGACAACGCCGGACAGGGCTGCAGCCCTTCAACATTGAACAATCTCCCTCACCGCCCGAAGAACCAAGACACGCCACAGGATGAGCCGCCGCCATACGCGCCAACTGATCCTTCGTCCAATTCTCACCAAGGCCCGACGCCTCCACAAACCGAGGCCGGTCCAAGCGGCTTCTCCCTCGGGAGAACCCTGAAAGCGTTTGCGCATTCCCTGATGCCAAAGCCCGACCCCTTCGTCAACGCCCTGTGCCAGGCCGTTACAAACGGCGACATCCAGCAGGTGACGGGGCTCCTCTCACAGGGGATCAACATCGACGGCAAGGGGGAAGCGGGCAAAACGCCGCTGCAGTGTGCCATCGCGGCAGACCAACAAGACGCCGCCGAGGTCCTGCTCTCCGCCGGCGCCAACTACACATCCCCCGGCGGATGGGGCCACGGCATGCCGCCCATGTTCCAGGCCGCCGCAGCCGGGCGCGTCGGCATCGCCCGGCTCATCATGGCCCGGGGCGTGCAGGCCACGGAGACGAGCATAACCGGCCAGCCGTACCTCGTCGACGTCGTCGGCAGCAACAGCCTCGACGGCGTGCGGTTCCTCCTCGACCACGGCGCCAGCCCCAACTCGTCCAGCATCTCGGGGCGCCGCGTCCTCGCCCAGGCCGTCGCGCAGAGCAACCCCGAGCTCGTCGAGCTCCTCGTCAAGCGCGGCGCCAGCCCCAACACCCCCGACATGACGGGCGGCTCTGTCCTCGCCGTGGCCGCGGAGAAGGAGGACCTCCGCACCGTCCGGACCCTGCTCGACAACGGCGCCGACGTCGATGGCACGACTGTCTACGGCGCAACCGTGCTCGTGGACGCCCTCGCCCGGAATCGCCTGGACCTAGCGCGCGTCCTGCTGGACCACGGCGCCAGCGGCGGCAGCGACGACGCCTCGGGCCAGCCTGTTATTCTCGCCGTCCTCAAGAGCCACCGCATTAAGCCCGGCGACAAGGTCGACCTGGTCGGACGGCTGCTCGACAACGGCGCGCCCCCCAACGCCAGGGACCTTGCGGGCACGCCTGCGCTCTGCTTGGCGCTCGACGCCGCGACGCCCGACCTGGCGAGTGTGCTTGTCGAGCACGGCGCAGACACAAACGCCGCCACGGGCGCGGGCGAGCCGCTGCTGCTGTATGCCGTGGAAAAGGGGCACACGGCCCATGCGAGGATGCTGCTGGAGCACGGGGCGGACGCAAACGCCGCCAGTGCGCGGGGTGAGACGCCCCTCGTGCAGGCCGTCGCCAGGCAGGACGTCGAGCTCGTCAAGTTGCTGCTGGAGCACGGGGCAAGTGTCGATGTGCGCGCCGTGGAAGCCGCGGGCACAAGCCGACCCGACATGTTGCACATCTTGGGCTTGGACGGAGTCCATCCCCCAACTTACCAGGCGTCGAGTTCGTGAGGACGGGAACACATTCCAGAGAGGGAGCGTAAGAAACATCCATGTACGTAGTATAATAGTAGCAACCGGTCTATACGCCTGTAGTCAAGTGCCCGAGTAAAACCCGCCCCCCAATGCTTAAACGCCCAAGTAATGCCCCCTATTGTCCCAGGATGCTCCTCAGCCACCACGCGTGGATGCGCGCATCGCCCGTCAGCTCCGGGTGGAAGCTCGTGCCCAGCACATTGCCCTGGCGCACGGCGACAATGTCCCCCGAGCCGTGCTTGGCGTTGGCCTGCGAGACGCCGGCCGCGGCCCTGTCCAGGCGCCCCGGCAGCGTGGCCAGGACCTCGACGCCGTCGCCGAGGACCTCCTCCACGACGGGGGCGCGGATGAAGACGCCCGGGAAGGGGGCGGCGTCGTCCCCGAGAAACGCCAGGTCCAGGTCCGCCTCGAAGCTCTCCGTCTGCCGGCCAAAGTGGTTGCGGTGGACGCGCACGCCCAGCCCGCCGATGAGCTCCTGGCCGCCCTTCTTGGTGGCGTTGGCCTGGTCCGAGAGCAGGATGAGCCCGGCGCATGTGCCCCAGACGGGCTTCTTCTGGACCCTGCAAGAGGTGAGCGTGTGTGGTGAGTTGGAGATCAGAAAGGGAGGACCAACTTTACGTAGTCTCTCAGCGGTTCGAGCAGGCCGGACTGCGCGGCGACAAGGGAGATGGTGGTGCTTTCGCCGCCGGGGATGATGAGGCCGTCGCACCGGGCGAGTTCTTGGGCGGTGCGCACTTCGATGACGGAGACGTGCAGCTTGAGCCGGTCGGCGGCCTTGCGCACGAGGTTGATGTGTTCGATGAAGCCGCCCTGGAGGGCTAGGACGCCAATGGTGAGGAGGATCATGGCGGCGGCGCGAGTCTTCTGCCTGGAGGGTTTGGCGCAAAAATATGGCAAGGCGAGTGTAGGAAAGGACGCAAGGGAGTGAAAAAGACGCAAATGAGGCTTGAGCACGCAGGAGCTGGACAATCTATGAGATGAGTTGAGACGAGATGATGAGATGAGATGAGTTTCATGGGCAAAAGGCAAAGTAGCCATGTGCCTGGGAGATAGTACGGAGTACTCCGTACATGGTGGTCGGGTACGGTACGGAGCACCTAGAGATAAAATGACTAACGCAAACGATTTCATGACTCCATAAAAATCATCTTGGGGTGCGAGTGCCGTGGCGACGGCGAGAGTCGGGACTGGCGAGACGGGCGGCGGGTCCGCCTTAGCAGTCGCTGTATGGGTTTTTTTTTTTCGCAATACAACGTCAACTCCGAAATGCTGGGTTCAAACGGCCCATGCCATGCCGCCGCCAGCAGGGTGCGCACATGGGTCACATTCCACAGCAGACGCGCATGCAGTCGCTAATGCAAGCACCGGCAGCCTCGGCCTGCAGCGGACCGTCTTGAAGCAGCAAGACATTTCAACGTCAAGTGACTCAAGTCTGGTCGGATGTCGAGATGGGAGGCGGCATGCCACGGCTGTCCAACCGGCGCTCGCCCAGGGACAATCGATGTACTCAGTATGTAAGCCCCCCTCTGACTACAGCCAAGGTGCATCCGCGTACGCATGCATGATGCTTAGGGCGCGCCCGTAGTCGTGGCCTTGGGAGACCAGTCAGTCTCATGGGCTTCTTTTTGGCTTCTTCCCCTTTGCAGTCACCATTTGGTGTTGCGCCAGGTATAGATGCGCCAATACCTTGGGTGGCGTGCGCAGTGGTCAAGCTGCTGTCTGGGCTCTGGAATCATGTATCGATTCATCAGATGTACGGAGTACTTGACCGGACATAGTACTCAGATACTGGGTGCGGGGCTGCCAGGCGATGGCCGCCGCCGATTTCCAGGTGCGCCAGGCACGCCCTTTCTTTGACCTCGAGCCCACCGTGGTTTTCATGTCTGCCGAGTCATTCCAGACAGTCGATATCGGGATGCATCAGATGGAATGGCACCCACGACATTGGTGCCTGTATTCTACTTCGGATGTATTGACGCATGACGGCATCGATTTGGCCTCCTGACTCAACAAGGCGCCAGTCTCTGGCCTTTGAATTCTTGCCCAAGACTACCAGCACATTCGTTCCCCCGATACGAGTGTTGTTTCGTCCAGATTCAGTGCATCCGATTGCCACGTGAACGCCCCCAATGTCGAGATCTGGGCATGGCTCTTCATCTTGTCCGGCCCCACGTCCAGCAGGGCTGAATGAGTGTACTGCATGTTCGTCCACGTTCTACAGCAGACGGAGCTCTGCGATGCGGCTGACTTGCGCTCGCTAGCAACTGGGCCGTTGCTGCATTTATTGACCATTTCGTAATCGTCGCCGGAACCCGACGCTTGCCGCGCCGCTGGAGGACCTGTGGCGGACTGGCCTCGATGCTAGGCGTCAGCTGGTCCCTGAGGTCGCCTGCTGTGTGCGGCGACAGTGGCGGCGCCGACCGCGGCTCCGGCCAAGTTGGATTTTTCAGAGCTGGAGATGATGGTGGGATCGAGGGTTCAATGTTGGGTCTCAGTCTGGCCTAAAACATGCTGCCGGACAGGAAACCCAGGAAGGTGTCGACCGGTCAGGTACTATTGGCAATGGATTGACCGGCTTGACCAGCGCTCGACGAGAAACGGCCTTGGCGTGCTCCGTTGTCGGTCGGTCGGTCGGTCAGACGGTGAGCTTCCGAGTCATCTCGACGCCTTCCCCCAGACGTCAAGATGGCATAACGGAGCTTGAGCGCCAGGCAATGTAGCCCGGCCTAGAGCACGGAGCAGTTGGATCGTACTTGCCCAATTCAACTGCTCCGTTCTTTCCATGCCATTCCGCAACGGGAGGCTTCGACTGGGTTCTCGCCTCCCCTGCCCCACCTTCCACGACCACCACCCCTCCTGTGATGCATGCTAGGCCAGCCCATCCCCGAGGGTCCTGGCTTTTCTTCGTTTGGCTGGGTCCTGCATGCTGCCCCTCCATCGGTCTGCTCCTTCCACACCTAACCCCACCATGACTGGCAAAAAAAGAGCGTAATACAAATACATTGTTGCCGTTTTTTTTCTCTCCCTCCCACGAGACGGGCATTGTAGATATTTTCCTCCCCTTCTCTTCCCCCTCCACAGTTGCTCCGCGGGCGTTTATTACTGCTCCATACCCCAGCTTTTGCTCTTCCCCTCCGACACCCTCCACGCACAGCAACCACCACATCACCTACCATCGCAATGGCCAACGAAACTGCCGCCGCCGCTGCCAATGGCGCTGCTCCCAAGTCCACCTTTGCCGTCAAGGCCGGTCTCGCTCAGATGCTCAAGGGCGGTGTCATCATGGACGTGACCAACGCCGCGCAGGCCCGTATCGCTGAGGAGGCCGGTGCTTGCGCCGTCATGGCCCTCGAGCGTGTCCCCGCCGATATCCGAAAGGACGGCGGCGTTGCCCGCATGTCGGACCCTACTGTCATCAAGGAGATCCAGGCCGCCGTCACCATTCCCGTCATGGCCAAGGCCCGCATCGGCCACTTTGTTGAGTGCCAGGTCCTCGAGGCTCTCGGTGTCGACTACATTGACGAGAGTGAAGTTCTGACCCCCGCCGATGACGAGAGCCACGTTGAGAAGAGCCACTTCAACTCTCCCTTCGTCTGTGGCTGCCGCAATTTGGGCGAGGCCCTGCGCCGCATTGCCGAGGGCGCTGCCATGATCCGGACCAAGGGTGAAGCCGGTACTGGCGATGTCGTCGAGGCCGTTCGCCACATGAAGACGGTCAACAAGCAGATTGCTCAGGCCAAGGCTGCTCTCGCCGAGGGGGGCATCATCCGCATCCGTGAAATGGCCCGCGAGCTCGAGGTCGACGCTGAGCTTTTGCGCCAGACTGCCGAGCTCGGTCGCCTGCCCGTTGTCAACTTCGCCGCTGGCGGTGTTGCTACCCCCGCTGACGCTGCCCTCATGATGCAGCTCGGTTGCGACGGTGTCTTTGTCGGCAGCGGCATCTTCAAGTCTGGCGACCCAGCCAAGCGCGCCAAGGCTATTGTCCAGGCAACCACTCACTTCAAGGATGCCAAGATTATTGCTGAGGCCAGCACCGGTCTCGGTGAGGCCATGGTCGGTATCAACTGTGACAGCATGAAGCCTGAGGAGAAGCTTGCCACCCGCGGTTGGTAATCGACCAAGACCGAAAACAACATCATCGACGAATGTCCCGTGGGACACAAATACCGAAAAGGAAGAAGAAAAAAAGGATATGTTGCATATAGACATATAATTTTTGCGACTTTGGGCAGGCGTTTGATCAGGGTGTGGACCTCTACTTTTATGCCGTTAAAGCAGTCATGAGAAGATTCATAGGACCTTGAAATGAATAAAATTGAACAGGCCAAAATTCCACCATGGAGCATGTCGGGAGTCACAACTGTGAATGGCAGACACGGCCTAGTTGCTAGTCGGTTGCAATGTTGCAAGCTGGAAGTGGCTTGCTGAGGTGAACCAAAACATTCTCCGTGTGGTGTGAGACATGACCGCCGGACCATGATCCCCGATGCCCATCTATCACAAATCAAAGGGGAGATGAAACCAAACGTTACACAACATGCCCCCAGAATCTGAGATTGGGTTGGCTTGGGCAGAAACGTCACCTTGATCGGCTTTCGGACCGCCCACCTAGTTGTCTCGTCCAACTTGGCCGCCAATGAATTCCTCGAAGATCTATGTGCTGTGCTCGGATCAACCCGAGAGACTCTTTCCTCATCGGTACAGCATAGCCTTGTCGACTGCCATGCCACGTGTCTCACCTGGGCATAATGCGCATGTGCATGGAGACGCAGATCTGTGTAAGTCCATTGGGCAGTGTCTGGAGTGCATACAGAATTTCCGCAGTGTCTCAGAATTTTCGTCAAGGTTCGCGGCAGACATACGGAGTACTCTGTACAGCCTCGTCTCAGCAAGCAAGGTTTCAAACCGGCAATACTCTGTACAAATTCACCTATGCCGAGACAAGTCCAAATCACATATCACTTCTTTGAGCAATCTTCACACCCTCCATCGTCCCTTGCGCCCTCCAGCGCTCCAGGATACATGTGCCAGTACCATCCCAAGCGGGCAGATGCTCCCCCTCGCGAGTCGCGGCCTTGGTCTGCTCCCCGGCGGACAAGGTCCTCGTACCGCCTTCGTCGTTGAAATAGCTCGGTCCGCATATGCCCATGGGCGAGTGGAACACGGACCTGTCAAGTATACGACTTGCCCACGCCTCGGCCGCTTGCACCAGATGGGATACCAGGCCTTCGGGGCGCTGTTCAGGGGCGGTCGTTGGCTAGGGCCTGGCGGACGAGCTCTGGTATCTGCTCCGCGGTGTGCGGCTCGTGCTGCCCGCCGGCCGGTGAGGTGTCTGCACGTCTGGTCGTGGATTCGCTCCATCGGTCCTGTATCGCGTTGTCGCCCATGGCGTGGCCCGCCTGCCGCACCAGTCTTCGTTGCCTGCCTGCAGCCATTCCTGCGGGTTTGTGCGCCTCTGGTCGCGTTCGTCAACGCTGGAGGACGTGCGTTGGAGCACGTGTAGCTCGTCTACCCATCGGGCATACACTGGTGACTGCCAACTGGACGGCGGTGGCTCCAGTGCCCACGAGGCCGGCCTTCTTCCCCTTGAGGCCGGATAGGGTACGCTCATCCGGTGAGCGCCTCCGGATATGTCGTATTTCCAGCGGCCGGTGTGCATCCTCTGGCCGGAGAAGGTGTCGAGCTTAGGAAACTTGGGTGTCTTGGGGGCGGTTGAGCACGCCTCCTGCGATGATGGCAAACTGCGCCGTGACAGCCATGTCGACGGACGGCTCTCCGAGTCCGCGATCTTGCGTCAGCTGCACTCTCTGGCGTTTCTGCTCCTTGATCCAGTCATATGTGCGGGCTTGCGTGCGGAAAACCCCCTTATCGGCGAGGTTCTATTTCTCTGCGATGCGGATGATGTACCGTCTTATTTCGGGTCGGGGTAGGACGTGGCACGCTTGGCTTATCGTCCGTTGTCATCTTGGCGATGTGGTTATTGCGAGTCACGGAGTCTGTCTGCCTGCAGTTGGCGACGTCTTGTCAGGGTTGAGATGGAAGCAGCCAGCGCAGTGACGGGTTGACGGCTCGCATGTACGTGCCTCAGATGATGATGCAACCCTACCTTGAACCACGCATGCTGCGCTTCCCACGCGTTCCGCGGCGCCATCATGATGGCATCGCCTCGGGTTGTATTACCTATGATACCTCCTCGAACCGGAAATGCAAATGTGACGAGCATACTTCACTTTCACTCTCCGACCTCGTAATGACCCGAGGAAATCGAATATAAAGAGAATATAAAGAATCATAGCGTTTCTTCCCCCACCAGACAACGTAGCACCACGATGTCTCTGCAAAACAAGCCGTCATCCCATCTTCAAAAAGCCATGGACATCAAAGGCTATCTTTGTAGAAACTCCCGCTGTGCCCTATCGCTTCGAAATGCCCGTGGATTCCGCATCCGTCCCCAACTTCGACCTCCCCAAGACCGAGGGCATGCTTCTAGCTGCGTAGATTTGTCCACTCCCTGCTCGAGGCGTCGACTGACGTTGTAGCGCTGCACAAATACCTCCTCAGCCTGCAGGGCATGTCCATCGGCGGGCTGTGGGATTGGTGCTCCTTCATGCTCACCTCGGCGCCGTTGAACATCCCCTGTTGTCTTGGCTCGCCGCCAAACACGCTGGCCGTCTTTTAGCCGTCCGACAAGTGTCGTAGACCCTGATGCCGGCGGCGTGTTGTAGAGAGCCAGCGTTGAAGCCCGAGCCTGTAATTTATCTCCTCCGAGGCCGCCTGCGGGCTTCATAGCTGGGGAGCTGTTGTTGCTGAATATCTGCTGTCGTCGAATTCGGGCCCCTTGGATTGCCGCTGATAACGAATTTAACCTTTCCATTTCATTTAATTATCCCTTCGGGGACCCTGCCGGGGGCCGCCTGCGGCGAGCTGCGGCCTGCGGCCGGCTTCAACGCAATCAATACTACCACATAGATTTTCAGAAGTTCACGACGCTACGTGAGTCGCGCTGCTTTTCTCATTAATTAGTTGTCAAAGAGTATTTCATCCTTAATTCACCAAATACTTAAAAATGGCCTCTTATATCGTATTAGAGGCAAAAGGAAGCCGTAGCCTCCGTTTGCCAACGTGTTGATTTGCCCAACTACAATTCACTCCTTTGCCTAACAAACCACTTGACTCCAAGGCCAAGTTCAACAAAGGCTGCTACACCCCAGACGCCTACATGTGAACGCTCGCTCTAAAAGTCATATTCATCTCTACCAATCTAGCCTGCTAACTTGACCGCGGATACAAGCAGTTTTCTGTTTTCATCCCCGCATATAGTCTCAGTATTTCTGACTTTGCAAACAACCAGAAAGACATTGGCACAATGCCCGTCGCAACAAATTCGTCAATGTATTTTCCTTTTCAAGACTGCAGCACGCACAAAGAAGAGATAAATAAATGCCCGTTGCAACAAGACTGCAATAACGACAGTTCGTGTCAAGTTTTGAAATGGCTGCAACAAGAAACAACCTGCAATAACGACAGTCCGACCAAGTCGCAACAAACTATAATGACGGTTTACCAGATACGCCAGACGGCGAATGAGCGACAACCCCTTCCACGACAGTACAAATACAGGGTAGGTTCCCAATAAAAACAATTCAACGAAAATTTAAAATTCATTCACGCAGGTATCAACGTCACGCAGAATTAAATGTACACCGCAAGGGCAGCTGGCAAAGAAGAGGAAACAAGAACAAAACAAAAAAGAACAAGTGAGGGAATAAAGCAAAGTACTAAATTTGACTGATGACATATCCCCGGTAGACTAGTATCTCCAACGCCAATTCATAAGGTGAGACTCAAGAAAATCGAGTGCGTTGTGTCATAGTAGTATCAGCAGAGCAAAGATTTTGATTTTGAACAAACAGCGTCAAGACGACGAGCGTTTCTGACAAGGAAAAATCAGTCCCAACGCCCCAACTCTCTCTCCCCAGGCAAAGCCTCCAGAACGGCCGCCGAGAACAAAAGAAGAACATCAAAAAAGAGCTCCCCCAAAGTCTGCCTTGGTCTGGCTTGTTCCCAGTCCGTCAACAATGTCGAAATGAGTGAAAGTGTGACTTCCTCCAGTTTACTGGTCACCACGGTTAGCTTACACGGTGTATAGCCAACAAAAGGGGGCATTGATCCATCCACAAACCCCTTCGCTCTATGCACTCACCTGAGGAGGCACGACAGGTCCGGGGGGGCCGGGAGGTCCAGCAGGTCCCTGGGGGCCAGGGGCAGGGCCGCCAAAGTGCTGAGGACCGTAGGGACCAGGTCCGTGGTTAGGCATGCCCATGTAATGGGGAGGAGGGGGGGCAGGACGGTAGGGGGTACCAACTCCAGAGTTGTTCTGCGAGCGACCCCAGCTCAAGCGCACTCGAGAGTTGCCAATGGGGTAGCCCTGCATCTGGTTGATGGCCATTTCCGCAGCATGGCGGTGCACGAACTGCACGAAGCCACAGCCCTTGCCAGGGGGGATCTTGACGTAGGTGATCTCTCCGAAGCCCTGGAAGAAGGATCGGAGCTCATCCTCGGTGACGTAGCCAGAGAGCCCACCGACAAACACGGTAGTGTTGTTGGGATCGGTGAACTGGTTCATCTGGGTTGCAGGATTGTAGCCGCCGTAGGGGAAGCCTTGCATCCCTCCCCACATGGGTTGCTGAGGAACGCCGCCCATCATAGGAGCGCCGCCGCCAGCGTGGTGGCCAGGTCCTCCGAATCCGTGGTTACCGCTGAATCAGCTGTTAGCGACGCGCAACCTCGCCTGTCGGGGTCTCCTCCCCAGTAGGAGGGGCGCGAGGGGCTTACCGGTTCTTGGGAGTAGCAGTAGAGATTCTCATAGGTCTGTTACCGCAGTAAACACCTTGCATCTCAACCAAGGCACGCTGCTGGTCATTCTCATCGGAGAAGCGCACGAAACCATAGCCTCGGCTCTGGCCGGACATGGCGTCCGTCATGATCTTGGCAGACTTGCATGAGGGGAAGCGAGCCTGGAAGAGAGAGACCAAGACGTATTCGTTGACCTCGGGGCCAAGGTCACCAACAAAGATGCTGTACTCGGGGCCGCGATCATCACTGCACCAACACGGCGTCCATCAGTATATTCGACGACGAATTGTTGCATAGGAGGTTGAGCCTCAGCTCCCAGGGGGTACTCACCGTCGGTCCACAAGCCCACCGCCAGACGCCCAGTTAAGCTTGAACTGGCGAGAGCTATTAGGAACGGGCGTGCCGTTGAGGCCAAGTGCCTTAGTAGCGGCCTCGGGCGTTGTAAATTCAACAAAGCAGTAGCCCGCATTACTGCACAAGTCATTGTCAGAACCCGGCATGATGCACTCAGGAGGAACAGTAAACGTACCCAGAGTTCTTGTCACGAATCACCTTGACATTGACAGTCTCTCCAGCAGCGGACAGAAAGACGCCCTTAATGAAATTCTCGTCCATCCAAGGCTCCAGCTCTCCCATCCTTTCCCCTAGCGTCAGCGTCCAATGCTCTCGCCATAGTACAAACGACGTGAATTTCCTTACCAGAGAGTGGTCTTGGGTTGCTCAGGGCCACCAGCGGGCGGGGGCACGGCAGCCATGTCAGGGGCAGGGGGAGTTCCGTTAGGGAAAGACATTTCGCTATCTGCAACAAAAAAAAACTAATGTCAACTTGCCGTTTTATTCCATCTGCGGTGCGGTTCCCGAGCGCAGATGCGTCGAGTTCTCCGCAGGACAAAACGTAATCCTCAAACTCACCAATGAATGAAAAATTTCTGGGAAAGTCTCGAGAAGGGTAGGAAACGGTGAAATTTTATGTCACTAAGAATTGTTAGGGTCACAAGTCTCACCCGTGCTGCAGTATTCGGGTGTGTGCAACAAGAAAAACCTACAAGAAGTTATGAAGGTATCAAGACACCGCGACGTTTGAGAACTATGCAAGCCAATTAGTTTCAGTTTTTTGTTTCGTTGAAAACCCAATATACCAGCATACAGATAAAGGAATCGAAACCGGGGAAGATCCTGAGATATTGAAATCGTAAGATCTACAGATTCAAATTAGTACATTTCCTCGGACATATTGGTATCCACATCCCCCATCATCACATTTATAGTCAGCCTCTGGCTTTGCATACCTTTAGTTTACAGTAAGGCTCTAGCCCTCCCAAGGATGCTAATTTATCGAATCGAAACGGAAACCGAAAACGAATCGAGAAAGGCGGTATCCAGACCGAAATGCCGGGACTCAGAAAGTAGTCGTAAAGACAAGAATTTCTCAAGACGCCGTCACGCCACGTGTAAAACTTGCAAGAAAATGCTTGGAGTATTCCGCAAGATGCAAAAGCAGCGTTTAAAGAGGCAAAACAGCGTCTAAACGGTGACTGTAATGCCAATGATACAAAGCGGTATATCCGTAAAGAGATCGTGAACTAAACGTCCGTCCTACCGAAGATTCCGAGGGATCGTGGCAAAACACTTGAAACGCTCTCGAAATCAATAGAAACCTATGCCCGAAAAGTCAGTATCTCTCCATGAGAAAAAAATCACGGCTGCCGCTGCGCTGTGCTCTCGGGTGGTCGCTGCGACATCGAATATTCGGTTTTTTTTTGGCGATTTAATGCTGTCGGGTAGTTTTCATTATTCTCATTGTGAAATAAATCGACAGAGAGAGGTGTCGGCTTCCAATACGCGACCACGAAACAGGTGCAGCGAATAGCCCCGTTGTTCCGACTAGATGACAACCGTCAAGTGCCATGCAGTGATATGGACAGGTGTCAGGTTGTCGAAAGCCTGAGCCTCTCAGCCATCATCCGATAACAAAAGACGCATCAAGGCCCCCAAGACTCCCCTCTCTCCTGATAATAGTCAATGCATCATAGATGCAACGATTGGAGCTGGCCGCCACTGCATGCAGGCAACGCGAGCTGAGTCCTTGACAAGGGAGGGTGCCAAGCGATGCCAGCCAGCCTCAAAAATTTGCAGCGCCGAGGGTCATTTGCATAATCCATCCGCAAAGTAACATAATGTGCGAGCGACCGGTAGCATGAGGCATGCGCCCGCCATTGCACCAACAGTCTCATGGCTGTACTAGGCGGACAAGCAGGCTTTCGTTCGTTGCGACCCAAAACCAGTTCTTGCGGCGGGGACGGAGGCGACAACCTGGCAACAAACGGCCATCAAGGTGGCGAAAGGGAAGAAGCAGAGTATCCAAAACAGCTGTTGTACATTGTACGCAGGCCAGGAATTTGTAGTTGTCGTGGGTTGGCGATTTCGTCATCGTCACGAGGGGTAGCGAAGGTAGCGAATGCGATCGAGCGTAAGCGGTCGCGCAGCACGTACAATTGGCGGCGGTCGACCCGAGGGCAGCAGGAACAAGATGCACGCGAAACACAAATGCAAAGACTTACTTTTAGGCGCCGGCAAAAACAACCGAAACTCTGAGCCAATGTCCGAAACACGCGCAAAGGAAGAGTCGTGGAAGGTGGTGGAGGTGAGGTGAAGAAAGAGAAAATCGCGGCACGGCGGTCCGGAAGGACAGGCGAGCTTTTTTTTTCTCTTCCTGCAAAGCCGACTGGGGGGGGGGCAAGGAAGAGAGCTGTGGACTCGAGTTGCTGGGTGTGCACTGTGGACTAGCAAGTTGGTGTGGTCGACGGAGCGGCAGAGCGTCTGGTGCGCGTGCCAGAGCTTGTGGGTGAGCGACTGCGTGGTCCGCTGGGATGCCTGGCCCTGCTCTCTCTGCTCAAGGCAACGGGTGCCGGATTCGATTACCAGGCTCGGTCCTTGTGGTGCTCGACTCCGCTCGTTTCTCCCTCTCTTTTTTTTCTTCTGCACACTGCAACGGGAGTCAGCTTCGTCTGTGTCCGCCCGCGTCCATGTATCTGTGGGACTCGATAATAACTACTGGGCAGTTGGAGCCACTAAATGGAGCCACTGGCCGCGTGAGGAGCCAGGCTGCCAAGCATGGAGGCTGGAGGGCAAAAAATGGCAAAATGGCGAAATGGAGACTGGCTGGAGACCGCGCAGCCTTAGCTGGGGCCTGTGCGGGGCCCAGCCAGGCGAAGACGACGATGCCATTGGTCCAGCCTGAGGGTGGCGCCCCGTCCTCGAAATCGCCTCCAGTGTGCACTTGCACGCTGCTGACAAGTTGACTGACACACACACGGGCCCAAGGCTAGCGTGCGACACCACAATGCGGCACCATCAGTTGACGCTGCACGGCTCAGGCAGCCCGGCCAGCAGCAGCCTCCATCACTAATAGCAGCCGGGAGAGAGGGAGAGAGAGGCAGGCGGGCAGGACGCGGTGCAGGAGGGCATGTGACAGGGGCACGCGGTGCAGGACAAGCGGGAATCGTGTGAGCCCGTTATGCCCGTATCAATTGATGGCGCATCAATGCATGCAAGCATCAATGATGCCCGGCATGTCTGTATGAATTGTGTGCTGAAGGGGCCACTGGTAGGGCGTCTGGCAGTTACCTACCTCGGTACCTATAAACCCGCCGCTAGCGTGGTTCTGGTCGCCAATCAGGCCAGGGATCACTTGAATCAATTGGCTGCCCGATGCTTCGATCTGGGTGCGACACTCCAAGACTGCTGCTGGCTGGTTGACAGGACCCGATCGGCTTTCTGCTTCCTGGTGCAGTATTCCGCCTAATGAAACACGTGCAATACAAGACGCAGTATTACGTACGCTCGTCAAGTCGTCGGCACAAATCGATATCCCAAAGCACTCGTCTAGCAACCGGCGAAAGAGGGACGTCAATGTACCGTCCTTCAACTCCGTGTATCCAGCCTCTGAGATGTCGTTGGTCGAAACGCGAAAAGCAGCACACGGCGCACGATGCAAGGCGATGCAGCAACGCAACGGGGCAACGAAGCGCAACAACAATACGGAAAAAAAATATGTATAATGGTGTGAGAAACCAGAAACCAAGATGCCCGTGGAACTGCTTTTGATGAAATGCCGCCGTCTCTTCGGCCTGCGCCCTCGATGGGCCATCGACGTGCCATCGACGTGCTCTCGACTCGGGATCGGAATTGGAACGGCAAGCAGCCATCAAGCACCAATCCAAAATAAACCCCCAGATCGCCATGTTCCAACACGGACAGACAGGCCCAAAGAGTCCAAACGAATTGTGCAATGGAGGGTGGGACTGGGTGCTGGGCTTGGTACAGGATGGATGGATGGCGTGCATTTGATGGGGAGGGGGCCCTGAGGGGGGCGCGACGACAACACCTTCAGGGTGTGCGCGCAGCGGCCGCCGCGAGCCCTCGAGAATGTGAATAGGCTTCGAATACGTCCTTCTGGTTCTGTATTACCGAGTCCCGGTTTGTTCAACAGATCCTCTTGCTGTTTCCGGCGCGCCCCAAGACCATTGGCCACGCATGGACCGGACCGCTTGCTAGAAATACACATCACAGCCAGGAACTGGAGAATTACGATGCAAGACACAACACAACGGGCTGTACAACACGGAGTATCGAAGGAGCTTTCCACAACCTGAAGAGCGCTGTACAAACACACGGGGTGCCACGTATAGCCATCGGACCAACAGCTTATCGCCCGCTGCGGTTGTGATAACGCCTGGTGTCATGATACTGCCGTGGCTATGGTCCGGTCTGGTTGGAAATTGAAACGCCGCCCAAATGCTTCCGCCTCTGAGCTGCAACGGCCACAGGTGGCTTGCGGCTAATAAAGTCTATTGTCGTATTCCGAGTACTCGGCACTTGCCTTCAAGCCTATCTAAAAGCGTCTCTGCGACATGTCAAGCTTGGGCAGACTTGATAATTCCACCTTCTAGACATGGCGTATCACCGCATCAGCTTGTGATGCTCAAACATTTGAAATACAACGTACCTTTCCTAGTGCTACTCCGTACTCCGTACTCCGCATCTATAGCGCCTCTGGCCTCGCAGGATAACGCAAGTCGGACTGAAAATTTAGGCTGTCCAGGAGTGCCACTATCAGGAACCTCTTCGCCTGATCAAGGACTTGAGTGCTGCAAGGGTCACAACAGCAGGGCTATTCCGGCCTCTGACTGGCTCGTCGCTTCTGCATGTCGACATGAATGGTGGATGCTGGACTTTTGTACTAATCGATGAATACACTGTCTCCTCGCAAACGCTCGACTACCTAGGTACATACTTGCACCGTGTTACGGTTCAATGACGACAGCGACTTGAGGAGTCACCCATTTTGGGTGGCATTCGAAGCTTCAGATCTTGGGATGAAGCTGGGAAGTTGCTTGTCCCACGCAGGCCGTGTCAAACCACCATCGTGGATCCAAGAAGCTCCAAGTGCCCGGCTTTCCAGCATCTGGTCCGCCGCCTTGGGCAGGCAGGCAAGCAAACTCGGAGTCCCTGAAGCAGCATCATCCGGCTCCTTGTCATTTACTATTTGGCAATTCCGGTCGCCGACCAAGTCGAAACCGTCATAGTGATCTGCCATCTCTGATTCGACTACCATGGACTGCGTGGTCTGATTACTAGATGCGCTAGCAACAATAGAGTTCACGACAATTTCTGCCCATCGAATCCGGTTGGTGATTGGCACCATTTTGGCACCGATAAACACATACACCCCTTTTTGCCTTTTTTTGCCCCACGCTCGTAACCAATAATACATGAAATTGACGAGGAGCCAGAGTGGAAGCAGAGAGGCGGCAAGCTTGCTTCAAAGTGAGGAAAGCTGTCGCCTAACTTACAGTTCGTGGACCTCGATATGCGCGCAGGCTTATAGAGTTCAGAGCACAGAGTACCGAGCACTCGCTTCTTGTTTCATTGCCCGTGGTTCATCTCATTCTCCGGAGCCGAATTTGGCATGATGGCGACATTGTCTCGGGCTAAACGCCACTCTAGTCCCCTTGCATGCCTTTGCCTTTTGCCTTTGCCAGTACCAAAGTCTGGATGCCGGGGAAAGAAGCAGAATAATAACAGAGAGTGGTCTGTACCTGTGCCCACAGGGCTCCCTGCCGTGTTTCAAAACGAGCAGCATGGCTTTTCTTGAATTTGCAAATAACTTGGTTCTACCTATGGTAGGCAGTCGTACAAGACACCTACTAACTACCTATCGTACCTAGTAGGTATAATATATGCTAGGTAGATGTAGATACGTACCAGCCTTGGCCGCCGAGCATGCATAAAGTACTCCGTATGTGGCAAATAAACAGCTGGGCCAGTAAAGAGTCGGTCCTATCATGACTCGGCTTGCCATCACCAAGTGTAATACACTTTGAGTCATCATTTCTTTGAGCAGTTTAAGCAAGCATCCATAGCATTTTGACAAGATTTGTTTTTTTTTGAGAGGGTCGTATATACATGCATGAGTTACTTGCCTACCTACCTAGGTAGGCAAGCTGTTGCAACCCGTTCAGCTTCATAAGACATACAATATTTGCTCATGGGTTGACTCTAATGGATACGGAAGGAATTCTCATCGAGTCCAGCGTCTATCTGGCCGGCCCGGGAGCCTGTCTCACAGCAAATTACACCCAGTCATATGTCTAATATGCCTTGATATGCACAATACCGATGCCACGGATCGGTCTTCGCCCTGCTATTAAAAGGTTATTATTATCCTCTGGTTGTGCATAAAATCGCGCACAACGTCTACATTATACATAGGTGCTTTGAGTTTAGACAGAATGGACCAAGGCAGTCCTTAATCTGCAGGCGACAATCCACCCGTGCCTATTGTTCTATAACACGAGAACAGTCTTTGAAATACGGGTCAAAGCTCGTACCGCCTCGTTATCCAAAAGAAGAGAGGAATGGCTCAGACACTGACCAGGGCGGCTAATTGACACACCTTTTCACCTTTTTCGCAGCCAAGACATGCAGCGATCTTTCCGTCCCCATTCACGATGCAAGATGCTGTACTGTACGGGGTACTGCCGTCCTCTCTTGGTGAGCAAGAGGGAAGGCAAACGAGTCCATGTATTAGGCAAGTTCCTCGAGACGTAGAGGCTCGTCAGACCTAGCCATTTCCTGGGCAGCATTCGGGACGAGTGCAGCTATATACCGTTAGATCTATCAATGAAGGTCCCGGCAGGTTGTGACGTATATCGATTGATTCGGCGATCCGAGGGCATCCAGTGAAGAAGGGTCCAACTCTCACGACAACCTTGCCGACTACGCATAGTCTCCATACTTGCACGCATGCATTGTTTTTTGCATACATTCGGGCATCGGCCGCCTGACAACGAGTTGCCCTGCAAGATCGGCCAGGATCCCTGCAGGGCCCAGGCCATCCTCAGCTGAAAGAAAAGACTCGGGGTGGGTTGAGAGAATGCACTGACCAAAGTATGGGCATCTTCTAGCTGCATTCTTTGTTCCAGCCCACAAATTTGCGACGACTTTTTGTAGTACACATTGTAATAGTATGTATATGTTGCAACTCACTTCGCCGCGCTAGTTTATTTTGGGTCTCATGATGTTCATATTCTTCTCTTCTCACGCGGCACCAGGGTCTGGCTACAGTCAGTGCAAAGAGCCCGTGACCCAAGACGGTGCTCAACCCTGCAATACCACCATGAATAATAATACATTTGCTTCTTGGCCGCCATCGACGCCACAACAATAGTCTCCAAGGCAATGCCGCTGCCTTTATCGCGTGTGCTTGCTATTGAGCTTACGAGGCTATAAACCGCCATTCATGGGGATTGTACGCTGGACTTGCGCGGCTAGTCCATTGGCCCTTTGTGGTCGGTAGGCGTGCTCCTAAAATGGGTGGTACTAATATATCTCGTTGTTGGAGTAGAGGCGGAGATGGTTTCCTTTGCTTGTAAGGAAATGGTGTGCCGTCGAAACTAATATCAAAAAGTGTCTGCGAGCATATAGTACTATTTATATGTCCTCCTGAGTCCTGACTGCCCCTTGACGCACCCTAGCTTTGTCAACCAGTTCCTACTCGTGCTAATGCACACGCATGACGTCTGGGCAACCTCAATCCGACTGTAATCACCGTCACATGGGAAGAAATATATCGTCCACACTTGAAATGTTATCATGACCATGAATTTGTTTTGGTTTCAAAATGCTGTTTGTGACAGCTTGCCGCCTGCCGCCTGGTGATGCTTGCTTAGTAATGGCCGTTGCGTCAGTGCTGCTGGCTGGGGAAGCTATCAACTTGGTGAATCCACCATGCAAACCTGTCTCGACCATGTCGTCACGCTGAGGTTGCCTGCTTCTCGCGAATATACTGCATGTAGCGTATAGATTCCATGCCACTCCCATCTTCCCAGAAAACCTGAATCGCATTTTCGCCCGGGCGTCCTATTCTTTATTGCCCGTTGATGAGCATTTCGATACCCCTCAACAGCACTGCTGTCCACCTCCCCCCACCATGGCCGCTGAATCCACGGAGCAGCGTGAGTTGAAGCTGGTGGAAAGTGTCGAGTTTAGGATCTTGGGTGTTGCAAACAAGGAGGATAAGCTGCATGAGCTTCTACAGCGGTATCTGGCGCCACTAATCCTAAAGGCGGCCAGTGACCACGCTGCGGTCCGCGCGAGGGTATGAACTGTAATAGCTGCATGGCTTGAGGCAGTGGGAAGCATTATTGACTTTGAATAGGTGATTCAAATTCTTGCACGGCTAAAGACTTTCATTCAGTCTCCCGAGTATGTGCCCGAGATGATGCTTCAGAGACGAGCCAATTGACTGACAAGGGGATTAGGATTGTGCTGCCAGTAAAGGCACTGCTACAACAATACAAATCGACAGACTCTGGTGTCATTAAGCAACTGGACCTGTCCTTTATTTTGCATAGTTTGGACAGACTCGATGTAGACGACAGGCGGGATCTTATCCCTATTGCATTGGCGGGTTTTGCGCAGGATGAGGGACAGCCGAGGGCAGCAACCGTGTTCAACATCATTCTCAGACTCTTGCTGGATGTTCGCATACCGCCTCGGGGGGGCAAGGATGATGAGGGTTTCAGAACAGCTGTTGGGCTTGGTGACGATGCTGATGCGCAATTTCTGGCCAAGGCCATTGGCATCTTTCTGCGTCTCAGAACACCAAACTCTACACAAACTTTGGCGCAATCAAATCCAGCATTGTCTCAAACCGAACTGACTCTCTTCCCTGCCGACTCTCCTGAAAACGAGAAAATATTCAAGCGAATTACCGAACTGAAATCCAAGTCGGTCACACTGCTCGCAAGTGGAGCTTTCAAAGACGAGGAGCGGTTTCTTCCAGCACTGTTTGCCGCATCGGGCTTTGATAATAGAGTGGCCTCCACAGCAGAAGAGATTATCAAAAGGAGCAGTGTTTCTATGGAGGATGAGGACCTCGTGAACCGTTTGTTCCGAGCCCATTCCCAGCTTCCAGCGCCGTATCGTGCGCGTATTCTGTCAATTCTGTCCAAGTCAACCATTGCCACTGGAAAGTCCGACAGCATCATGGCTGTTGTGAATTTGGACTTCTTGCCGCAGACCTCTGACGGCGCCTCTTCCTTGCAGCCAGCTAGTGCTCTAGAGAGGACAAAGCTACACAAAGCTCTTTTCCAGTTCCTAGCGTGGGTAGCTCAAGTAGGCCCAGCAAAGTCAGAATTCACCATTGGACCACCCCTCATTCGCGCCATGCGGTCTTATATCGAGAGCCAGGGATGGCCGGTCCCGGAGCAGACCTCGCATGATGACGTCGCTTTGAGATGCAGGGCCTACGAAACTATTGGCATGGTGGCACGAAGCGCAGATCAGCCGGCCAAGGAACGCTTCGATCTCGGCGCTTGGCTCTTCCGCTCCTTGTCGGAAGACAACACCGGGGAGGCCGTTGTGAATATCGATGGGGCTCTTTCTAGCCTCGCAGCAGCTATACCTGCCAGTGTTGGCGGCATTGATTCTGAACTCAAGACGATGCTTCTGACATACATGTCACTGCCCGATGCAACACCTGCTGTTCGAAGTACCAGGCACGCCGTTGTGAAGTGGGCAAACCAGTGCCTCCCGTTCTCAGACGTCGTTGCCCGTTGGATCGATATCTTGGCTATTGCAGGTAGAAACAATGAGCGGAACGATGTCATTGAACAGGGGCAGAAGGGGCTGGACCCGTGGACGTATTTTGCACATACTGACACAAACCCGCAACTGCCTGACTGGAAAGAAATGACGACTACGTATTTCGACTTGGCCATTGAGCCGCAGCTGGGTAATGAGCAGCAGGGAAATGCCCATGCCGTCGTTGTTCCAGATAAGACCGTGTTCCAAAACTTCCAAGGAACCCGTCTTGCGGCTTTTCCAGTAGCTCTTCAATATTGCAGAAAGATGATGCTACTCGCAGCTCTTGATGATTTTGATATCAAACCGGACTGGATGCAGATACTTGATGCGCAAATCACGACCGACGTAGCAACTAGGGATAAGGTACGCGGATATTTACGCTCCATTGACAGCGGTTACATCGTCTTCTACCTCAAAGCTTGCCTGGAGGGCGCGTTCATAGAGGACTCACCCATCGTGGAAGAGTGTCTCCGGTGTTTTGTTCAGATGGCCGCATGGAGTCCTGGCGGTCCTTTGGGCTATCTCACGGATACAAGTACAAATTTGCTGCCTTTGATCAAGTCAAACAACAGAGAAATTCGTTCATTAGCCGCAAGAGCATTAGGAGTTCTTGTAGGCCACCCCGCCAATGATGCTGACTCTGTCAGTAACTGGCTCATGACGCTGAAGTCGTTGTTTGTGAACGCCGAAAAGCTGGTTGGTGCCGAAGCAAATGCTGCTGAAGGATCCTTGCTCGCGTTCAGCCATTTGATATCACGGTCTGTGTACTACGACCGTCCATTCTCTGCGCCAACCGAGTATCCACTGCACCTGTTATTGAAGGAGACGGCCCACGGTTCTCTATATGATTCAACTTTGGAGGCATTTTCTCAACTATGGGTTGTTAAATTGGGTATACCTCCAATGGAAGGGGAGCACTCATTAGCAAAGGTTATCGAAAAGTTGACCTCCGAGGCAAAGAAGGCCAACGAAAAAGCAATCACAGCTTTGGGAAGTCTCGCCATAGGGTTGGAGGCTGATAGCAGCAGTCAAGCGACGGGCGACGAATTTGCCGGTGTCCTGGGAGACATTCTCAAGAGTTTGTTTTCCCTTCATGAAATCAAGCGAGTCGAGGTTCAATTCACCGTTGGCGATGCCATTACCGCCGCGGTAGCAAGATGGGATTCCAATAGCGTCAAACTAAGGATGGATGTTGAAGCTAGAAACCCAGCAAACTTTGCTGGTGCTCGAGGGCCTCTCATCGAAGCCGTCCTGAAGAAGCTCTTGCAGGATTCCAAAGCTACGAGGCCGTCTTTGCTTAAAGCTTCCGGCATTTGGCTATTCTCTATTGTGCAGTTCGGCTCCCACCTTTCCGAGGTGCAGTCACGACTTCGGGAAATCCAAGCAGCGTTCATGAGACTTCTAAATGCACGAGACGAGCTTGTGCAGGAGACAGCATCCCGTGGGCTGTCATTGGTATACGAGCGTGGTGACGCCGACCTCAAATCCGCGCTGGTCAAGGACCTTGTCTCCGCCTTCACTGGTAGCGGAACCCAACTCAAGGTGGAGGAAGAGACCGAGCTATTTGAACCGGGGGCATTACCTACCGGCGAGGGCAACTCTGTCACTTCATACAAAGATATTGTCAATTTGGCCAATGAAGTTGGGGATCAACGCTTGGTTTACAAGTTCATGTCCCTTGCCGCCAATGCAGCTACTTGGTCCACGAGATCCGCGTTTGGTCGGTTTGGGCTCAGCAATATCCTGTCCGAATCAGAGGTTGACCCGAAATTATACCCCAAGCTGTACAGATATCGATTTGATCCTAATGGAAACGTCCAACGGTCAATGGACGACATCTGGAAAGCTCTTGTCAAGGATTCAAACGCCACTATTGATAATCACTTTGACGCCATTATTCAAGATCTCCTAAAGAGCATTCTAGGTAGAGAGTGGCGAGTCAGAGAAGCCAGTTGCGCGGCCATCTCTGACCTTATCCAGGGCCGGCCATTTCCACAGTACGAACAGTATTATCGCGACATATGGACCTCTGCCCTGAAGGTTTTGGACGATGTCAAGGGTAGCGTAAGGGAGGCTGCCTTGCGACTCTGCATGGCCCTATCGAATGGGCTAGTTCGACAGTTGGAAGAGGGCAACCATGCTGCTGCTGCGAAGGCAATGATGCAAGAAGCTCTTCCCTTCTTGCTATCGGACAAGGGTGTCGAGAGCACCGTGCAGGACGTCCAATTGTTTGCAACCGTTACTGTGATGAAGATTGCCAAGCACGGCGGCAATGCTCTCAAACCCTTCATTCCAGACATGATTCCGCAGCTCCTCGGCTTGCTGAGCACAATTGAGCCCCAGCAAATCAACTACGCCTATCAACGCGCCGGGCTCGAGAGTCGGGACCAAATTGATAAGATACGGTCGCAGATGGTCAACCAGTCGCCAATCTCGGAGGCAATTGAAAATTGTCTTCGTTTCATCGATGCGGAAGTCATGACAGCCTTTGCTCCGAAATTCGAGGCCACAATTAAAAGTGCGATTGGCATGCCGACTAAGATAGGATGTAGTAGGGTCATCACAACACTCGCCACTCGTCACAGCAATGATATTCAGCCGGTGGCGGGCAAGCTCCTGCAGATTTTGGAGAAACAGACAATGGATAAGAACGATGAAGTGAGCCAGGCATACGCCAGGGCAGCTGCATACATGATACGAGCCGCCCCCGATGCATCCAAGATCCGGTTTTGCGAGCGCTATATTAACATGTATTTCCAAGCCGAGGACGAGAGTCGCCGGCAAAAAGTTGCAGATGTAATCGTGGCTGTGGCCAAGGTCTCGCCTGATCACTTCACCGCCCAAGAAACAGAGCTCTTGCCTTTTGCGTATCTCGGTTCTCACGATACGGATGAATACACCGGAAAGGTGTTCAAGGAAGTCTGGAACCAGCATGCAGGAAGCAGTCGTACCGTCACGAGATATGTAGGAGAGATTGTCGGTCTTGTAGAGCGCTGCCTGGAGACTACGCAGTGGGCTATCCGTCACACAGGCGCATTCACGGTTGCTGCAATGGTGGCTGATTTGGCCAATGCTAGCGAAGCTACGGGCGTTATTGATGAGGCCAACCTGAAGGCCACTTGGCCAGTATTTGACAAGACCTTGGCTTTGAAGACCTTCCCGGGGAAGGAGAAACTACTCGAGTCATACCCTCTATTCGTCGAGCGAGGCGAGCCTCTCTGGAAGAATGACAGTGTGATCTCTGCGCAGATGAAGAAGATTGCCATTAGAGAAGCAAAACGCAACAATGACGAGTACCGACCTCATGCCTTCCGATGTCTATGGAGGTTTGCCAAGGCTCGTCCAGACCTGAATATGCTCAAGGAGATTGCTGATATCACCACCCCATATCTTGAGGAACACAAGGATGAAGACAAGATGGACGTAGATTCCAAAGAGAACCGGAAGGAGGACCTCGACTTGAAGACGGCCAAGAACGCTTTCGAGGCCATTGCCAGAGGATACAGCCGCTCCAAGACCATCGATATTCGCGTTTCTCTTGGAGAAATCATCAGTATTTTGAAACCCTATCTTGCTGCTGCGAGATTTGAGCTTATTAAGAGAGAAATATGGTATGAGTGTGTGTATGACCTCATGGCGGATGCGGCAAAATTAACAGACATCATGGATTCACTACCCGTGCAGTTTGAAGGATCGAGCATACTTGCCGCTTACACGGCGAGCCTGGACATTGACAGGGGAGAGACTGGCACGGAGTCCCAGCGGACAAAGAGAGTTCGGGCACTGTCTAAGATAGTAGATGCGAGGTCCAAGGGTGTGTTTGGGAAGGCGGATTTTCCGGGCACAGTGGAGAATGATGTGACAACTGCTCTGGGGGAGGAGAGATCTGCTGATGTGCAGAAGGCGTGGAGGGAGGTTCTGGGGCAGATTAGGCTAGCTCAAAGCTAGGGAAGCATAGATTTAGCGTATAGAACAGCTGTTGAGATTTGGAATGCTGAATGGAGTGTATTTTGATGTGCGACAGTCTCAGCAAGGGGGGCGCCAGGCTACAAGGTGGATGAAATGGTGAAGAGATGAGGTGATTAGGCTGTGACGTTGGTGACGTTTGGTTGCAGCGGCCTGTGGGTGTTGCGTCATGGCGGCTAGTCATAGTGTACTGAGTAAGATGTCAACTGGTGCTTACATTTTGTCAACCCACCCGACTGTACAACAGTTGCATGGCCCGGCTTCAATATCCCGACGACACTGGAGAGACTTACCTTCCGCATTTCAGCCGCCGAGATTCCCCGCCAGGGTGGTGTACGTCTTCCGTTTCGCAATAGATAAAAGCATTCGACTTGATTGTATTTTACCTTATTTGTGCATCTTTCGTCTTGAATGCTTTATTCTCTGCAATTCTTGGAAAGCAGGCACCTTGGCGCCAGTGCATGAAACTGGAGAAACAGCAGCCGCCACTCACCGACTGAGCTCCGACAGTTTGACCGTTGAGGTGAGGGGCAGAGGACCTTGTCCTGACAAAGCTACCAACCCAAACCGAACCGGCCAGTTGACTTTCAAGTCACTTCACCCAAACATACCACAACCCCATGAGCTCACTCGAAAACAACAAAAACACTTTGGCAAACGCAACGAGACTGACAGGGACGGCGCAAGGCCTACCGAAATAACCGCCGCCAACGAGGACAACCATCAGCAAGCTCGCTGTCCGGAATTATCAGTGGCAAACATGGACGAATCCATCTCTTCCTTTGTCGCTATTACAGGGGCAACTGCGGACGTGGCTCGCGGATTTCTTCAGATAGTAAACGGTGATTTCGAAAGAGCCATTGGATTATTCTACGAAAACCCGGAGCTTGCCTCTGGAGTGGGAGCTGGCATCGCCGAACCGACCTCTGGTCCAGCCAACCCAACATCTTCATCGGGGCGCCGCCCCAATATTGGCCACGAGGGCGCAAGCGGCATCATTCACATAAGTGACGACGACGATGATAACGATGACGACGACGATGTTATGATGGTCGATGATGCGAGAAGTGGTGACGATGGCGAGCGAGCTGCAGTTCAACACGCGGCTGCCATGGCGCAAGAAGAGGAGGATGCCGCCATGGCAAAGCGGCTGCAGGAAGAGCTGTACCAGGGTAATTCGGCCGGTCCAGGAGCACCCGATGATGTCAGGGCTCCCATTGCACGAACGACAGAGACACTTGTTGCTCCGGATCCTGCTTGGGATGGTGCTGTCGATGACGAGACGACCCAAAGGTTTCTGGAGCAGCTGCGGAATAGAAGACACCCCCCTCGTAAGTCTCTTCTTCTTACTACCATGGGGCATTTCTGTCTCTAGATTACTCTCGGCGCCCCTTTTACTGATTTTGCGTCTCATGTAGCTCGTAGTGGCGGCCCGTTCGCTCAGCGAATTTGGGGCGATGCTGCCGGCGTGACACCGCCCAGCGCCACGGAAAATGGAACCCACGCGCGACGATTAGAGGACCTCTTTCGACCACCGTATGAGCTGATGGCCCGAGTTAGCTGGGACGAAGCAAGAACGCTGGGGAAAGAAGACAAGAAATGGATCCTGGTCAATCTGCAAGACATGAACGACTTCAATTGCCAGGCCCTCAACCGAGATATATGGAAAGATGCAGCGATTAAGGAGCTTGTATCTGAGAACTTTATCTTTTTACAGTATGACAAGGACTATCCAGATGCCGAAGAGTACATCACCTTCTACTTTCCCAATCGAACACACGAGAATCCAGACAACTACCCACACGTCTCCATCGTCGATCCCAGAACTGGAGAACAGGTCAAAGTATGGAGCGGGCGGCCTTTCCCAACGGCAGCTGACTTTCACGCCGAGTTGGCCGAGTTCCTCGACAGATACAGTCTCGCTGCCAACAGCAAAAATCCCGTTGCCAAGTCCACAACGCGAAAGCCGGCAGTGGTGGATGTAGACCGGATGACTGAAGACGAAATGCTGGAGATGGCCTTGAAGAATAGCCTTGCCGCGGGTGGCGGCGAAAGCAGTCGATCGACATCGACACCAAACATTCAAGATCCAGATGCCTTTACGAAATCGCCCGGCCCCAGTGATGGCGTGGGAGATGGCGGCAAGGGCAAAGAAGCCGAAGTAGCACCCGAGCAAACTGTTTTCGCCCTGATATCTAGCGGGAAGCCGCACACGGAACCGGAGAACAATCCCGCAACAACAACCAGAATACAGTTTAGGCACCCTACGGGCCGTGTCATTCGACGATTCAACCTGCAAGATCCGGTGCGCCGGATTTACGAGTGGCTCAAGGCTGAGCCGATGCCAGGGAAAGACGGCGTCGAGTTCGAGCTGAAGAAGATGCCACAAGGCCAGGATCTGATTGGAGATGTGGACAGCACCATTGAAGAGACTGGACTCAAACAAGGCACCGTAATGATTGAATTTATTGAGGACTGATGTCTCCAGACAGGACGAGTCGAGTACAGCAGGGATGAAACATCTGCTTATAGACTTTGTATGCATGGTTTGCTGACGGGCTGGCTGCTTTGCAAGCCTTTATGAAGGGGATGCTTACGAGGAGCATGACCATGATGCATACGTGGTTTCCTTACTTCTGCGACTGATTAGACGGTTATATGACAGTGCTCAGGCGTTGGTAGGCCAGGACAATTGACGGCCAGGAATACATTTGGAGCAGAGATAATGCAGTGATCTCCAATCAAGTTACTCCGTATGATAGAGAAGATATCTTCTTTTTTTTTCTAAGCCATTACGAGTCGAGCTGGAATCGCAGGTTGCACAAGATGCCGCCTCCGCGTGTGGATGTGAATCGGGTCGTCCCCGGGCTTCGGCACACCGGTATGGGCAGGGTATTCGGAGACAGAGGCATCGATTGGATGAGGTGCTTCCAGAGAGGCAGACAGACATTTGGCCACTGTCCTGACCGGTTGTGGCCAGGATTGGGCGGTGGTTCCATGTTGCATTCGTCGTCAGCCCTGTCGGCTGCATCGCAGCCCAAAGCAAGATAAAAAAACGGCCATTACATATTTTACGTTTCCGGGGCGTGTGCAACAGTTGTCTAAACCTAGGTGTCCTTGTTGGTGTCGCCGTTTCACTCTGGCTCCATGTCCGTCTGGTACTCCCCATTTACCCGTCAGCGACCAAGTTAGCGTGTATCATTTTAACTCTTGACCAGTGCTGACCCTTGCTCGTCTCGGAACCGGTGCCTGTGCCTGAACCCATTGGCCCCAGCCGTATGTACCTTCCCTGGCTCCCTTTTTTCCCACTTCCCACCACATGTCTGGTGCATCTTGCCGGCATCAGCTTCAGCTCTGCTCCACCCGGACCATCTGGGCGTTGATCACCAGCGAAGCCACGGTCCTGGTTCCTGTAAACACGGCCGCCGCCCAGATCGAGGCCCCCCGGGTTCGATTTGTTTTGTTCACCACACGCCTGGGTCCAAGTGAAGCATGGGGAAGAGGTGAGGCAGACCAATTTGCCTGTTTCTGACTATTTTCCCGCCTTCTCATAGAATTTCCTTTTTTTTTCTACTTTCCTTTTGTCAGACATTTCTTTTTTCTTCTTCTGCACATTCGCTCGATTGGCGATATTACTTGCATCGGCCATTCGAAAGGAGGGGTTCTTGGCCTCCAGGAACAAAGACAGACTTTTGGTTACACGCGATAACGATAACGATACCGAGCATCGACGCCTGCTCGATGTTGATGGACGGAATTCGGCAACGACCTGTTGAATTTTCTTTCTTTTTTTTTCACCAGACTCTTGCTTTGTTGCTAGGGCTAGCGCACAGGCCAGCTTCCACCGCTTGAACTGGACGATTTGGCGGGCCGAACTCTGAGGATGGCGGAGAGATTTCGTGACGACGAGGCCAACGAGGCGTTGGACCCGGAGCTCCTGTACTCCAAGGAATACTGCATTGGTCGGTTACGCGTGTGTCTGTGGCGGGTTGTGTGATTGAGCTGACAAAGCTAGGCGGTGGGAGCTTTGGCAAAGTCTACAAAGGGTTCGTTGGTGATGACCCCTCTTCCCCCTTCCCCCTCCCTTTGCTTGCCCCCCCAAATCGCCTTGAAGACATCTTCTTGGGTCGATGGACTGCTGCCGAATTGGAAAAAACCCTGACATGCGTGCAGAGTCGACAAGCGGACCGGCCAGGCGGTTGCCATCAAGATTATTGACATCGAAAACGCCGAGGACGAAGTCGAAGATATTATTCAAGAAATCGCCATTCTGTCCGAACTGCAGTCGCCGTACGTCACCAAGTATTATGGCTCGTATGCCAAGGGTGCCGAGTTATGGATTGTCATGGAGTTTTGTGCCGGTGGTAGTTGTGCGGATTTGATGAAGCCAGGCTTGATTGAGGAGGACTATATTGCTATTATGTTGAGGGAGCTGCTGCTGGGGTTGGATTATTTGCACTCTGACAAAAAGTTGCATCGGGATATCAAAGGTATGTGCTTCACTCGGAGGATACGTGTGAGGACGGCATATGGGCCGATTGCCTTGCGGCGTGGCTGACTGATGGTAGCTGCCAACGTATTGCTCGGAGCTGGTGGTCAGGTCAAGCTGGCAGATTTTGGTGTTTCCGGCCAACTGTCTGCTACCATGACCAAGAAGAATACCTTTGTCGGGACCCCGTTCTGGATGGCGCCGGAGGTTATTAAGCAATCTGGTTACGATCACAAGGCCGACATTTGGTCGCTGGGTATTACGGCTCTAGAATTGGCCAATGGCGAACCGCCCTACGCCGATATACATCCTATGAAAGTACTATTCCTCATCCCTAAGAACCCTGCCCCTCGGCTAGAAGGCAACTTTACCAAAGCATTCAAGGACTTTGTCGAGCTCTGTTTGCAGCGGGACCCGAAGGACCGGCCGACAGCTCGAGATCTCTTGAGACATCCCTTTATCAGAAAAGCGAAGAAGACGACATATCTCACAGAACTTATTGAAAGACATAGCCGATGGGCCGTCACACACAAGGGCGATGATGAGGAACATTGGGATGCCCAGGAAGGTGCTGCTCCCACAGAACGAGAAACGGTGGATGAGGACATGTGGGACTTTGGCACCGTCAGGCTGGTTGGGGATCGCGGCGGCGTGGTTCGTCGACCGGGTTTGCATGTGGTCGATGGGAGTACGACCAATGCCCGGTCCTCACGACCGTTGGATAACTCCAATGATCAGGGCGAAAAACGTCGTGATGCCAGCCCATTAAAGACCAAAGACATTGCTCTGCAGCCTAGCGATACGGTCAAGGCCGGCAACGCGGCCACATCAAGGCAGTCAAGTCCGCAACGGAAGCCGGTGCCAGCGGATGTTACTACAGCATCACCGACCAGATTGCCGCCGTCGGCGAGTCCCCTGAAGACGTTGACGCGCGACACGCCTGAGACACCTTCGAGCCATCATCCCTCACAACGACCGTTGCCGCCTGCGCCAACATCACAGTCGCCGGAGTATGACCAGGAACTCCAGTATCAGCTGCAGCGTGACATTGGCCTCCTCAATCTGAATATGAGCCCGTCACCAGTCAGTCTTTCCCATCACTCACAATACCCAACGGACAGAGCGCTTCCACGAGTGCAGCAAGACTCACCTACAAGACAGCCTGGTTCTCGCGTATCATCAATGACGATTCCAGAAATACCTCCATACAGGGGGCCATCAGCATCGAGGGTCCCCTCTCAACAAGTAGCACAGTCACCGCGGCCACCTACCGCAGGCAATCCCACACCTCCACCAAATCCGCACTCGCCAGCACAATCCGATGTGTCTATTCAGCCGTCATCTTTCCCGTCTCCCGCTCCTGCTAATCCCAATGGAGAGCTGGATGCGCTCAATGATGTCATTTTCCCTGCGCTCGAAGAAGCGCTTAAGAGGCGGCAGATTCGGCTACAACAAATGTATAGACCGGCGCAAAACGGCAGTCCTGTGTCAGCAAACCAGCAACGAGCAGAGGCTGCGCACGAAAAGATTAGAAAGCTGGTGTATAAACTAGCATATGTTTGCAAGGAGATTGATCAGTGCGACAAAGCAGAGCCTGTAGGCATGGGTCGTGAGGTGGGAAATTTCCTGGAGGGATTGCTGGAGGAGATTCTTGTCCGGGTTGAGCCATTGGACGAGGAGGAGATGTGACATGACATGATTGTGAGACCGCAAGGCGGATGACAGTGCATTGATGCGGATGATTTATGCCTTGGACGTTGCTTGTGTACGCGATGCTTGCGGTAAGGGATGGGCCACGGTTTCATGGACCTGTAGGCGCATTATCGGATGTGAATTTTGATAGGGTTTTTTCGTACAGGCTGTTGGTAAATATACGGCCAGATTGGCGCATGTTTGTAGTGCGTTGAACTGATGGCAGTCGATATTATGCCATTGAAAGGAACATACATGTGGTACCCCGTATACTTGTGCATGTACGGAGTGCTTGTACCTCGATGAGAAGCAGAAGTTGAAGTCACGTCATTGTCATAGTCCCGTAACCAGAAAAAGGAAGAGGACTATACATGGGTTACCTTGATATTATTATGTACGGAGTGTATATGTATACTTGAGTAAAAGGAAAGTCAAAAATATATTGCTGTAATTAGTCCCAAAACTAGAAGAAAGGAAAGAATTACTAATATATAAGATACCTGGTACCAATACTTATTATCTGTACGGAGTGCTTATACCTTGATGAGAAGTAAAAGTAAAGTCACGTCACTGTCCCTGTCGTAGTCCCGTAACCAGAAGAAAAAGGATCCACAGGTCCCAAACCAGGCTAGTCGGCGCCGACGAACCATGCGGCTCTAAGGCTCGGAGTAGATCGAATTCCGCTCTTCTTCCGAACCAACCCGCGCTCCATGCGGGCCGGCCGAGAGGGACAAAAAAAAGGGCGCTTCCCAAGAAGCAAAAGCCGCGCAAAGCGAAAGCGTAGGAAGGGCAAAAGAAAAAAAGTCGTAAAGGGACATCAAGCACCGGCACTGGCCTCTCGGGTCGATTGGAGGAAACGTTGCCGTGGCGCCCCATCTGGGAAACACAGCAGGTTTGCTGTATTACTACTCCGTACCCAGGTACAGTACTTAGCATGTAGTGGTATGCACAAGAGTCTCCAGTTTAACTTTGCCGTAGCAGCTTAGACGACCCGAACCAAGAGCCGCCCCAGACCACGGTGTACAACGGAACCACACCATCATCGACACCGAAGCTTCTTTTTTTCCGCACTTGGACTTCCCTTCTTCCCTTTCTTTTTTCTGCCGACTCTCGTCTCTCGCCCTTATCGCTACATTTTTTTGTACTAAGTCCCCGAGGCGCCGTTGGGTTTCCTTTCACTGTCTCTTGCTGAACTCCATTGGTTACTTGGAATTTTATTTTGGATTTAGGCACGATGTTGTCTCGTGGCTCTGCTAGAACAGCGCAGGTATGTATCTTTTTTCTTTTTTCCCTTTTGGCTCGCTTTTGCTCCCCGTGTTTTAAATGCGGGACTTGGTGAGGCTGGGCTGCTGCAAGGTCATTGGGGAGTGCGAATTGCACGGGTTGGCGTGAGGATCTGAGGACAATTTTGCGGAGAAGGCCATGAGCGGTGTTGCCGGTTGGGAATGGGGTCAAAGCTGGCCTTTGGTTGCGAGACATGGAGTGGCAACCTGTGGCAGCACAAGACACCTACGACCGACATTACATTCGCCGAGCCGAGCCCCTCGTCGCCATTGTTTCTACGCGTGCGAAACGTCAAATGAGTTTGGTTGCTAACCTTGGATTGCCCAGCTGCTGCGCAGCGCCGCCGGCCAGCACCAGTTCGCTAGATCGTTCGCGACCGTCCAGTCCGACATCTTCAAGCCCGCCAAGTTTGGCGGCAAGTACACCGTCACCCTCATCCCCGGAGACGGTATCGGCGCCGAGGTTGCCGAGTCGGTCAAGACCATCTTCAAGGCCGACAACGTCCCCATCGAGTGGGAGCAGATCGAGGTGTCTGGCATCATTGACGGCGCCGGCCGCACCGAAGACGCTTTCCGCGAGTCGGTCGCCTCGCTGAAGCGCAACAAGCTCGGCCTCAAGGGCATCCTGCACACGCCCATCAGCCGATCTGGCCACCAGAGCTTCAACGTCGCCATGCGACAGGAGCTCGACATCTACGCCTCCATCAGCTTGATCAAGAACATTCCCGGCTACGAGACGCGCCACAAGGACGTGGACCTGTGCATCATCCGTGAGAACACCGAGGGCGAGTACTCTGGCCTCGAGCACCAGAGCGTCCCCGGCGTGGTTGAGTCCCTCAAGATCATCACCCGCGCCAAGTCGGAGCGGATTGCCAAGTTTGCCTTCTCCTTCGCCCTGGCCAACGGCCGCTCCAAGGTGACGTGCATCCACAAGGCCAACATCATGAAGCTGGCCGACGGGCTGTTCCGCAGCACCTTCCACAACGTTGCCAAGGAGTACCCCACCCTCGAGGTCAACGACATGATTGTCGACAACGCCTCCATGCAGGCTGTTTCCCGCCCTCAGCAGTTCGACGTCATGGTCATGCCGAACCTGTACGGCGGCATTCTGTCCAACATTGGTGCCGCTCTCGTCGGCGGGCCCGGCATCGTGCCCGGCTGCAACATGGGCCGTGACGTTGCCGTCTTCGAGCCCGGGTGCCGACACGTCGGCCTTGACATCAAGGGCAAGGACCAGGCCAACCCTACCGCCATGATCCTGTCTGGCAGCATGCTCCTGCGCCACCTTGGTCTCGACGACCACGCCAACCGCATTTCCAAGGCCATCTATGCCGTTATTGCCGAGGGGTACGTACAGCTTGCTTGCCATTGAACCTCTGGCCGCGTTTGCAGAAAACTGACTACTTGTACAGCAAGGTCCGCACCCGCGACATGGGCGGTGAATCAACCACCCACGAGTTCACCAAGGCCATCCTCGACAAGATGGAGGCCATTTAAATCCTTATCTTCCCCGACACCCGTCGTTTCGAGCCGAAGCAGCGGGAAATTCACAATGTTCAAAATTGAAAAAAAAAAGATGTTACTCAAACGTTTGCCGCCGTCTTCTTGTGGATCAGTGCGGGAAGAGCGACTGGAAGATGTTTTTGATACCTCAATAGAGTCTGAGCGACGGCAGACAAGACCTGGCGACTGGGGAGGAGTGCGGAATCGAGGGATTGGACAAGGGAGGCGGTGACGGCATCGCTCGCGCTGCGAAGACATTGGGAAGGGATGCCGTGACCAGTGTAATGTATAGCATGGCCTTGCAACCTATAACCTTTTTTTTATGAATGCATAGAAATGTTTCCCATGATTTTCGGAGCATTGGTACCGGGTGGAGCGTCGTGATGTACCAGACTCTACAGGGATGCGGTGCTTGGGGGGGGTGCTGGTCAACTACGCCTTTAAGACGGGAGGAGCTGTGCGTGCATGCCTCTAGGCATCAGTGATGACCTGCATGACCACTGCGTCTGATTTGGAATCAATCGGAGATTCCAAACGGTTTCCCGAAACGCCGTCTTGTCTGTTGCTGTTCTGTTGCACAATGTTCCTGCCGCTTTTAACACCGCATACTGGCTGTTGGACGACGGGAGTGCCTTGGGTGCCGCTGCGAGATGGACTTTCCTGAGCACCTGAGGGCGTACTCCTTGGTTGACATGCTCAATATAATGTGGCTAATAGAGGTCGACGGTGTAAGGCCGAAACGGACTGGCGTTACCACTGGGAAACACAGGCTGTGCCCTGTAGGTAGTTCTGGCTGCGTAACAGAGCAATCGGCTACGCGGACGGCATCTCCCCGTGCGTTACTGACGGGAACGGGTGATTGTATATCAGCTGGTCATTTTGATGCGGATGTGTTGGTACAAGTACTCCGTATACCCGATTGGGTTGACGCTCCAAGAGTCTACAGCGATTACTTGCGTATTTACTTCATCTCCTCCTAAGCTTCTTTTTGGCCATGCTGCTTTTTCTAAAGCCTGAAAGTCGTACCCTTTGCATTCCGGTATTCTGTTTGCAGAGGGTCAAGTCAGCCCCCGTTGCATAAGTAAATGGATAGCCGATTCAACCGGTCTTCAAGCAGGCCCGTACATGAGCATGTAAAAGTAGACGCCATCCGTACGTCCTCTCGCTTCAATGTTCTTTGCCAGTTTGCATCCTATCCCCAATGTACACCGTACGTCAAGAAGGACAGTAGAGCAGCAAGAGCACTAGACCAGAAGCGGTCGTCGGATAACCACCCGCCATCATCGGACCATCGGCCGGAGACAGGCAGCCCCGAACAAAGAAGAACGAATCAAGCCTTCACGTTTCCACTCAAAATGCTGCCCGTACGTAAAACGCAAAGAACCCCGCATTCACTCGTCTTACACTTGGTAGTATAGAGTCGCACGTATAAATAGAGGGCGGGCTGGACACCCTTCCGTCGTGGGACATACCTTGATGTCCTGCACAGAACGAATCGGAATACTTGTCGAGCCTCGACGGATACCGCTTTTGGAAATAAAACAGCAGCAGAAACTAGTTCGGGGGTCCTCGTAATCTGCCGAAATGACGACAACGGGTAGCTGTGCGTGCCGGGAGATCCAGTTCCAGTTTGAGGGCGAGCCGGCGGTCACGGCGTTGTGCCACTGCACCGATTGCCAGAAGGTAAAGAGATCTTGTCCGGCTCTATTTGATCCCGGGTGTGGACGATGCTGAAGTGTGGGTAGTGGACCGGTGGTGCGTTTACGTCCAACGCTGTTGTGCCGCGGACCTCGTTCAAGGTCACCAAGGGTACGTTGCGAGCCCGCCCCCTTTGATAAAGTAGGGGAAATAGTCGATGTTGTAAGCGGAGGCTGATACGGTGATGAGTTAGGGACACCCAAGACGTGGGATGCGAGGGGTGACTCGGGCAAGATCAACAAGCATTTCTTCTGTGGGAACTGCGGATCCGGCCTGTACACGGAGCTGGAGGTCATGCCTGACATGGCCTGTATCAAGGCCGGTTCGCTGGACGGCGGGGCCGCGAGCCTGGGGAACAAGATTGGCGTTGAGTTTTACACCAAGGACCGCGTTGGATATCTGGGGAGCTGTGACGGCGCCAAGCAGGAGCCTGCTTTTGGTTGAGGATGGAACTGGGGGCGCGTGCGGGTAGTGAATATGGAACGTCGTGTTGGAGTGAATACTCTTCTCTGTCGAATTGTCACGATCCCATATGACTGACGTCTTGCTTCATTGTTACTCTCCCTTGACGGCAGCCATGATGCGCCGCAAGCCTTCTGCCAGATAGCCCGCTTCTTGTGAAAATATAATCCTAAACCAGCCCGGCTTCTCGGCGCCAAAGGCGATGCCGTCTGCCAAGAAGACCTTCTTCGCCAACAGAGCATCAATTACAGCCTTGTCGAGATGTTCAATCTCACCCGGATGGTGCTTGCTATATACGGCGCCCAAATTAACCCACACGAAGAAGCCGGCATTGCTGCCCCTGCTGTATTCTATCCCATTCTGCTTGGCCCATAAAAGCACCTTTTCCTGATGCTCCGACAGCTTCGTCTGGTTCTCCTTGATGTAGCTTTCCACCCACTCGTCATCGTCGAGCGCGTTTGCCGTCACGAGATCCGACAGCGAAGACGTCCACGAAAATTCAAACACCGACATCAAAGCCGCCTGCATGCTCGGACTGTGCTGCGTGATGGTGATGCCCATCCGTAGTCCATTGGCCCCAAAGTCCTTTGACATGCCCCAGAGGACGTGGATCAGACTAGGGTCAATGATGCCCTCGGGATCGATGGACAGGACAGACTCAAAGGGGACGGCCGTGGCACCCTCGTCTACCCTGTTCTCGAAAACCGACAGGGCGTAAATCTCATCCGATATGAGATGAATCTGGTGCTTTTGACACAGCCTCATAAAGGCAATCAAGACGTCGCGGGGATAACATCGGCCCAGCGGGTTGTGCGGGTGGGCGAGGATGACACCGGCGATACGCTGGCCACGGTCCTTGGCCTTGAGAATTTCATCTTCGTACTTTTGCACCGCTTCCACGCCCATGGGATCCAGGTCTCCAAAGGCAACGGGCAGCACTTCCACCCCGGTGCGGCGGCTTACATCTGGCTTGAAAGCCACGTAGTATGGCCGTCCCAGCAGCAGCGCGTCACCGGGATTTGCAGTGGCCCATGCTATGTTCTGGATGGCCGGCGCCAATCCATTGCTGATGTGTATGTGCGACGGTTCAATGGGCGTCACTGGCTTGAGGTGCCTGGTGAGGAAGCGAGCGGCTACCTTCCTGAGTCTTTTCTGTCCGTCGCCGTAGGTGAGCGCCAGGTCGGGAATGTCAATGTTCTTGTGCATGTGGTCAATCAAAACATGGTGCATTAAGGAGTTTTCGGCGATTCCTAGGCTCACGTAGCCGTTTGGGTTGGTTTCCGCATCATACAGATTATTGAGCATCATGATGAGTTGGTCTGTTGTAGAGGCATTTTGGTACGTTTGAACAGCTCTGGTTGAGAGCGCCATCGTGTGGGACGGGGACACGGAGGATATAAATAATATGTACAAGTCTCAAGTCCGGCGACGGCATGAAGGAATCCAGAGTTGGTAACAGAGGAAGGCTTTCAGGGGGATATAGAGACATAATCCAGCCTGTAATGGAGTTGCGGACACGGATATATCTCAGCGCCAGACCTGGTCGATTGGGAACCCTGGTAGACGGGGTGAGGGGAGGGCGAGGGTCTGTACAGCGGGGCCAAAGACGGCATCATCGTACTCCGTGCGTATGGTGTTATTTCCATGATGGCTAATGGCATTTGCTATGTTTTGAAAATCACAGGCCTTGCAGAGTTGTAAAAGCCAACCCTGAATACAACTGGCCACGGCTTTCCGACGTCGATTCATTGGTTGCACAATTCTCGATGCAGGGTCAGCCCATTGGCCAGCGCCGCTGCACCACACTGCATCGCGCCTGCCGTGCTGATCACTGCTACCTTGTCAAACTCGTCGCCTAAACGGAACACCGCCCGGCGCCGTCCGTCAATGGTACAAGTTAGACATGCCAGTACAAAACAGCACATTTCACGAACTGAGGTCCAAATCTCGTACAAAGAGTCCCACATAGCAACGCATAGAATCAACTGTTTTTAATCAGAAAAAAAATTCACTTCCCAACCCGTGTTTACCACCCATTCTAGAAGTTTTTAGGCCAGTGTCCCAGAGGGCCCGCCGCCTGTCCAATAAGATTGCCCGTGGCTCACGGGGAACCCGGCCAATCGAAATTTCCGCACAGATGGTGGTGTCCAGTGCCTGGCAAAAGTTGGAGGGCGAAGGCGGCGGCCAGGGCTTGACATGCCCCTCCGAATTTGTATGGCGGGGTACGTGACTGTATTTTCTGCCCCTCCGTCATTCGCTCGGGCGTGACTCGTCCTGCGACAAGAAAAAAAACTATAAACCGCGAGAGGAACGGCAATTTGCACCCAGAGCACACCATACCTGTTGATACCCTTAGAACTGCAAACTACACTATGCCGGACAACTCAGTTACCTCAGGCGAGCCTGCCGCCGCCGAGGCCGCCGCCGCCGTCGCCAAGCTTCACCTCGACGAAGTGACGGGCGAGATGATCTCCAAGACCGAACTCAAGAAGCGCCAGAAGCAGCGTGAGAAGGAGGCGGCCAAGAAGGAGAAGGCTGCTGCCAACCCCAAGCCCCCGGCTGCCAGCACCAAGAACGCTGAGGCTGCTGAAAAGGAGCTCACTCCCAATCAGGTGCGCAGCTATTCGAACCCATTCAGACCCTGCCCTTTAATTTCGATGGAGAAAGAAAAGACGAACTGTTGGTCGACTAACATTCATTCACCCTATCAGTACTTTGAGATTAGATCGCGAACAGTCAACGAACTCCATGCCCAGGGCAAGGCTTACCCCCACAAGGTAGATAACCTCAATGAGCATACACACAAGGCGAACAATTTGGGTCTAATTCATGCAGTACCACATCGATTATGACATCCGCAAGTTCGAGGACGACTTCAAGCACCTCAAGAACGGAGAGACCGACAAGTCCAGGATGATCCAGCTGGCTGGAAGAATCTATGTCCGCCGCTCAGCTGGTTCCAAGCTTTTCTTCTACGATATCCGCTCCGACGGCACCAGACTTCAGGTCCTCGCCCAGGCCGACAACCTCGACGACAAGGCCCCCAGCTTTGACGAGCAGCATGTCAACCTTCGAAGAGGTGACATTATCGGCATTCGTGGATTCCCCACCCGCACAAACCCCAAGACCAAGCAGGGCTCAGGTGAATATTCCGGCGAGCTGTCGATTGCTGCTGTCGAGATTACTCTGTTGTCTCCTTGCTTGCATCAAGTATGTTTCCTTCCGTCCCTCCAGCCTGCTGCTCTATGTCATGATTCAATTTGCTCACGCGACCCAGATTCCCGACGACCACTATGGTTTCAAGAACCCCGAGACTCGTTTCCGCCAACGATACCTGGATCTCATGATGAATGAGAAGTCTAGACAAATTTTCATCACCCGCGCCAAGGTCGACTCATACATTCGCCGCTGGTTCGACGAGCGCGACTTCGTCTCTGTGCAGACCCCTATGCTCAACCCTATTGCTGGTGGTGCCACTGCCAGACCTTTCGTCACCCACCACAATGACTTGAACATGGACATGTTCCTGCGTGTTGCCCCCGAGCTCTACCTCAAGATGCTTGTTGTCGGTGGTCTCAACCGTGTTTACGAGATGGGACGGCAGTTTAGAAATGAGAGCATGGATCTCACTCACAACCCTGGTATGTTTTTTTGTCGCCCTTTCCCAGTGTGGGCTGCTTCAAGACTACACGGACTAACAAGGTTGTTTAGAATTCACCACCCTTGAATTTTATATGGCGTATGCTGATGTTTACGATCTAATGACCATGACCGAGGAGCTTGTCAGCGGCCTGGTCAAGCACATTCACGGCTCATACAAGACCACCTACCACACCATCAAGGGCGAGGAAATCAGCATCAACTGGGAGGGCCCCTGGCGAAGAATTGAAATGATTCCCGCCCTCGAGGAGGCCGTCGGCGAGAAGTTCCCTCCTGCGGACACTCTTCACACCGAAGAGGCCAACCAGTTCTTCAAGAAGGTCCTGGCCAAGACTGGAGTCGAGTGCAGCCCGCCTCTGACCAACGCCCGTATGCTCGACGCCCTTGTCGGCGAATACCTCGAGTCCCAAGCCATCAACCCCACCTTCATCATCGGTCACCCCAAGATGATGTCTCCCCTCGCCAAGGACTCCCGCACCACCCCCGGTCTCTGCGAGCGGTTCGAGGTCTTCGTCTCCACCAAGGAAATTGTCAACGCCTACACCGAGTTGAACGTTGCTGCCGAGCAGCGTCTCCGGTTCGAGGAGCAGGCCCGCCAGAAGTCCCAGGGCGATGACGAGGCCCAGATGGCCGATGAGACCTTCTGCCAGGCTCTCGAGCATGCTCTGCCTCCCACTGGCGGTTGGGGCATGGGCATCGACCGCATGATGATGTTCTTGACCGACAACTACAGCATCCGTGAGGTTCTCGCCTTCCCCACTATGAAGCCTGAATAAACTAGTAGTATAAAGTTTTCAAGACCAGTCGTCTAGAGTTTGGCAAAGACATCATACTTTGAGATGAATTTTTGCGGTTATGAATTGGACTGAAAGTTGTCGCCATCTGTTTGATAGTCAATGGCGCTCTAGTCTTGGAATGCAGTGACGACAATAACACGAGCTTGGTATAAAAAAACAAATAATGTGAAAGGGTATCTAACTTTTATATTCGTGTGAGAAGACGTCATCACTATACTGTTCCCATTCCAAAACGCCATGCAATGCCCTTTCCCACAATTCGGAAAATTTCGAAATCCCCAGCTGGTTCCATGACCATTTCTCACGTAAAACCTTTCCCCCCCCCCCCCCCAAAAAAAAATCCATCGATTCTAAAAGGCCGGACGGCGCTTGCGACCAGTGTACTTGGAGGAAGCCTTGACGACCTTGCCCTTGCGCTCCAGCTGCTCCTTCTTCTTGACGATCCACGCCCTGCTGCCCTTCTTCAAGGGCCCCGCGCCGGCCGTCTTGACCCCGCGCCTCGCGTCGAGGATGTCCACGTCGTCGAGGCCCGCCACCACGCCGGTGATGTCGCCCTGGCCCCCGGCGACGGCGGCGTTGCCCACGGTCAGCACGAGGTACAGCTTGACGTTCTTGGTGCCCGGGTCGTCCTCGAGGACGCCGGCGCCGAAGCCGGCCCTGACGGCGGCCTGGGTGATGAGGGCGCGCTGGGCGTCGTTCTTGGGGTAGAACTGGCAGACGGCGCGGGCGCCGCGGCGCAGGGCGGCGTACAGGCCGTTGAAGAAGCGCGCCAGGCGGCCGGCGGGCGAGGTGTCGCTCGTCTCGGCGCTGCAGAGCCACTGGACGGCCGAGATGCTGACGGCCGCGTCGAATGTGCCCGCGCGGAAGGGCACGCCCTGGCCCATGTCGGCGAGGAGCAGGTCGCCCTCGACGTCGCGCTGCAGGGCGACGTCGAGCATCGAGGGGGACACGTCCATGCCGACCCAGGTGTGTGGCCCGCCGCCGGCCGAGGGGGACGCGGCGGAGAGGATCTCGCCCGACAGGCCGCTGCCGCAGCCGACGTCGAGGATGAGCGAGGGCGACTTGAGGTCCAGGAGCTCGAGGGCCCGGCGGGTCATGGACGCTTGGATGTTTTGGATCCGCGAGCTGGTGGTGTATTTGCGCGCTTCGGTGTCATCGTAGTGCACGTCGGCTGCGCTGCGGGTGGGCGGGGGGACGGGTTAGTTCTTGGGGGTTTTGCAGTGTCGGTGAGGCGGGGGGGGAGGGTTTCCATACAGGGTGTCCTCGGGGCGGGACATGATGGGCGGTTCTTGGTGGTTGATTACACTGTGGTGTAATGTTGGCTGTGGTCGTGGGATTGAGCGCTTGACATCGGGTTGGGTGGTGATTTGGTGTCGCTGTTGGAGCTGGCATTGGGACGCTTCTTTTTTTATTCTCTTCCGTGGACGAGGAGCTATCGATAAGACGGGGTGGCGGGGTGCAGCGGCGCACCGGCACTAGCCACACGGACTTGGCGTGGCCGGGCCAGGGACAGCCACGGCAGCTACGCAGTCTTATATGCTTAGTTGTGACTTGTCCTCAACACCAAGGGTTTACCCTTTTTTGGGGGGGTTGGCTATAATGTATCCGGTGGGTAGTTTCCCCCGCGGCTGAATATTCAAAAGCACGGCGGAGGCATCTGGCAGCGCGCTCAGAGCCCATGCGCAGACAATCTGCGAACGCAAAGTCGAGATGGAATTGATGCCGAAAGCAGTGTCCCGCTCTGGAAGCGACAAGCCACCCCTGAAGGCGTCCTCTGTCCACTTGCCTGGTACTACTAGTACGTACTACTAGTACTACTCCGTACACCAGACGCCATTCAAAACTCCAAATCTCGTCCACCACCTTGCCATCTGTCCTTTTTCATACCCTCCGCCTCTCCCCCCGTGGTGATAATAACACGTTTGATTCCTCCCCGCTCCTTTCTTCCCCGACCTCGTCTTCGACACACAAGCAGCCATGTGGATGCTGCCACTGATCGGCTACGCAGGCGCCATCATAGGCTTCTGCTTCCTGACGCTCGCCATCGCCTCAGGCCTGTACTACCTGTCCGAGCTCGTGGAAGAGCACACCGTCATCGCCAAGCGCCTGCTCACCCGCCTCATCTACACCCTCATCGGCGTCCAGGTCGCGCTGTGGCTGGTGGACGGATTCCCCTTTGGCGCGACCATGCTGGGCGTCTTTGCCCACGTCGTCTACCTGGGCAACATGCGCAGGTTCCCGTTTGTCAAGCTGTCCGATCCTCTGTTCTTGCTATCATGCGGTATGTTTCCTTCCCTCCCCTCCCCTTGCGGCCCGGCTCCCGTGTGGGAAGAGAAGCTGACAGCTCAAATAGTCCTGGTCCTCGTCGACCACTACGTCTGGTTCCGACACTTCTCTGACGCCCAGACGCGCGCGTACCAGCGGCCCTCGTACTATGACCAGGTCGACGTGCCGAGCTTCTCCATGATCGCGTCCTACTTTGGCCTCTGTGTATGGCTGGTCCCGTTTGCGCTCTTCGTCAGCTTGTCGGCCGGCGATAACGTGCTGCCCACCATGGGCACCGAGCCGGTGCGCGGCGCCGACGGCCGGGCGAAGCCGCAGGGCATGGTCAAGGCCGTCGTCGATTACGTCCGGGGTGTGATTGGCGATGTTGCCGGGTCGAATGCTTTGGGCCGGCCGTGAGCTTGGCAGGTCGAAAGGATAAGAGACGAGCCGAGATGTCGTGTCGACAAATATCGTGCTATTGCTCGCGTGCGCGAGATGCCGGCTTGGCTGTTCCACGTAGACACAGCCGTTGCCGTGGATAATATCGGACAAGGAAAACCGCGCTATGGCCCTTCACTGTTGCGCTGGCTTCACGCCCCGGTTCTGGGTGGCATTTTGCATCTCAGCAGGCTGTGGGATCCATTCTACGGGTGCAGAGGTCAAAACCACGCCGCAACATGGCATCTGCTGTTGGCGCTTTATTCACACCTACCAAGGCTGATATCGTATACATCCGCACTGGCATCCCCTTGGATCAGACAGCGTCACGAAGCGATCAGCTACCCAGGATTCCGGTTTCAGTCCACCATCATCTCCAAGCGCAAAACGGTGTCCACCAAAAAAAGTCATTACACTCGTGTAAAATATCCCATAATGTATAATGAGTCAACGAACGTACCTAGTGAAATAAATAAAATAAAATAAAAACCATGACCATCCCGTAACGTCCGCGCAACACCCAAGTCAAGCAGCCTCAACTCGTAACCTCACTCCTTCCCCCCCTTGTTCCTCCCCTTGTCGCCCCAGAACCTACCGTCCACCGTGTTCTCCGGGCCCTTCCCGCCGCCGCCGTCGTGCGTCCTCTCAAACTCGCGGTTGTGCTCGTCGACCTCGCGCCTCTGCGCCTCGCTGAGGCCCTTGTCGCCCCCCGGCGCCCCGGGCGTGCTGAAGTTGAACACCTTTGGTTTCCGCGGCGCCCCCTCGGCCGTCGACCCCAGGTCCTGCCCGCCTGCGGCGCGGCCCTTGGCCCCGACGCCGCTGCCAGCCGTCACTTTTGCCGCGTGGGCGCAGCGCTGCAGGGTTGGCCGCAGCATCTTGGTAGCATGTGCGTTTGCTGGCGTGAGGCGCGGCGGGTTCCCTTTTGAAGAGACCGGCGTGGTCTTGGCCAGGCTGTAGGGTCGTGGTTTGTTATACTAGTATGTAAGTTACTTGGGTCTTTGTCGCGGTTGCTAGCTGGGTTTGATGGGGTGAGTAGGCTGAGAGGAAGTGTTTGTTTTGAAAATTCGTTTCTTTCCACTTGATCGCATGTCTTTAGCATGTCTTTATAGAAGAGATATTTCTGCAATAGTAAGCTGTTCCGTGACGGAGATGTGGCGACACTTGCAACCCCGATGATGTCACTTGGGATCATCACTGTGTAGAAAGATCGGAGAACGGGCGGAGAGGGGTTCGCTAGTTGTCGCCCCTGCTACTACTAGCACAAGGTTATTTTGACGACAAGTTACACATCAACTTAGGGCTAGTACCAGTACGGTTTACTGATACCGGGCATTTGACATCTCCCCGGTTTATCTACAAGCATCAAGTTGGGCTGTTTTCTTGGACAGCATAGATGGTGACATGCATAGAGTCAAGAGGTCCGAGTCGGTTGATTCATGCCATCATAACGCAAAAGTGCGTAGCAGTGTCTGTGTACAATCTCTGATCAAGTATACGCCAGTGCGCTCATCACTAGTCGTCACTCGTCACTTGCCCATCCGGTCCGTGTGTCCATATTTTGCTGCATTATTGCATCGTATTGTCATGCTGAGGTATCTCCTATCAATCCTGGAACACATCATTTTCAACCTCGAAGTGGAATAACTTATACACTGATACCGCTTCGTCTTTCCTAAGCGTACAATTGTCGTGGCCATCGTGCATTTGTCCACTGACCACGCTTTGTGACTAGAAAATGAAATCCTGCATTCTGAAACCTTTGCTATGCTTCTTAATCTGTAGCACTTAGCAAGTGTTCGATGGCGCCCTGCACGCTGCCTCCACTCCTTCGCAGGGCCGCAACATTTCGGTCAAAGTCGTAGAACCCCATGTCGTTCAGCTGGCGCAGCTGTTCGGCATATCGCTCCTCCGGCGGTCGATTGTCGGGGGCTGCGCCTGGCATACCTGGGCCCATGCCTCCGAGATTCATCGACAATTGCTCCAACAGATCAAAGTTCGGGTGGGCGTTGAGCGCATTGCCCCCCGTCAGCGCGAACAATTGAGCCATGGGGTTGTTGGCAGCATTTTGGGTCTGACTGTTCTGAGGAGCCCCTTCTGCTCCAGTGTCTGAAGTAGCAGGCTGGTGCTCTCGGGACTCGGCCGTTGGCGTGGTTCCTTGGGAGTTTCCAGTGGTGGAAGCGTTGGTTGTTGTAGCTTGGGCAGTCGGGTTGGGGCTCATGGCGTTTAAGCTTTGAAGCATCTGGGCAAGGTTCATGGCGTTGTTACCCCCAGCAGCACCACCCATCATTCCGGGCATCATGAATGGGTTCATGAAAGGATTTGATGGCTGGTTGTTGTTCGCCTGGCCAGCGGATCGGTTGCCGCCAGCAGCAGCATCTGGCGTGGTATCGGTGGCGCCAGGGGCTGGGAAAGATGAGTCTCCCCCACGCATATTTCGTTGCATACGCATGGCCTGGCCCATCATCTGTGGGTTGCTCATCATCTGTCGCATAAACGGGGATGTGATGATTTCTCTTGCGTTGGGCATGTTGCGGAGCATTGGGTTCGATTCGATGAGCATGTTGACAAAGTCGGGATTGTTCAAGGCCTCGTTCATGGACTGCTGAACATTGGGGTCTGACATCATACGTTGGATGCGCTCCTCGTCCATGGGGGGACCCATCTAGAGATGTCGGTTAGCATGTAGTCAGTGCCGGAGATGTGGTTTCTTGGATAAGGAGGGCGTACACCGCCATCTGGGCCGAACATGTCCATGCCCGGGAAGTTGATCTGGTGACCGGCGTAACGGGCGCCGGTCAGGCCAGCTAGAGGATCGTTGGGGTTGGTTCCAGCCGAAATGTTGTCTGGAACGGCTCGAGGGGTGGAACCGGATGTCGAGGTCTGCTGGGTAGGGTTGCTCGCTGCGCTCTTGACCATGTGGATGGTGTTGTTCTGCTTGATGTTGTAGGATCCGAGGGTCTCGTCATTCTTCATGACGCGGCCAGAGTAGATGAGGCGTTGTCTCTCGACAGGGATGTGCTCGAAATCTTGGCCAGCAAGCTTGGTCTTGAGCTCCGAGACGGTGGCCGACTCGGCCATTGTGATGGTGTGGTTGCTGTCGGCAGATGTCTTCACCTTGAAGGTGACGTGCTTATCGCCACTTGTCTCGGCATTTTCGGCCATGGCGACGGTTTGTCTCTTGAGGCCGTCAGAAGCGTCGAGTGTTTGGTTTGCGCCTGTGCGGGTGGGAGCGAACCGTTGTCGTTTGTCGCGGGGGCAAACGAATGCGACTGGGGCTGGACAAGGCCAGCCAAGAGGAGGCGAGTATTGCTCGAGGAGGTCCGGACGGTGGCTTCGAGGGTAGAGATTGGGTATGGCGACAAAAATGTCCTCAACCGACCGAGGTGTTGCTTGGAGAGGGCAAGAAAACAGAGAGCAGAGGGCAGAGGACAGAGAGTCTGCGGTTGAGGATGCAACACCTTTGACGCTGGCGATTGCCTGGTGTGGGCCGATGACCAAACCCCTTGGCTGGCCTCTTGGTAATGGTCCGCACTCGGCAGTCGGTTCGGAGGAGTTCTTGAGCACACGCGGTGGTGGACCACGCGCTGAAGGACGGCTCAAAGGGCTTTGGAGGTGAATGTTCGATAGACGCCCACGGCCTTCGACAGCTCAAGGCGACGTGGGTCTGGAGGCGTCGGCGGTTGACTAGAATAGGCTGGGGGCAGTTAGCTGGCTGGCTGCGCAGACTGGGAAGCAGCCAAGACGACGAACAACAAACGGCCTAGCAAGGTGGCCGGGCCCGAGTACTCGAGGCCAACACGCACAGGGTCGAAAACGATGTAGGAAGAAGGACAAATATATGCTGTATGTCGCGCAGCATCACGGTGCGTGGTCAAGGCCCAGACGGAACAAAGGGTCTCTAGGCCTGAGGAACACCAGCACGGCGCATCATAGGCAGTCGGGAATTTTGGGAAACGAGGCCACAAAGCAGAACACGTTGGAGGGTGAGACGAGGGCCCATCCGTGTCTCACAACGAAAGCAAGTGCCTACCCTTTGTAGCTCCTCTGCACCTGCCTCCAAATCTTACCTGTACGCCGTACCCATCCACCAGTTAAGGGGAGAACTGCCACCAGAACCTTGTATACATACACCAGACGCTTCATGGACAGTCATCTTTGTCCATCTTATTGACCGCCGGTCCTATCTAAACAGAAGGGACTGTCCGTCTCCGGCTCCCGTTCCGTTGATGAATAATCCGGGCTAGCTGGGCTCGAGCCACGGCGGATAATGCTTCGTAGGCTTGGCTTTACCACTTATGCCGCACGTGTTTGGATGCTTGATGACAAGGAGCTAAGGGCCAATGATCATTTCCCCAATAATACTCGGCATAAAGTGATACATGCGGGCAGTGGCTACAGCATATCCCTTCCACACTCAAAAGACATTGGGCCACGGCTGCCACAGGAGCAGCCTTCTACATCCCTGAAAAGCTGGGGAGACGGCCACCTTGAATCGTTACATGGCGCTGGCCATGACCATTTTCATTTTAGCTCTTGCCACGAGGTACTCGACACCCAAGCTCAAAGGAGCCAACAGACTTTGACGCTACCGTTCACGGACATGCTCGACAAGTTTAGGTTGTGGTTTGATGCATCGGCTCTTGCTCTACTCTCCATGTCACCGACTTGAACAGGTGGTCCCGGGATGATCTGTGGTTGCCGGCCTGCGTATTATGCAACTGGAAGCCTATGTACACCCACTGTATCTTGCAAACTCTGCCTTCGCTGTTGGTGCTCCAGCGTCCACTAGCTACCTCCCACTGTGCTCCCGTGCTCCACATGCAGTTACGTACTGGCAGGCTCGACTGTATGCATGTCTCTCAACACCATAATCTCAATCACCACGGCCCAAATCTACATCCCATCCACATCAATATCAAGCGGCTCCATTTCCAGCTCTCCACGCATGATGAGCTGAAAGAACCCCAACCATGAACGTGTAGACAATCAATTCCCCGCAGCATGAGTCCATCTCATTCTCACCCCTCCACCTCCTCCCCTTGATACCAGCTCCCACCTCAGGTCACATCTCATCTCATACGATTCCTCCACCACCATGATCCAAGGCATCTTTTACGCAAGGTTCTTCCCCCAAGAAGGTATACACTCTTCACTCTGCATCCTACATGAAATCTCTCCACCCAGAAAATCAACTCACGCACTCAACCACCCGTAGGCCCCAAAATCGTCGCCCAATCTCCTCCGGGATGCATCACCCCCTCCGAGACAGCCCTCACCACACGCCAGCCCCTCATCGACTTCGACGTCCTCCACGAATACATCATCCCCCGCCAGGCTTTTTGCAACCGCTACGTAACCATCAACTCTCCCGACGGCAAGTACACCGTGCTCGGCTACCCCGTCGTCATCGCCCACACCAAGTATCTCCGCAACGAGTTCATTTTCAACTTTGGCATCCTCATCGAGGCCGATGTCGACCAGGCTCCCTACGAGGGCGTGGTGAGGTACCTCGCCGCCACCTTTTCCGAGATGGAGAAGCAAAATGAGTATCTAAGCCAGGGCGAGGGCGACGGGCTCAGGAACCACGAGGCAAGGCGGCCCATCGAGAGCTTGCTGGAGATTGTCAAGGAGGATCTGAACAACTACGGCGAGTGCATGATTCCCGTGGGTGAGTACCACGTCCCCCTCTCTTTCCCCTTCTCATGTCCGGCACGTCTCTTGACAAGAAAACAAATCGAGTGGTGTAGACGAAGCCAACACCATCAACATGAAGCTCTTCCCTCACCACCGCACGCCCACCGCCGTCGAGGGGTGGCACGTCCCCGTCGCCAAGGTCAAGTTTGCGGAAATCGTCGACCCGACATGGGACCTGACGCTGCAAAAAGTCGTCGCCAAAATCGACGGCGTCTCAGACGTGCGCCGCATCGCCCACGCCGCCTCCGTCTCGCTGGACCTCGCCAAGTCCGCCCTCCGCCATCTCCTCTACTACGACACCATTCTCCTCATTGACATCTTCTTCTTCAGCTCCTGCTACGCCCCGCGGCCCGGGGTCCACGACTTCATCTGCAACGTGGACGGCATTGTGGACGAGTGCGCCGGCTACGTCTCCCACGGGCGCGGGAGGGTCAGCAACTACCACCTCGTCAAACTCATGTCCTCCTTTGCCCCGAGCAAGAGCGTCAAGGAGTGGATCGTGGCTAGTCAGGAAGCTGGCTTCGATGTACTGAACTACGTCGATGTCCGGCGGTTCGTGCAGTTTGGCATTATAAAGGGGTGCTTGTACCGCGTGCACAAGTACGTCCTTTCGAAGCAGCATCTCGCCGCGCTGGCGTCGGGCGAGAGTCGGCCTGTGCCGGGGGGAGACTCGCTGCAGAAATATACCGACGGCAGCCATCATTTTGACCAGATTATCACCGAGCAGAATTTGACGAATGACGAGATAATGGATAAGTTAAAGGTATTGCCTGTTCCAAAGGGCGATCTTACGGTGCTGTACAGATGAAAATATGGAATCCGGCGTTTTTTCTCTTCGGTGATGGGGATCTATGGTATCAGAGATTATGTTACAAGCTAATGGTACAAATGGTTTTTTAGAAAAAAAGAATTTACAGGCGGATGGATTTCCGCATCCCATGTTACACACATGCCCGCCCACTTTGCATCGGTGCATGTCTACCACTTGGACTTGTTCTGGCTCCCGCGCCCATTGGTCTGCTTCCTCTGCCGTATCTCCTGCTTGCTCGGCAGCTCAATGTCGGGATTGTTAGCTACCTTGAGGGCCTGCTGCTCGCGCGTCCTCTCCTCGAGCAACTGCTTCAGCTCATTCGGCTTCAGCTTCTTGCCAGCCGCCTCGGCCTCCTTCTCCAACTGCTCCGTCATGCGGCGCACCATGCCCGTGTACGGCTGTCCGGGGTATATCTTGCCGCTGGCCTCCCATTCTTCGTCGGAAACTAGTTCGACGATGCGCACATTGTGCTTCCCCTTGCGGAGGATCAGAATCTTCTCATCGATGAGGTACTTGGCCGTTTCTTCCGGGAACCACATCTTCATCGGGGTCCAAGACAAGTTGCCCGGCACGAGGCCTCGGGTCTGGCCTGGCTGGGCGGCCACGTACGCGCCTTGCTGGGAGACGAGGCGCTGGCCGTCGCTGTTGCTACTAGCCAGGCCAGTTGCGAAAAGAAGTTTCGCCGGGGAGAGCTTCATGACGGATCGGGGCAGCTGAATGTCGCTTCGGGGCGCATTGTTGGGCGTGACGATTCCGCTGTCCTTGGAGGGCTCGTTTATGACGTGCGGCAGCTCTCCGCCGAACCGGAACTTGTGCTGCTGCGCTTCCTGGAGGGCCCTTTGCGAGCCGTAGACCAGGGACAGGACCTCAAAGGCGAGAGTGTGCTGGGCGACCCTCTTGGAGGGGTCGGCGCAGTGCTGCGTCATGGTCTCCTGGATCTGCGCCATGGGCATAAACGTAAACAGCTTCAGCAGCTTCTCCACCTCGTCGTCCGGCCGGCGCATAAAGTACCCGTAGAGCTCAAAGGGCGACGTCTTGAACTCGTCCAGCCAGACGGCGTTGCCTGCGCTCTTGCCAAACTTGGCTCCCGCCGAGTCGAGAAGAAGAGGCACCGTGAAGCCCATGGGTTCGTGCTGCCACTCCGTGGGCATCTTGGCGTGCGGCGCCTCTTCACTGTCGCGAATAACCTTGAGGGCGTCGATGCCCGCCACGATATTTCCATACTGGTCCGAGCCACCAATCTGCATCTGAACGCCCAGCTTGTTGTACATGTGCCAAAAGTCCCAGCCCTGAAAGAGCGGATACATGAACTCTCCGAGGGACATGCCATCGCCCTCGGTCATCTTGCGCTTCACCGTTTCGCGGGAGAGCATGGGTCCGATTCGAGTGTTTCGCGCAAGCCGCTTCGTGAAGTCGTATACAGACAGGCCCTGGAGCCACATGTTGTTGTTCAGCAGGTGGTGCTTGGCAGCCCAGTCCTTTTCGTAGCCATACTTTTCTCGCAATGCCACGACGTTTCTCCACAGTCTGGTGAGCTGGTAGTGTATTTTGGTGACGTTTTTTGAAATCTCCGAGTTGGCCATGTGCTCGCGGCTTTGCAGCCGCCCGGTAGGATCGCCAATTCGAGCGGTGGCGCCGCCGAGGAGCGTTACGGCCGGGTATCCGTGGAACCAGAGCCAGAAGAGAGGCATGAAGGGGAGGAGATGCCCGATATGCAGCGAGTCGGCGGTTGGGTCGACGCCGACGTAGGCGCCTATTCTCTTGATGCGCATGACTTCTTTGATCTTGTCCGGGGTGCTGTCGAATTCACCGTTAGCAAAGAAGAAGAAAAAGGTCATTTCGACCACTCATGAGGGTTACAGCGGTCTCATACCCAGCAACGTCCTTGATGTATCCTCTTTCATCAAGAACATCCCAAACATGGGGCAGCTCCCCATTTTGAATTTGCTGCGCTCTCTTCTCCCACCGCTCCTCGCCGTCAGCAACCTTTTTCAAATACGAAGTCGCAATGCCCCTCGTTTGCTGCAGCTCGCGTGCAGACCACGATAACGGCACCGCGCCTCGTGACGCGACGCAACGCCTAGCCAGGCACCTCGAAGCTTGAAGTCGTGGCGCCATTGCCAAATCCAGAATGCCAGCCAGCATCCGAGGAAACGAACGGCAGCGCCCAACAGGTCCCTTCCGCCCGTCAAAAAAAGAATCAACGTGCCGCCGCAACCTATAGTGCCAATATCAAAGGACCCCCAGCTCTTGTCCTTTTTTTAGACAAGTGCGCCAACAGCTCTCCTTGAAAATTCACATGCCGCCCACCCCCAGACCCAATCAGCGCCGTGCAGCGGAAGCACATTATTGCGCCCCCGACAATTCGGCTGTATGAAAGCCAGTCGGAACGCACCCAGCCAATCAGCAAGTAGGTATTTCGAGTCCCTCGGCAATCTAATCCTCAATCCCTAGCACCAAGCACAGCCGAAAGGGCCTGGCTTCTTACCTCACGCCGACCACCACCCGCGCCCTCTGAACCGCACCCATTTCGCGAAAACCTGCCCTCAACACCCGCGGTTTGCTCGGTTCGAATACAACGACAATGGCATCGATTGTGCGTCCCTCGCTGCTGCGGCAGTCCGCGCTGGCCGCTCGCTCCAGAAGCGCCATGGCCCTGAGAGCAGCCGCCTTCCACAGCTCAAGCAAGAAGTCTGCCATCCTGCCGCCTGGACCCCGTGCGTATACTTGTCCCTTGTCCGGTGTCAATCGCATTCATATCATTTACTAACATCATCGTATAGAGGAAATCCAGGGTGGAGGTACGAACACGCTCCCCGAACTGCTCACCCACCCTCTCTCCGCGCACGTCGATGCTCCGTTCTCAACATCAGCTAACACCCTCCAGTCAACGACCCTGCTCCCGTTCCTCCCCCCTCGGCCGCCCACGGCTCGTACCACTGGACGTTTGAGCGCCTCCTGGCCGCGGGCCTGGTGCCTCTGACCATTGCCCCCTTTGCATCGGGCTCGCTCAACCCCACCATGGACGCGATCCTGTGCTCGGCCGTCCTCATCCACTCCCACATTGGCTTCCAGTCCGTCATCATCGACTACATCCCCAAGAGGCGATACCCCGGTCTGCGCAGGCTGTTTTGGTGGGGGCTGAATGCCGCCACCGTCGTCGTAGGCGTTGGCCTGTACGAGTTCGAGACGAATGACGTCGGCGTCACCGAGGCTATCAAGCGCGTGTGGAAGGCATAGATGGGGAGAGGCACTTTGATGCGGAGCATTGGGAGGGGAGCAAGGACGTGTAAAGACGGAAGAAGGGGCGCTCATTGGGGGTGGTCTTTCGATTTTGAATTGTGCGCTTGGGACGCATTTGGGATGTCTCCGCACGTGTATAGATGCTGTCTGTTAAACAGGAAACGGAATTTATTCCCTTTGTCGATTAGCTGGAGTGCCATGTTCCGGATCCTGCGGCGCCGCCATGTTGGCAAATTATCGGGCATTGCACCGATCTACTGACTTCTCGCAGAGTGACGTTACAAAGGATGGAAGAAAACCACGACTCAAAAAGCTCTCGAGCGGCCAGATATGACCCGGTAGTCTGCTAACAGTGAGATGCAAAGGTCGATACAAGTTCAATCACGCGTGCAATCATGTCGATGATAGCATATAGGGTCATTTGAAAGTGGTTATTATTCATTTTCAAGTAACGCTAATTTACGACCTTTACTTCGATTTGGTTTTTTTTTTTGTTACTGGCTCTCGTCCGTAATACGCCACGTTTTCTCTCTTCGTATTATCCAATTTCGTCGTCGTCTTGCCTCATGACCAGCTAAGCTTTATATTTTTTTTTCAGGGTATAGTGTTGGACGATACCCGTATCTCTCGAAAAATTGGAATCGCAAGTGTTTGCATCTACAATCAAATAGTCAAGCTAGGCATCTCCTGGCCGCCAATGCGGTCCATTTCGGGAGTTGGGGGAGGCAGGTTCTCAACCTTGGTGCAGATCCAGCAGCTGGCATACATATTGACACGGTCAATACAGGCGCCGTCAATTCTGCCACCATGGCGCTTAGCTGTGAAGCCATGGGCCTCAAAGACCTTGACATACCAAGGTGTCAAGGCAGAAGTACGCAGCATAACACGGCCACCCATCTTGAGAGCGCGGTTCAGCTTGGTGATTTGAGCAGCGGCAGCGGGGGAGCCAGGGTCGAACCAGTCCATGCTGTCCATGACAACGGCGACAGTTAGGGTTCCAGGACTAATACGCGCAATGACTTCCTCAAGCTCATCGGTATGGATGCGAAGACTGTCCAGCGCGCCAGGCTTGGAGAGCTTGGCGTGAACTTCACGAGAGAGGTAATGAGGGTGACAGTCGCGAGAGAACTGGCCAGCGAGACAGACGTAGTAGTATGGGTTGTCCTTGGCGAGGTGTGTCTCCTCTGCGACAGGGTCTAGAGTGTTCACCATGTAATGCCAGATAGCGTGGGATCGAGTGTTCTTCGCGACAGGCTTTTCACCTTTGACAAGGTCAGATTCGGCATGATCCTTCTCAATCATGGCAAGTTGATTCTTGGGTACACCAAGGGCGGTCCAGAGGAAGCTTTCTTGGGCAACAACGAGGTTGCACACGAGCTTGGATAGCAAGGCCGGGCGAATTTTCTGGCGCCAGATTTCTCGCTGTTCATTCAGAGTCTTTGCCTGAAGGAGCTTCTTCACAGTACCCCGAAGACCAAAGAGACGGGAGACCCAGCGCATGGCCCGGATGGCATGGCGGGAACCGCCGGTATCATACAGGCCGTAACCGCTCTTGTTCTGGAAGACATGGGTGTTGTTGAGCCAGAATTGGAATGCACGGGCAGACAAGTGAGGAGACAGTTTGTTGATAAGAATCTCGCGGAACTCGGGATGCTTGCCCTCGCCGAAAATCATCCAGAAGTCGTCATAGCAGAGGGCAGTGTAAGAAGCGGCTTTGAGTTCCAAGAGATGATTCTGGGTCGGGTTGAGGTCAACCGCGTGGACACGAGCTGGGCTCTGGGCAAGATACGACAGGATGTTGTCGCCAGCAGAGCTGATTGCCAAAACCTTGTCTTCTGGGCCGAGCTTCAGAATGCGTTCATCGACACGAGCATCTTCCCATGTGAAGGCGTAGATATACTCGTCGTTGAACTGAGTGTGCTTCTGCAGCTGGTCGTCGTAGTAGATACGCCAGTGGTGGTTTTGATAAAAGAATGACGGAAGCGGCAGGTTAGCAGACAAATTCTGCACCGCAGTAATGAATGCCTTGGAGCGGATCTCTGGAGCAGATCTCTCAATCGCTCGAGTCAGAGCGTCACCCTGGTTGACAGGGTACAGGTAAGGCGATTCCGTGGCCAGCGCATCGATTCGCTCAATGATTTCATGAGGCAAACTCGAAGGTGAGAACGGCTTCTTCTGACAGCCAACCCAGACGTAGAATGGAATGTAGCCCAGAGTCTTATTGCGTTCATTGATGTTGAGGACTGTGCCGAACTTATACTCGAGGTAGTCACGACGGCTTGGTTCTAGACCGACACGATCAAAGTCAAACCATGCACGCCAGAACATTCGAGAGAGAGCATTGACATGGCGGCCAACTACACCGCCGGTATAGTTACGGAAAGAAAAGTCGACTCTGTTCTGGACGTAGAAATCGACAACACCAAAAATTCCATGAGGAGAGAGCAAGCAGGTGATGGAGTCGATGACGGAGTAGTAATCAGGCTACATAAGGGTATTAACACATAATACTTGATAAGACCATGTTTCTTGCCTAGGACCAAGTACTCACAATCATGGACAAACTGTAAGACATGGTAACGAGATCAGCGCCACCGTGTTCGGGACGCTGCTGCTTGAAGTAACTAAGAACCGGAGAACGGAGAGGATTCTGAGCTGGGCTCATGCCCGTTTCATAGTTCTCAAGGCGGAATTTGCGCGCGTCCTCGCAGACGACGGTGACATTCTTCCATCCAAGTCTGTCAAATCTCTTTCGAGCGACTTCGCACAAGGAGGGAGAAAAGTCGACAAGGTAGACACTGGTGAAGAAGTCGGGAACATTGACAAAGCGGCCCATGGCCTCAATGTTCCACCCGGTGCCGCCACCAATCTGTGTAAATTCTCTTCCTTAGTGTCACTGAATAAGGGGGCTTTTTTTTTTCTGGCAAGCATAGTAGCACTTACGTCAACCCAAATCCGTTTGTTCTGATTCTTGCCTGCAGCGGTAGCTTGTTCCGCCTTTGACTTGAGCTGGGCAACAACTAAGCCCAGCATGTCCTCGCGTCCTCGGAGGAGGACCTTGCGAGTGGAGTCATAAGCACCAGCCTGCTTCTTATAGAAGCTCTCCAGAGCATCCTGCTGGTTGGCCTTTGAATCGCCCTGGTGAGGTTTAAGAAAAGAGGAGTAAAAGAAGAGAAAAAATGATTGTACAAGGCCCGGGGCCGCGCCGTCATCGGTCTTGGATCGAGACGAAAGGCGGGACAATGCAATGCCGCCTAGGACGGCAATTGCTAGTCCAGCATAAATCGGTTGAACTTGAACATTAACCCCAGAGGGGAAAAGGTTACCACCCTGCGATAATGGTCGTGTCAGTTGGCAGATTTGTGTCAAGCAAAACATGGGGAGAGGGAGGGGAAGATGGATTGTTCAATGAGGGGCAGGTCTATAGTCCAGACTCAAACTCACATGAGAAGCCATGGTATTCTCTCATTGTACGAAAGACAATGAGATTTCAAGTCAATTGAAGGTAGCTCGGGGGTTGTTGAACACTCAGAGCTGCAGAGAAGGGTTGAAACAAGTTCTCAAATGTGACACGAGGTGGAAGCAGTGAAGAGGAAATGAGGCACGAGGGACTGGGGACGAAGAGATATATACTTGACTACCCGGTAAAATGGTATAAGACACGCCCCGGTTGGATGGGGAGAAGGGCAGATGATCCATCGGACCCTGACCTCTGGAGCAGGACAGATACTGCTCCGGACTTGGGACACAAGTCGATGAGGGGAGCTCTACCTAGTACCTACCCACGGACGGGCAGGACCAGGTAAGGCAAGGGACGTCCAGGGCCGTACAGGGCGCATCAAGATGCAAGGTGTCGATTGGTGTTGCTCCGTAGCTGTCGTTACTATGTGCCAGGTTCGCTATACGGGGTCTGGTGTCATTTGGACCGAATTGGCTTCTCAAGCATCAATCGATCAACCATGGACTGGAGCAGCAGGAACTGAACGTAGTACTTGCCTTCTGGCAGAGTCCCGTACTGCCCATAGAAGCCACGCCTCTGGAGAACCCTGGGAGGGAACATGGCTGCGCAAGCCAGATGCGAACGACGAGCCCGTCGCCGCCCACGTTGCAGTACTTCGCCCAGCGCTCCCAGCATTGGCTTACTGTTTAACTTACACAATGCATTTTGATGCCGTCGAATGCTACTCCGTCATACGTCCCTCCAACAGCCGGGCCCCACCAAGCAGGCCAGCTTGAGGAACCCCGGGATCATCGTGGGTTGAAGCGGGTCAAGACATCGCCATGGCCCTGGCCTTCGGCGGCGCCCCAGCACGCCAGCAAGGCGTGGGCCAATGGCTGGGGCACATGGCTGTGCAACGTGCGTTCTAACGATGCTCAGGCTGGCTGGAACTTGAACTCGAACTCGACATCTGGAAACTCGATTCTTGCGCACTCGAATGGGCCAATTGGCTTTGGAGACGGAGGTTCGTGCTGTGCCGAGTAGTCGATCGGAACCAAGAGACGGTCTTGGTCTCCCCGCTAGCTTTTCGCATGCCATGTTGTAACAAGTTACCACGGCCAAGTCGTAGCTCTGATGCCCTGTCTGCTCCAGTTTCTCCAGTTTCTCCCGCATATCCAGTCGTGTCGCCTGTGGACAGCATCGGCTTTCAGGCAGGTCTCACCATTTTGCTTTCATGCCATTTCTGTTGGGAAGCTGACGTAGATGCGGTCCATAAACCTGGGAATATATGAAATTTGATGGCATTGGGCTCCAGAGCTCGAGAATACCGTCAAGTGATTGGTGAAAGCTGGGGTGAGGTGATGGGGACTGTTGACATGCATTCAGGGACAAGTTCGCCCTTCGCTGACATGTGAAGACATGCAACATGGATACGGATGGAATTGACTGTTCAGGTGTCAGTTCAGCCAATGAATGCTATTGCATGACTACTCCATACATGACCGCCACCTGGAGGGTTTAGCGCCTCAGAGGGGCCTGTCGGCCGACAGAGGGGCCCTTCCAAGCGGTCTTAGCGCCAGTCCCAACAGCCCCAAGGCGCTCAACTGCCAACTGCGGCGTGCACCAGACATGGATTGACTCGACTTGCTAACTCCAGAGGGCAGAGCTGCCGCCCAGTGCCAATAGGATTGTGCCTGGAATGCACATGGAGCAATTGTAGGATTCTACAATGCATGTACACAGAACAGACCGTCACCTTTGCTGAAAAACTGTTGAGGACTCACTCGACAAGGACCAGTTGGCGTATGCGAGACACCTCGGCCCGCAAGAAACAACAACACATGTCAAGCCCCGTCATGGCTGCTGGGCATGTATACCTACTGCGTACCTAGGAAGGTAGTCATCTATTATCTATTATCTATCCATCTATCTGCTTAAATTCCCAGGCATGCAGATTTGCCGCCGCCTCAGCAGACCTCAGTCAGCACCTTGGCCTGATAGCTTCGTTGTATCTTCATCCACGCTGTTGTTGGGCTTGCGGGATGCAAGACCGGCCAGGAGCTCACTCTTTGGGTATTCATCCTCCCACCTTCTTCTCGGCAGCTCGAATGTCGAGACGATGCGACTGTAGGAAATTCCACCGAGCTGGCCAACAGGTCTCAGCTTCTCTAAATCGATATGGCTGGCATCCGAGTTCGTTGCGTCCTCCCTCACCCAGAATCGTGTTGCCTTGAGGAGGACCAATCCAGCCAGACTCATGCCCTCCGAGGGGCTTGCGAATTCTTTGATATCCACCACCTTGGCCTCAATCGAGAACACACTCTCCTGCACGCGAGATGGCTTGACAGTAGTCGTGCCGGCCTCGTGCAACCCCGAGACGTCCCACTCTGACACGCCGTAGGGCGCATCTATAGACGAAGCGTTGACGGCCTCAATCATATTTTCCGACACGGAATTAATAACGCATTCCCCTGTGTCTTTGAGGTTGCGGTATGTGTCCTTCTCTCGCCCCGGCCGTGACGAGAAGCCGATGATGAACATTGGGGGATCATGGTCGATGACTTGGAAGTAGCTGAAGGGAGACAAGTTCTTGGACTTGCCATCCCCCGAGATGGTACTGACAAACCCTACAGGCCGGGGCGCGATGCCCGCCACGAGCAGGCGGTAGTTGTTCACCATGGGACGATTGGAGGCGTAGGGGTCAATTTCCCTGTGCTGGATAGACGCGTCGTGCGTCTTGACTCCTTGGCCATAGGTCCATTCCGGATTAGGGTGTTTGGTGACTTCAATCGTCCTGGAGTGATCAAACTCGGGACGCGTCGCCTGGGCCTTTTCAAAATCTACAGCCTTGTCGATGATCTTGTAGCTGGATTCAGCCTCCTTCACTGACGCCGCCGTAGCCATAAACCTCATCTTTGAGATCTTGACCACTGGTAAGCGCCTAGAGACTTCGTCAGTTTCTTCTCTTCTTCCTTTTTTTTTGTTCCTTCTTTTTTCTCGTTTTCTTATACGTGCAGGGTCGCTGCATCTACTGCTGTGGGTGCAGGCTGTAGCGACTTACATACCTCCGGATGAGTTGTCTTGAAAAGCGAAAAATTGTGGGCGCCATGTTGCAAAACAGACCCTCTTTGAGCTTCAATTGACAAAATAAGAGCTTCAAAGGTCTGAATTGGGGTTCAGTTCAGGTTCTTGACTGAAGTTGAACATGGTGGCGGGGACCGATGTCGCTAACTTCATTTGTAAGCAACATCGCCAGGTCGTGGATGCTACCGATACCGACTAGGGTCCCTCTGTCTTGGGAGTGATCTGGGCAACGTATTGTAGCCGGCATCGACATCAATTGGCGATAATGATGACTACGGAGGACTCTGCCCGATACAAGACGAGATGCTACGAAATAGTCCAGTTCTTGGCTGTTTCAGAGCATTTCACTCAACTCGATTGAGACCGAAACCTGCCAATAGTCAATCGAGCTCAAAGTCCGGCCAAGTCAAGTTGTGCCTTGACACCCAGTTTTAGTCGTCACAACGCCAAATGCCGTAGCTATCACAATCAGCACGAAATAGTAAATCAATAATAGCCTTGAAACATGCTGGGCTTCATTTATTATTTTTGTGCATGTCTCGGAATGGTTAGACGCATCGGAGAACCTTGACAGAGACGATGTGCGCCGAAGTTCCAGTCTCTATTGGTCTAAGTAAAGTTGCACGGCTTTTGTCCCGTCTCTCCGGCTCCAGGCTTGACTGGTCCGCGACTTATTGCGAGCCACTACAGGCGAGAAACGACATAGCAGAGACGGCACAGCGATTTCATCGCCAGTCGAAATACCTAGGCGTGCAGTTGGTAGCTTGTATAATTTGCACCCTTGGTACGTATTCCGGCAAGGATACAGCTCACAAATTAGTCTTGTACTATTGAGGCAGGGACGCAAAGGGGCATTTATCGCGTGCCGTGCAAGATGCCTGGGGACATGAAAGCTCCCGTCTTGAATTGAATGTTTGGTATGGAGTAGCTTGACCTAATTACCATTAGCCCCTGGCCAGGAAAATTCATTTTTCCGGTTCCGCAATAATGTTACCCGCTGCCTGCATGCTGCATGCCAGGCTGGTCGGCTTGCCCACTTGCACCAATCATAGTGCCAGCTGTGACGTGCAGGCGCGACTGCGGCCTCGACGATATTCTTGTGACAAGCTCATTCCATCACCAAACTGCCAAGTTACCTTGTGGCATCAAATGCACTCATGAAAAGTTCAATCCTCATCATTGATTAGTTTCCAGCATGGCTCCCGGATCGAGCCAGGCCGGTTCGGGCAAAAAGAATGCCGCCGCGATGCCGAAACAGAGCCGCAATTCCACTCCCGCCCCCGCGCCCCCAGCCAGCCTACCGCCTCAAGAATTCTACGACCCAGATTATCTTAACACGAGGGTAATTCTATTTCGAAACCTTAGTTATGATGATCTGGTTGACCAAAGCGCCGTCAATGCGACGGTGCCCGACTCCAAGAGCGTCGACGCGATGCTAGAAAAGCTCAAAAACCTGGTCAACATAATGGAAAAGCGATCTACATTCTACGACCGGGGCATGCGGCATCTTGCCGATGAGCGAAAGAAAAGACCTGACGACTACGATATACGCGTGGACGGCGAGCCGGAAGGGAAGAGAACCAAACACAAGAGAAAAAAGGGCTCCGACTCTCTGGGACAAGAAGGTATGCGCGGCCCCAACTTTCAAAGCCCCCTCCCAGTTTGGTGGGAGCGCCGCTGCAATATATGTAGTCACTATGCATGCTAACAGGCACGAGCCGCAGATCTGTCATCACCTCTCAAGGACGCCAAGCGCAAGCACTCTCGAGGAGCCTCTGCGAGCTCGTCTCTATCGCCGCCTGCTGCCGGGTCGCCGTCCGCGATGGACGTTGACAAGAAAGCGAAAGAAGAGGACAAGGAGGATGGAGAGGATGAAGAATCGAGTTCCGAAGACGAAGGCGCACCACCGAAACGGCAACTCCCTGCCGCGCAAACATTCGGCGAAGATCCGTCCACGTTCCCTGACCCGACCGTCTACGAAATTCGCCCTGTTCCCGAGGGCATGTCTGACGAGGGAAGGAAGGAAATTTACTCGGTGGCAGTCTATCCCAGAAACGACCTGGCGAACCTCATTGCTGGCGATCCACCCGACAATGACTTTAGTAATGCCAAACCCAGCAGTCAGATCAACTTTTCGACATTCTCAACATACATCGACCCATATTTTAGACCATTCTCGGAGGAAGACTTGGCATTTCTACGAGAGCGCGGCGACCGCGTCACGCCGTTTGTCATGCCTAAGAGGGGGAAGAGGCACTACACGGAAATTTGGGCGGAGGAGGACGGAGCCATGTCTATTGACTCGCCACAACAGGGACGTGATAAGCTTCCTCCCAATCAGCCGAGAGGCAGCATAGACAACATGAGCGACAGCATCGGCGAGACGGATTCTTTGTCGATAGGGCCTCTGGCCTCACGCCTATTACAACTGCTGCGACCTGAGGCCCGTTCGCAAGGGTCTGATGATAAGCCAGCGGTGAATGGCGTGACGAATGGTGATGTTCCCATGAACGGCGATGGCAATGGGGAGGACCAGGCTGGTGAAGATAAAACGAACTCGTTCCCGCCAGCTACATACATGGCAGAATCGTCGACGGAAGCTTGGAAGAAGGCGACCCACCCTAAACTCGAGTATGCGCAGGTTGACGAGCGGCTGAAGCAGGAGTTGAGGCATATCGGGTTTCTTCCCCAGGAAGTATTTGAGAGCGAATACGACGGACATTACGACGATGAAGTCGCGGGCCGACTACGACTGTTACAGTCCCGATTGAAGGAGCAAATGTTGATCAATGGAGCCCGCAAGGCACGGCTGACAGAACTGGTTCGTGAGCGAATGGCCCACCAGGAGTACCAGACTATTCTCGAAGATCTCGACTCCCAAGTCCAGGCAGCCTATCTGAAGCGCACGCGGACCATGGGCAAGAGCAAGAAGACGAAGCGTCCCGGGGGGGCAGGTGGCGGCAGCCACTTCGTGGGGGGTGCTGCAGGCACGGCACGACCAGGCATCGGGGACCAGACTAAGACGCTGATGGAGCGGAGGAAGCGCTGGATCGACACGATAGGGTCGGTGTTTGACGATGAGAACCTGGGCAAAGTGCCGAGACAGCAGAACCCTGACAGCTCCATCTTCAAGCCTGAAATCATGGCAGATCTTATCAAGAGGGAGAAGGGGCAATGGGACGAAGAGGTTGAAGAGGAATAAAGGGGATTCAAGGACAAGGGAGGGCGAGGATTTCCCAGTTCTGTACAGAATGGAGAGGGATGCCATGTCGCAGTGCAGACAAAGGTGGTTGAGACCAGAGTTGTCAATAATGACTACCACATGCGCTAACGACAAGTTTGCGAGCGCTGACACGACACATGCCACGTCAGATGGGTTTCATGGGCTTTTGTTCTTCTTTTTTTTTGGGTTGCAAACGAGGCGTTATGGGGGTACCGGCCGGTTGGGGCGCCAGGGTTCAAGGCTCGCAGAGGTTCTTGTCAGCATTGGAGAAGGAAGCGACGCGCGCGTGCGCATGTAGATAGATGGCGACTGAATGGCAGAGCGAGCGCATTTGTAGAGAATTCCACGGGCGACTGCAGTAAGGAGCGGTGTATGTGCGCACATGTGTGTCGCGTCGTGTCGTGGGACAGCCGACGGTTTTCAACTGTCGACGACGGGTGAATGCAAAGACGGGCTTCATGTACATGTAGGCGTGTGTTGTACGGAGATCAGATGGCCAACATAGATACATATCTAGGTACAGATTGCCAGGCCACCAGGGTCCAGAAGGGCGCCGACAACCGGTCTGCACATGCAGGTAAACTTCGTACCACCCCCCTCTCCGCGGCGATAGGGCATTCGCGTTAGTAATAAGCACTTGACCATCGTTGCGCCAGGGGCCCCTATCGATCCAACCCGTCACGGCGCGCCGATAAGGCTGGGAACAGGCGGCCCCACGATCCCCAGAGTCTTGGCACACCCGCCTCGCGCCAATCCGAGTAGCCAATTCCGTTCCGATACGTCGGGTTTTGTTTTTTACAAACGCAGACGGAGCGCATGAATCCACGATGTCCGCTCTATCGGGTCCCTGGTGCATCTTTTTAGGACAGACTGCAGCGAAAGAGGAAGGGGAGGGGGGAGAAAGGGGGCGACATGTTTCGCGATAGGCATATGAGCAGTCTTGTTTTTTTCGCAAAAACCCTCACGCGTTCCTGTACGTACGTAAAGCCCGAGTCCAGACTACGTAAACAGTCGAAACAGGGTGCCGTCCTGAGTTCTAGCCCTCCCGCCTGCGGCCAATTGATGGGCGCGCTGGACGCCGCCACACCAGACCACCCCCTGGGTGGTCGCGTGTGTCCATGTCCATGTCCCATGCCTCCCTAGTACATAGATAGGGTGTGTGCGTGCGTGTTTAGGGGTCTAGTGCGAGGCAGAGACTCGCATTGCTGCTGATAAGGTGCGACATCCGATTGTCCACTGGTAGCCTGGCAAGTGAGTGGCCTCATTGTCTCTTATCTCTGGCACTTGGTGTCCGCCCTGCCCTTTTTTTTTCTGGAGCCCGCTAGTATCTTGTCTAGTAGGCAAATGGAAATGAAACCACAAGGTATACTGGACTGGAGAAACAGGCGCTGGCGGTGAATCGGGGGGTGGGAAATAGAGAGAGGAAGAAGTCGGGTCGCCCGGCACCGTCGCCGAAATGGAAGCTATTGCTCGGCCAAAAGCGATGCGAGAGAAGCTAGAATCCCCCATCGTGGCGTTTATCTTTCATTTCTTGGTTTCCTTCTTCTTTTTCTTCTTTTCAATTCTCGCCGCCTTTCTAGATCTTGTCTTCTTTTTTTCGGTCTGTGCATGAAATGCTTGCCCCTCGAGGTGAAGAGGCTCTTCTACTTGGCTCTTTCGGTTGCCCGATCTCGAAACACTTTTTTTGGCGGCAGCTTCTTCTCTGAAGCCCGAGGAGCCGTAACAGGTGGCAATGTACCTGTCGCCCAAGGAAGTAAGCTCTGTACTGCGACTCCTCCGCGTGTGCCTTTTCTTTGCTGCTTATACTCTGTGCGACGCGGAATTTTAGCTCGACAAGCTTGTCATCTCGCAGCTGGGCCTGCTGGCTCAACGGCGCCTTGCGAGAGGCGTTAGGCTAAATCACTCGGAAGCTACGGTACGATAAAAGGGGAAAAAAAATCCAAAACGAAAAGCCGGTTTGACACCCTTTCGTGCCGGCGCATTTTGCCCACACCAAAAGCTCGTCAACTAACACGGGTGTCCCAAGGCCCTGATCGCGAACAACCTCCATGAACTCATCCGCGATGGCAATCACTCGGTCGCGGATCTCATGGCCCTCGGCGCGACGATGCTCGGACGGCGGCACGTCCTCCCGGCGGTGTGCAGCACGCTCCGCGAGATCCAGGTGGAGGGGACGTTCCCCATGGGCACATATCTCGTCACCGTCCACAACCCCATCGCCACCGACGACGGCGACCTGCGGCGTGCGCTGTACGGCAGCTTCCTCCCCGTGCCGGACACGGAGGCGTTCCCGCTGCCGCCGGACTCGGAGTACGCGCTGGACAAGCAGCCCGGGGCCGTGGTGGCGGTGCGTGGCCGCGTGGTGCTGAACCAGAACCGCGCGAGGATCCGGCTGCGCGTCACGAGCAAGGGCGACCGCCCCATCCAGGTCGGCTCGCACTACCACTTCATCGAGGTCAACGCGCAGCTGGAGTTTGACCGCGGGCGCGCGTACGGCTACCGGCTGGACATTGCGGCAGGCACCTCGGTGCGCTTCGAGCCGGGCGACACCAAGACGGTGACGCTCGTCGAGATGGGCGGCGGGCGCGTTATGCGCGGCGGCAACGGCCTCGCCTCGGGCATCGTCGAGCGCCGGCGCGCGGCTGACGTCGTGGCCGGTCTGCAGGCGGCCGGGTTCGCGCATGTCGCCGAGGCCGACCCGCGCGGCGACGCCGTCCACATCGACATGTTCCAGATGGACCGCACCGCCTACGCCGCCATGTTCGGCCCCACCACCGGCGATCTCGTCCGTCTCGGCAACACCCACCTCTGGATCCAGGTCGAGCGCGACATGACCTCGTACGGCGACGAGTGCAAGTTTGGCGGCGGCAAGACGCTGCGCGAGGGCATGGGCCAGGCCACGGGCCGCCGCGACGTCGAGGTGCTCGACGTCGTCGTTACCAACGCCCTGATTGTCGACTGGACCGGCATCTACAAGGCCGACATTGGCGTCAAGGACGGCCTCATTGTCGGCATTGGCAAGGCCGGGAGCCCGGACGTCATGGACGGCGTCACCCCCAACATGGTTGTCGGCAGCTGTACCGACGTCGTCGCCGCCGAGGGCAAGATTGTCACCGCCGGTGGCATTGACACCCACATCCATTACATCTGTCCGCAGCAGGCGAACGAGGCCTTGGCTTCGGGCATAACCACGTTTTTGGGGGGCGGCACCGGTCCGAGGTTTGTTGCTTCTTCCTTCGCTATGCATCTCAAACCAAAATTAAGCTTCAGCAATGCTAATAATGGGCAAAACACGCAGCGCCGGTTCCAACGCCACAACCTGCACGCCAGGAAAGAACCTCATCCGCGCCATGCTCCAGGCCTGCGACGCCCTCCCGCTCAACATCGGCCTCACAGGCAAAGGATGCGACTCGTCCCCCGAGGCCCTCCGCGAGCAAATCACAGCCGGGGCATGCGGGCTCAAAGTCCACGAGGACTGGGGCGCGACGCCGGCAGCCATCGACGCCTGCCTCGGCGTGTGCGACGAGCTCGACGTGCAATGCTGCATCCACACCGACACGCTCAACGAGTCGGGCTTCGTCGAGCAGACCATCGCCGCGTTCAAGGGCCGCACCATCCACACGTACCACACCGAGGGCGCGGGCGGCGGCCACGCGCCCGACATCATCTCCGTCGTCGAGCACCCCAACGTGCTGCCAGCGTCGACCAACCCGACACGGCCCTTCACCAACAACACGCTCGACGAGCACCTCGACATGCTCATGGTGTGCCACCACCTGTCCAAGAACATCCCCGAGGACGTGGCCTTTGCCGAGTCGCGCATCCGCGCCGAAACCATTGCCGCCGAGGACGTGCTGCAGGACATGGGCGCCATCAGCATCATGAGCTCCGACTCGCAGGCCATGGGCCGCTGCGGCGAGGTCATCCTGCGCACCTGGAACACGGCGCACAAGAACAAGCTCCAGCGCGGCAAGCTGCCCGAGGACGAGGCCTCCGACGCCGACAACTTCAGGGTCCGCCGCTACGTGAGCAAGTACACGGTGAATCCCGCCATCGCCCAGGGCTTCTCCCACCTCATCGGCAGCATCGAGGTAGGCAAGCTGGCGGACCTGGCCATCTGGGACCCGGCTTGGTTCGGTACGAAGCCGTCGCTTGTGCTCAAGGCCGGAATGGCGGCCTGGGCAATGATGGTCAGTCTTCCTTGTTCCTTCTGCGTTTTTTTTTCCCCAGAACATACATGCTCACACTATCCAGGGCGACGCGAATGGCTCCATCCCCACGATCCAACCCACCATCGGGCGTCCCATGTACGCGCCGCTCGTGCCCAGCACCAAGGTGCTCTTCGTCTCGGAGGCGTGCATCTCCTCGGGGACGGCCGCGTCGTACGGCCTCCGAAGCCGCGTTGAGGCCGTCCGCAACTGCAGAGACATAGGCAAGAAGGACATGCGCCTGAATGACGCCATGCCCAAGATGAAGGTCGACCCCGAGAGCTATGTCGTCGAGGCGGATGGCAAAGTGTGCAGCGCCGCACCGGCGGAGACGTTGCCGCTGACGCAGACGTGGTACGTTTACTAGCAGTGTTGAAGAAATCCTGCGTCTAAAGAGAGGAATGTTGGGATGCCGTCGTCACCATATTGGAAACCGGGAGGACTAGATATGGAACGAGTGTTTGGGGGGGAGGGGGGAGTTAACGACAAAGAATGCGTTGGGTTGAAAACTCACGGTGTTTTTTTAAGCATGTTTGGGCTCATAGCGTGGTAGTTAGGCGTTTTTTATCGATATCACACGTTACATTAGATAGCAACGGAGTACGTCTCAATGTACCAAAAACAAAGGTCCTCAGCAAAAAGGTTTATTGAAGGTCCAAGTTCTTCGTGTCCAGGCGTAGCCCCAAGACCATCACGGCCACACCTGCCCCAAATTGGGAAGTAGCTACCCACAGCCCCCAGCTATACCAGACTTCTTGCAAGTTGGTGTGA